GTGCCTGGTTGTTGCGTGCGTACCTGGATTGCCCCCGAGCGAGCTTTGGCTCGACCAATACCATGCCCAATCTTAAAAAGAAACGGAAAAAATAAAGGCTTTCTTGCTGACGGCTTCGATGTACTTCATACAGGAAAGCGAATCAACTCGAATTCTACGTCGTGACACCTGATGGTCTCGCTCACGCTACATCATGCTCGATATACGCTAGGGTGACGATGCTGGCGTGCCTCCCCGCACCCGCGGACTCGCCGACAGACCACCTTTTCGTCGGCACAGATCGCTACTCGTACTTTACACTCTCGTGGGATAGTGCAAACAACCAGGTTCATACGGAGAGGAACTATGTCGATATCGCGGACCCGTCGTCCCGCGAGGCACAAACAGGGAGCCGGTGCATGATTGACCCTAGTGGCCGGTTCATGACGCTGGAGATATACGATGGCATGATTGTGGTTATACCGATTGTGCAATTGCCCGCGAAGAGGAGAGGGCGACCGGTTGCGATGCCTACTGGACCTGATGCACCGCGGGTTGGGGAACTGGGCGAGCCGATCATTACGAGGATTGATGAGCTGTTTGTGCGCTCGTCGGCTTTTCTGCATGTTCAGGCTGGATCTCCGCGACTGGCGCTCTTGTATGAGGATAATCAGAAGAAGGTTAAGCTCAAGGTTCGGGAATTGAAATACACCGCTGGGGCAGGTGCCGAATCGGAGTTTACGCACTTTGCGGATTATACGCAGGAGTTGGACCTTGGTGCATCCCACCTTATACCTGTTCCTGCACCTTTAGGTGAGTCGGCTCTTTTTCGTTTGTGAACCTGTTTGCTGATGACTAGTGCAGGTGGCCTTCTTATTCTGGGTGAGACGTCGATTAAATACGTCGACGCTGATAATAATGAAATTGTATCGCAACATTTGGAGGAGGCAACGATCTTCGTGGCTTGGGAGCAGGTCGACAGCCAAAGGTGGTTGCTAGCGGATGACTATGGGAGGCTATTTTTCCTAATGCTGGTCCTTGACGGTTCGGAAGTGGAACGCTGGGAATTGCACAGCCTCGGAAACATCCCTCGAGCCTCCGTCCTGGTGTATCTTGGGGCTGGTGTAGTGTTTGTAGGATCACACCAAGGCGACTCCCAAGTCCTGCGTATCGGTGATCAGTCGTTTGAAGTGATTCAGACCTTGTCCAACATTGCGCCCATTCTAGACTTCACGATAATGGATCTCGGAAACCGCACGAGCGAAAGCCAGACACATGAATTCTCGACCGGCCAGGCCCGGATTGTCACCGGTTCTGGGGCGTTCGATGACGGGACCCTGAGAAGTGTGCGCAGCGGTGTTGGAATGGAGGAGTTGGGTGTCTTGGGGGATATGGAACATATTACAGACTTGTGGGGCTTGCAGGTCGATTCGATTGGCGACTTTTTGGATACGCTCCTCGTCACGTTCGTAGATGAGACGAGAGTCTTCCAGTTCAGTGCTGACGGAGAGGTAGAAGAGCTGGAAAGCTTCCTTGGGTTGAGCCTTTCTGAGAACACGCTGCTTGCGGCAAATCTACCTGGCGGTCGGATACTGCAAGTCACGGAACGGAGAGTCCTCATCGCGGATATCGAGGGTGGAATGACCGTCTACGAGTGGGAACCACAGGGGCGGCTCATCATCACTGCAGCTTCTGCCAACGATGACACGATAGTTCTCGTTGTGGGTGGTGAGCTTGTGACCGTGATTGATATTCAGTCAGAGCCTCAAGTCAGAACAGAGAAGAACTTCGGCGCAGATAATCAGATTTCGGGCGTGACGGTGCCATCGTCTCCAACCGATGTTTGCATCCTTGGATTTCCTCAGCTGGCGAAGGTCTCGGTTCTGAAGTTGCAGGATTTGTCCGACATCGGTATGACATCGCTTGGCCCTGCCGGTGAAGCCTTCCCGCGCTCTGTTCTCGTCGCCAGGGTACTGGCGGATAACCCACCAACCCTCTTCATTTCGATGGCCGATGGAAGTGTTATAACATACAATTATAACCCCGAGGACCATACCCTCACTGGAATGAACAAGCTCATCCTTGGTTCTGAACAACCGACGTTCAAGAAACTGCCCAGAGAAAACGGACTGTACAATGTATTTGCTACGTGTGAAAACCCTAGCTTGATATACGGATCCGAAGGCCGCATCATCTACTCAGCCGTGAACTCGGAAGGGGCATCGCGGATATGTCATTTCCACTCAGAAGCTTACCCACAGTCAATTGCCGTGGCTACAGCCCAGGAACTCAAGATCGGTCTGGTTGATAAGGAAAGGACTACACAGATCCAGACGCTCCCCATTAAAGCTACGGTTAGACGCGTCGCATACTCTCCTTCAGAGAAGGCATTTGGTATGGGCACGATTGAGCGCCACTTGGTCGACGGGGAGGAGGTAGTGAAGAGCCAGTTCGTACTTGCTGATGAAATCCTCTTCAGGCGACTGGATGCCTTTGAGTTTCCCAAGGATGAGATCGTGGAAAGTGTGATTCGTGCTGAAGCTACGGATGGCCAAGATGGAGAACCCATGGACCGGTTTATTGTTGGGAGTGCGTACCTGAGCGACGAGGGTGGGTTTGAACCGCCCAAGGGACACATTCGCATCTTTGAAGTCGACAACGGCAGAAAGCTCACCATGGTCAAAGAGACAACTGTGAAAGGAGCATGCCGTGCGCTGGCAATGATGGGTGATAAGATCGTGGCTGCGCTTGTCAAGACTGTAAGGTTTCCCTATACTATTATTCTACAATAATTCTAACCAGCCCCAAGGTTGTTGTATACCGATTGGCCCACAAGTCTGGCAGACTGCAACTTGAGAGACTCGCTAGCTACAGGACGTCTACAGCACCCGTAGACATCACAGTAACCGACAACGTGATTGCCATCTCCGATCTCATGAAGAGTATTTGCATCGTTGAGTTTGAGGAAGGTAAAGACGGCCTCCCTGATAAGCTGACAGAGGTGGCTCGTCACTTCCAAACTGTCTGGAGCACCGGCGTTACCTCCATCGCAGAAGACACATACCTCGAAAGCGACGCAGAAGGGAACTTGATCGTCCTCCGACGCAACCGCTCGGGTGTCGAGGAAGAGGACCGCCGCCGATTAGAGGTGACTGGCGAGATCTCACTCGGCGAAATGGTCAACCGTATCCGCCCCGTCAATATCCAGAGTAGTGCAACAGTTGTCCCGAGGGCTTTCCTCGGAACGGTACGTTATCCTCAATCCCGTCGGATTTCTCCCACTCCACCCCCGCCCCCACCCCCACATATCAACGATACCCCAAAACTAACGTTCACTCCCCCCCACATAGGTCGAAGGCTCTATCTATCTCTACGGGGTAATCAACCCGGAATACCAGGACTTCCTGATGCGCTTCCAAGCCACAATGGCAAGCCGCGTCGACTCCCTGGGTGGTATCCCCTTCAACGAGTTCCGCGCACTCCGGACCATGACCCGGCAAGCTAGCGAGCCGTTCCGATTTGTAGACGGCGAGCTGATCGAACGGTTCTTGGTCTGTGAGCCTGCCGTGCAGAAGGAGATTGTTGACATGGTGGGTAAGGATGTGGAGGAGGTGAAACTGTTGGTTGAGGCTTTGAGGAGGATGCACTAGGCTGAACTGCTTTGTTTTCCTTCTGGAAATGAACTCAGGTCTGCTTGATATGATCTAGATTACCCTACGTTAGCGAGGATAGGAAAGGAATGATTCATGATATTGGTTTATTTATCCTTGGTCTCGTTCGAGAAATCAAATGAGCATAGACTCCAAAACCTCGATACCTCAACCTTGTCTTTTTCTTTAGAGCTCTTGGCACAATTACCTCGCGAGAAATCATGTAGTTGACTCATCAGTTTGACGGGTTGACCGCTCACGAGGCCGCAGGTTGGTGTCTTTGCCTCAGTTGACAGGAACACCTTACCAAGTTACCAGTTTTCGACTGGCCAGGAGAAAAATGCTATTGCGCCTCCCTTTAGAGCTACTGCTCGATGTTATCTCACAGGGTTTTGCTCGAACTGTTTTGACCAGGCACTGGGTACCGAACCCATGAGTTGCTAATTTGTTGGTTGTATAGCTGGAGCAAAGTGATCTGAGGAGGCTCTGCCTCACTTCGAAATCTCTCCATGCGTTTGCAACACCAGCCTTGTTCCGCTCTCTGACTATTCATACGGATGAGTTTGATCTTGACTTGCGGGAAGTCGATGGGCTCTTGCGTGCAAGTAGAAGCGAGAATGGGGTGAATCTTCTATATCGCACGAGAGATGTCCAATTCGTGGCTCCGATCTGCGACGACGCGACTGCCACCTGGTGCGCCCATTATACCTCTGAGTACTATGACTCCGACGACGAAGAAGACAAAGCCGTCGCTGGGGAGTTTGAGGGCCTATTCAGGGACGACCGCCTTACCAGGAAGTCCATGGCCAGGTGGATGGTCGAGGATAATAATGAGAGCCCAAGTATGACGGATGCATTCGAGATACAGCGTGTTCCTGCGTCGCGACTATACTCGCGAAGGGAATTACAAACGGCATCTAAAAAGCACTAAACTTATTCGAAGCCTCCTTCATCAGTACGGCGACTTTCTACAAGCATGTCCCAGTGATTTGCTATTCGATGATTGACTTCCACTAGAGCGATTTTGCTCATGTACATGTTTGAATCAACTGGCAACATGGGCAGTTAAACTATTCCTGTGGGGGTCCAATTTGAGCCTGCCCAGCCGTGCATAATCTAGCAGCATGAGATAGCAAGAAATTGAGAGGTGCCGTGCATGGTTAGCCTGCTTAGGCAAGTCCATGCGTGAGCCCTACCTTTTAGTACGACGCGATCGCTGAGTCCGATCAGCTGTAACTCCTGCTTCCCCGCATGCAAGCGACGCGGTCTGTTATCAGCTTATTTGAGTCAACCTGTTCCCGAAGTCCTGGAATATGCTACTTTTCTCTCCATTCCATCTTTTTGAGTTGGCCTTGTCTTTAGTTCCTCGCCATGATGAAAGAAGGAACCCCGTTGCAAGGTGATGACGCCCAGCTAGCTGCTTTGGGCCATCGACCAGAGTTGAAACGCCGATTTTCTACATGGTAAGCACTGAAAACCCAGCAGTATATTATATAAAGACTAAATGTCACCAGGGCCATGCTTGGTTTGGCCTTTGCTGTTCTGAATGTTGGTCCCCTATACCCTTGCTGATCGGCCATATTCTCTAATACAAGCACAGTCGTGGACGGCGCTTTCAGCTAGTTTATCTATCAGTATCTCCTCGGGAGGCAGCACAAGTGTAATCTGGGGTAGGCCGAGAACGATATTTTGGGATTGTTTACTATTTTAACACGATCCACCAGGTCTGGTAACAGCGGGTTTCTGCAACTTCTGCATTGCGTCTTCATTAGCAGAATTCCTTTCGGCATATCCAACGTGGGTTATTCTGCTCTTACTGGAATGGAATTAGTATCTCACATTCAATAGAGCTGGTGGGCAGTATCATTGGGTTGCAGGTAAGTAATGACGAGTCATGAGTCTTAGTTGAGAAATTGAGCTAACGAGCGTCTAGTCAGTACGTGGTTGACAGCATTCACTTATGAAAACTTTGCTGAATCATACAGTTGCCTGGCCAAAATGGGTCCCAATTCTCTCCTGGATTACTGGCTGGGTTAATGTGGCCGGATGGGTAGGCAATTCCAGCTCTACATCCATATCCTATGAGGCAACTGACGGTATGAAAAGCCGCACTGACAGCGGTTAATTCCCTTTTGTCAAGCCAACTGATCACTGGGATCATCTCTGCAATGCACCCGGTAAGAAATTTATTCTTCTTGTTACATCAGAGCTGGGCTTTATAACAGCTGGACTAGGACTACGAAGCCCAACGGTGGCACCAATTCCTTATCTACATTGGTTTGACCCTCGGGGCATTCGTCGTCAACGCCTTTATGAACTCGATTTTGCCAATAATTTACCGCGGTGCCTGTATGCCATATCTAATGTTTGCATCAAAGGCTTGACTGATGGCTTTGCAGTTATGTGGTCGATTGGCGGCTTTGTCATTGTATCCATCACAGCGCTCGCCTGTGCTTCCCCCGACTATAACTCGGCCTAGTACGTGTAGGATAATAACCTGAGCCAATGTATTTGCTGACGGCTTTCAGCTTTGTATTCTGCAATTTTGTCAACACTACTGGATGTAAGTCATGTCTGAGCAGCGCATAGATGGTTTTCCTGACCTGAACAGGGCCGGATGGCATTGCCTGGTTACTGGGAGTAAGTATTTCCAGCCACTAATATACCATGCCACATACTTATTTATACAAAGCTGTTGCAAGGGGGTCTAGGGGTCACTGCCTTTGTAAGTTATCGCGAAGGCCCGAATCGGGGATTTGCTAATAGACTTTATAGGATGCAGTTGCCCATATGATTGAGGGTAAGCAACCAATGCATATGCATTTGCACCTTACTTACTTAGCCAGAGGTCCCAAATGCGTCGGTTGAGGGCCCCAAGGTCATGGTTTATTGTGTCGGTATTGGAACATTTACTGGCTCGATCTTCCTAATCGTCCTCTTGTTCGTCGCAGGGGATATGGACAAGGTGGCCAGTTCCGCTGCGGGTCCTCTTCTCCAGATCCTTATTGATACGACGAGGAACAAAGCAGGTGCTATTTGCCTTCTAATGTAAGCTGTCAATACGTTGGTACTTCGAGAGCTGACTGACTGGACCAGGCTTCCCCTCGTCTGTCTGATCTTTGCCCTTCTCAGCGTCATGACAACGAGTAGCCGAATGATGTTTGCATTTGCAAGGCATGTTTGACATTCCTGATAATCGGTGTGATTTAAATGAGGCTAATGTGTACCTACAGGGATGGCGGCCTTCCTGCATCCCGTTTCTTTGCCAAGGTCCACCCAACCCTAAAATTACCTTTGAACGCCCTTATATTGACGGTGATCGTGGTCATAATATTCGGCTGTCTCTTTTTGGCCTCAACTAGTGTCTCAAACGCCATTATTTCCGCAGCTGTTGTTGCCCTCGACTTGTCCTACGCTATGCCGATTCTCGTTAACTGCCTGCAAGGCCGAAAGGCTCTTCCAGAAAGGCCGTGGAAACTACCTAATGCCGTTGGTTGGGTTGCTGATATGGTCAGTCTCTTTTGATATCAGCCCGGCTTTTAATAAATTCTGATCTAGCTGGACTAACTCGCCACTACAGATCTCGCTCTCGTACATCGCCCTGACAACCGTCCTCTTCGTCTTTCCGCCATCTTCGACGGTTACCGGGAGTAATATGAGTAAGTCCTGGGGACGAATTCAGCAGGTTTAGTTGATGCTTACTGACGACTGGTGCTTTAGATTACTGCGTCGCTGCTTTCGCCATTATTCTTATTATTTCCGTGTTCCAATGGATTGTCGATGGACGGAAGAATTACACTGGCCCACGTGTGGAGATGACGCTTGATAGCCTGGAGAATATACCGACTGAGCCGGAACAGTTAAATACGTCTGAGCATAAGAAGTGAAGTCGTGAAGTTGGTCGACTTAGAGCTTTGTTTTGTTTGCTGGCCTGTCTCTATTCGTAAGTATAACTCATGCTGCGTCATTAAGCCAGGATCTAGATATAGAGTATATCAGAAGATAATATGGAAAGTTTGGAATACTCAAAGTTGTTGTACGTGGAAAGTCGAAGCCTTATATCTCAACTTAAATAACTCAACGGTGTAACAACGACTGAGCCGCTCCATGCATTATGAATATAAGTGAAGGTCTAAAATTACAAATACATTAAAATGTGCCGTTAAAACCCTCGAGCCGTAGAGCAGCATAAAACAGAAACAGCAGGGCCCTGGCTGTACAGAGTCCTAACTCAAGCCTTCTTCTCGTCCTCCGACTCACTCCAGTCCAAAAGCTCCATAAGCTGCTCCTCAGACAACTTCGACGTGCTCCCCTCAGCCTCCTCCTTCTCGAGCTTCTTCGCATGCTTCTTAGCTCTCTTTCTCGCATTCTTCCCCCACTCCGGAACCCCACTGGCCGTTGCAAACTCCTCCGCATTCTCCCCCTCAACCTCTTCAACCTCATCACTATCAACCTCATCATCCGTGTTCTCGACCTCTCCAAGAACCTTTCCCTCACCATCACCGCTCACTCCACCCCTCAGAGTATTCGCCGAAACCCTCGCCTTGGCCTTCTTTTCCTTCTTCTCCGCCTTGGCCTTCTCCTGCTCCTTCTTGCGGTCCCGGTCGTGCATCTTCTTGAAGAAGGCCTCGATGTACGGTCTGATCAGGATGTAGCCAACCACTGACAGGATGACTTTTGTCCAGCGGTAGGCCGTGACTTCCGCGAAGGACTTGTAGAAGTTTGTGCAGAAGCGCGTCACGATGAGTTCGAGGAAGGCGTACAGGTTGCTGAAGTAGTCGCTTAGGGCGTCGGTTGCGATCCCTGCGATATCGGGTGGGGAGGACATTTTGGTGGTGGCTTTTTTTTTTTTTTCTTTCGACTTATTCTCTTTTTTTGTTGGCTTGGTTTGAGAAAAGGAAGAGGAAAAAAGTGATGAGGGATTTATTTGTTGCGGATGGAGCTGGCCGGGTAGCTCGGTGAGGCCGGAAGTGGGATGAAATCGGTGGGTGGGAAAGAAGACGCGGTTGATGCAGCCCAGAATCAATGTCTGGATTGGCCTGAGTAGAAGAGCTCTGGTGTTTACAGACTCTTGAACTCTGATACGTAAAAGAAGCCAAACTGATGAGTCGTTCTGGCAGACATCTTGCTGTCTGGCAAAAAAGTATGTTCCGAATATGGTTAGTGGAGTTCGCACGGATAATTCATAAGTCCGCGATAGCTTCGGCCAATGGTTGGCCCCTCATCGGTCAGACGCGTCGGGCGCTGTTATCGCGTCTCCGTTCTGGAGATATTGCTTGCTGTCTGAATTGATCGGATTGCAATTATAGTGTCTACGAAGAGATATCTTTTTCCGTCAACTGATTTTTGATTATGGACACCGACGAGGACGTTGGCCTTGAAGAGGTACGCATCTCCGGTTCGTGAGCACAAGAAAGCCAGTTAACCCAGTCAGCGCCTGAAATCCGCCCTCTGGTTATCTATTGGGAAGATCGTGGACGAGGAAACAATCAAACTCGGCGTCAACGCCACTCCCCAATTCATCGGCGCTTTGACCGAGCTCGTCTGGGTTCAAATAGGTATACTACCCCGCGACAGTACCAGCTTTCCGCTCATATGGAGGGTGGCATTTCCGCCCGTGTTGGAAAATGGCATCAGTGGCATACTTGGGCGGTCATGCGACTCGAGTCACTGGTGCCATTATGTCATTATATGCCCTAGTGTCTTGGGTAAGGTGGCTGACGGTTGAGGCTGTATAGAAACCGCGAGTCAGGATCTAGAAAGCTTCGCAAAGTGAGTTTGCCAAACCCTGTACTGTCCCAATCTGCGTTTTGGTTTTACTGATAGGTGGGATTGATGCAGGCACGCAGGTCGCTCAACAATTAATGTATCAGACGTGATGATGCTTGCACGCCGTAACGAAGGGCTTGAGTCTATATTAAGAACATTTGTCGATCGACAGCGCGAGCAGGAGCAGCAGCAGGAGGAGGGGGAGGGAGATTGAGTGCTACATTTAGGTGTTCTGGAACTTCCCATGATTATGGGAGCGACAGCGATTGGGTGGCCGCGACATGCGACCACTGAGCACCCCCGGGCTTTTCTTCATTGATAGGTGGGTGAAATCATTGTAGGTTCTGAGCAGGGCTAAGTAAAGTTGTAGGGTGAACTAAGCCAAGAACGCGGAGTTACCGGATTTGGTGAACGGCTTGGAGCCTGACAGGATATGACGCCACTGCGCAGTGCTCATCAAAACGTGCTAATGAAATATCTATGGCGATACCTTGATAAATCGGACGAACACCCAGCGAATCATGGAATGTGCTATCTGACATGCCTGAGCGCTATCCGAATAAAACCAACCGCACTTCCCATTATTCCAAGCAGCGACACAAGCCACCAAAGGTTCGCTGACGACACCTGGTCAGATGAACCCGATTTTTCTGTCAATCAGCTTTCGGTTCCCGCTGTTTCACCAGGTACGAGCCAGGCGAGATGGACGTATTCACCATGGACCTCTGTTGCTCACGTCATGGGAACGTTGTCGGTGGTGGTCTGCTTTCGAGCGCTGGTTAATAAATCAAGTACCAAGTATCGTGGAATTAGGTTTGAATAACACGAAATTGAATTTAACCAAATCACTTGTCCCTCAAATTGGTTGTAGACATTGCCATTGTACTCTTACCACATTTACGAGTTTGCTAGTTTCATGATACGCAACAAAACATGCCACTCATGAAAGCTGTCCGTTTTCATGGCCCTAAGGACATAAGGGTCGAACAGATCGAGGAGCCTGTGTGTGGGAAGGGCCAGGTGAAGGTAGTTTCCTAAGCAATCACAGCACGACATAAGCTAACCACCATTGTCCCAGCTGCGAAACACCTACTGTGGAATATGCGGCAGCGACCTTCATGAATACGCAGCAGGCCCAGTCCTAATCCCGCAAAAACCGCACAACATCACCAAGACCACAGCGCCGGTCGTAATGGGTCATGAGTTTGGTGGTATCGTCGAGGAGCTCGGAGAAGGTGTGACACACCTCTCTCTGGGGCAAAAGGCTGTGGTGCGGCCAACGATCTTCGACCGGAAATGCCCTCCCTGCAAACTCGGTTACGAATATTGCTGTGAGAACATTGGCTTCATTGGCATGTCTGGTATGGCTCCGATTGCGTTTCATGGCTGGCCACGCGCTAACATGATATAGGGTACGGCGGCGGATTCGCAGAGCACATCGCTGCACCCGCAGAGCACTTTTATCCTATACCGGACGATGTCTCGGCAGAATCCATGTCGCTGATAGAACCGCTTGCCGTCGCCTGGCATGCCGTCAACTTGTCACCATTCAAAGATGGCATGCACGGCGACAACGTTTTAATCGTCGGCGGTGGCCCGCTGGGTCTCTGCATCCTGCAAGTCCTGAAAATGCGAGGCGCCAAGCAGACTATGATTGCCGAAATAACAGATTCGCGGAAGCAATCGGCCAAGGACTTTGGCGCAACGCACATCCTAGACCCTAGGGTGGACGATGTCCCCGAAAAGGTGCGCGAGCTGACGAATGGGATTGGCGCAGATGTTGTATTTGACACCGCGGGCGTGGAAAAGGCACTTGACAGCGCGATTGGTGCGGTGCGCGTCCATGGCACGATTGTCAACGTCGCAGTGTGGGAGAAGCGGCCGCATATTCGGGTTAACGAGATGATGTATCATGAGGTGAAGTACCTCGGGGCGGCCTTGTATGACGAGAAGTCGTTCCGCAGTGTTATTGAGGCCATCTCCAAGGGCGAGTTGCAGCCAGAAGGCCTGATTACGGATAAGATTAAACTGGATGATGTGGTGGAGAAGGGATTCAAAACGCTGCTGACGGACCGTGACACGCACTGTAAGATCCTTGTCGATCCGCAGGCATGATGCGGTTCGTTTATTTGCTCAGCGTTGATTAGCAATTAGCATTGTGAGCAGTGCTTTGCAGTGGCTTTGGCAAGCAGTGAATTCATTTTTTCGCTTTGCCATGTATACACTACTGAGCGAGAATTGTGCGATGACGTCTGTTACTAAGTTATTCATTTTATGCATTTCCGCAAGCAAGAGACTGTGGCTATGCTGTGGCTGTGCGCAGCCAATTGACAGGCAAGCTGTGAAGTAAACATGATGTCACAAGGCTGGTAGTGTGGCTGGGGCTGTCACCCAGTGCTGCGTAATTTGTGGTCTCGCCAAAAATTGGCCCATCTTATTGCTCTTTCCCTTCGTCATTTGTGGACCAGCCTGTGACAATCTGCTGGAACGGGTGATGAACAGCCTGTAGGAAGCCGCAGAACCCTTTGATCAACCATGAGTGAGTGGGCAGGGTCAAGGATGTTACCCACTGATCTGCTTGCTGGCGCACACCCTGTCCCCTGGACGCCTGTGACAATGGAATTCTGCTGCCTTTTGCCGTGAACCTGTTGGCCGTGGCCTTCTTTTAAATAACTCCTGTTCTCCTTAGCCTGCATTCTTTTGCTCCTCCCACCCGCTTGTCTTGACGAGTTATCCAGACTAGTGTCTGATAAAAAAAACACCCCTTACTTCACCAACTCGATACCTCACCCGATCGGCACGACATCACAGCACGATGGGAGTCGGAGGCGTCGTTCTTCGATTCTTTAACCTGGCCATCCGGATCCTGCAGTTCCTGGATTCTGCAGTGATCCTCGGCATCTTCTCCTACTTCCTGGCCAAGCAGTCTCAGCATGATCTGGGTATTCCTCGCTGGATGAAGGCCGTGGAGGGTCTCTCAGGAGCGGCAACGTTGTATGCGCTCTTGGGATGTCTCTTCACGTGCTGCCTCGGAGGTGTTGCTTTCTTCGCTGGCTTGGCCATGGCTCTCGACGTCTGCTTCGTGGGTGCCATGGTTGCCATCGCTGTGATGAGCCGCGATGGAACCCAGAAATGCCAGGGCACGATGGACACTCCGGTAGGAACGGGGGAGGAAAACGCGGATTCTCCATCCGGCGTGCAGTACGGATTCGCCTGTCGCCTGAACAAAGTTGTCTTCGCCGTCGCCATTATTGGAATGTGAGTATCCCTCTACAGCAGGATAGAAAAGGAACCGTGATTGACGTTTTAATAGCTTCTTCTTCCTCATTTCCATCCTCTTCCAGTTCCTTCTTGGCCGTCACCACAAGCGCGAGAAGCGTTTCGGTCCTTCTCCCGCCAACAACTACACGTACGGAACCCAGAAGCGCCTGGCCTTCTGGCGTCGCAACAAGACTGCGCCCCAGGGCAACGGTGACGACACGCTCCCTGACCACCCCACCCCCCACGATGTCGAGACGGGACCCGCTACGGGGGAGAAGCAAGGGTGGTTCAACCGCTTTGGCCGTAAGAATGAGGACCCTGCCGCCGCGCCAAATGGTTACGCGGCTCCGGCCCCTGCCAATACGGGGTACGGCAACTCGGCCTATGGTAACTCTGCCTACACGGGCAACTACTAGGCCGATTTCTCGGTGTTGTTGGATTGGACAGATCGACTGTCCGGGATGACCCCTTGCCTTCCTTGCAGGGATGCGATGTACACCCGGCACTGATCTTCGATGAACGAAGGAAAAGACGTACATACATATGACTACTGGTGGCTACAGAAACCACCACAGCGATACCAAACTACGAATATAATCTTAATGAAGTTGTTATTCCAAATCAACGAACACAAGAAAACAAGAACTACACCGCGTTTTCTGGTCTACAGGCATGGCATGACTGAACGAAGACATACACGGCCCCAATCGACATTACGGTATTAGGGCGACATTTGTTGCTTAATTTTGGGCGCTCGACCTCGCACTCTTTTACGACCTACTTGCCTTCTCTCGAGTGTCATTGTATTATAACCACGATATATGTTTTAATATTGCTGGAGCTTTAATGTTTGCGGAGCATCGTTGCTAGACTTGGCTACTCAATATCAGTTTAACTTTGCCTGCTTAACCCTAGCCTTGACCTACGTAGTCGTAGATTGTAGCAGTCTATCCGAGGAGGCATACGGAGTACACGACTGGGAATTTGTCGGGTTCCTTACAGCTGTACAGGATTACGACGCGTCTCGCGAGCCTTGCATATCCCACGACCAGGTGATCGGAGTATTTTGCACAATCACAGAGGCTGTCGAATTGTTTGGCTGCAGCAGTGGGGAGGGTTGTTCTGGCCCTGACACTGGCCCTGGCAAACCTGCCCCAATTGATACAAGGGCATCTACACCGGTTGTTTGCTTCTGCTGGGCGGCCACGATGTTGCAATAATTGCAATAATGCATTTACCATCTCTGCTAGAATAGTAGGCCGACTCCACTGATCTGGCCTGACTCGAGGAGCGTTTTTTCACCGTCTCCAGCCGGTCGCCACCCCTCCATGTTATATAATCCCACAATCCGTCTCAAACTGGCTTCCATCACCTCTGTCGACCTTTGCACTGCCCAATTTCCGCGATGGCCGACAAGCAGCCCCAGGTTGACATTACCGACGACGCCACAGCCGACGCACGGCCCTGCAGCCCAATGCACTTCGGCATCGGCGTCTCGAATCCTGCAGCGACCGACCGATCGGCATCCCGTGAAGATGAAGGCGTCGACAAGGACTCTCCTGCGCCAACTCCCGGTTTCTCATCGATCGCAAGCACTCCGGGCTTTGCAACTCCCGTTACAGGCGCGCAGACCCCCGATCCGCTCCTCGGGAATACTAAAACACCCATCTCGCGCATCGCAACATACGCCGGCGACATCGAGTTGAGCTCGGATGTCGCAAATCGCAAACCGTCTGCCAGTCCAGCTCTGGCTAACGATGTCACGGCAGACGAGGCGGCATCGCCAGTCCAAAGACCGACCAAGCAGGGGATCCCGCCGGAGCTGTCCAGTTTGACGGCGGAGCTGTTCCTGGTTGCGGTGTGTTCTGTCAGCCTGATGCTTTTTTCGTTCTTGCTGGGCGATATGTTGGCCCCGCAGGAGCAGATCAGGGAGGCCCTGGGCATCACGAACTCGGAGCTGCCCTGGATTGTGGGCGCGTTTAACACGGCGAATGGCCTCTCGGTTGTGGTTTCGGGCTCACTGGCTGATCTGGCACCGCCAAAGGGTCTGATGGTTGGTGCGTATGCCTGGCTGGCGGCTTGGAATACTGTCGGTGCGTTCTCGCTTACGCAGTCGCGGTATATCCTCTTCTTCATCGTGAGAGCCATGCAAGGTCTTGCGATTGGAGTGTTGGTTTCTGGTAGTATGAGTATCCTGGGTCGTATCTACAACCCTGGAATTCGCAAGAACAGGGTCTTCTCCGCCATCGCTGCGACTTCGCCGCTGGGATACTCGCTTGGAGCCTTACAAGGCGGCGCACTGCAGGCGCACCTTCCTTGGATTTTTGGCACAAACGCCATTTTCTGCGCCATCTGCGGCCTCGTCGCCTTTCTTAGTATTCCATCCCTCCGCCCCGCCGCTGACCAAGCCGGCGCTGAACCCCCATCGCTGCGCGACTTCGACTACATCGGCGCTGGATGCGCTGCTGGCGGCTGTGTCTGCCTCCTCTTCGGCCTCACGCAGGGCCCCGTTGCGTCTTGGTCGCCATACACCTATGTTCTTATTATTATAGGCTTCCTCCTCCTCTTCGCCCTCTTCTTCTGGGAGCGCAAAGCCGCCCGCCCTCTCATCCCCAACCGCCTCTGGCGCACCCCAGGCTTCACTGCCCTAATGGTCGCCTACTTCCTAGGCTTCGGTTCCTTCTTCGGCGCGTGGCAGTTCTACGTCCTGCAGTTCTGGCTGCGAATCCAGGGCGTTGCTCCCATTACCGCTGCTATCTACTTCATACCCAACGCCCTCGTCGGGATCTTCGCCGCCTGGCTCGTCTCTCGTACCGTCCATATCTTCCCAGGCCACTATATCTACACGGCCGCCATGTTCGCTTTCACACTAGGCCCTGTCTTCTTCATCCCCCAGACCGCCAACACGACGTACTGGGCCCTCTCCTTCCCCGGCGTCGTGCTGGTGACATTCGGTCCGGACCTCGCCTTCGCGGCCGCATCGATCTTCATCACGAGTAACGTGTCGCGGAGCTACCAGGGCAGTGCGGCCAGTCTACTCGTGACGAACCAGAACTTGTCGAGTGCGATCATGACCAGTGTTGCTGATGCGATTGGCACGAAGATTGACCGTGATCCGTCCGGGAGCATCGGGCTCACGGGGCTCAGGGATATCTGGTGGTTTGCGTTTGCGGTGCAGCTGCTGGCGGCGTTTGTGGTTGTTGTGTGGGTGAGGATTCCGAAGGAGGTTGAGAAGGAGCATGTTTCTTGATTTGTGGTAGATTGGATTTATATAGATATAGATATAGAGCTATCACAGGCATGATTGTTATGAATTCGGTTTTTATGAATGGTATCAATTAATTTTGAAAATGTGCAGTAGGTGTACTAGTAGCATCACCATCCTCACATAGTAAGTTATGCTTTGTGCAGTCCCTCAATGAGAGCGTGGATGATTAATACCGGGGAAAGCTGCACAACCTTACCAACACCTGGGAAACGGATGTCAAGGCGTTAGCTGCAGTCCTGTCACTATGGACACTAACTATCAAGGCAGGGCCAGAGATCGACCCTCGAAGAACAGTCCTGTAACATTGGCGTGGTGGAGATGGAGTCATCAGATACGCTCCCCTGGTTTCAATGTCTGAGTTGACCTCCCCCAATTGATCGTATACTACGACGGTAACCCAAAGTTGACTCGATTGAAAGGCAACTTGCACCATACAACAACATAGCAGTTCAATCCGACGAAGACTCACCGGTTTTCGGGTCACTTCCCGAGTCGTTTGCCAAGTCGCTTCCCAGATTATGCGCCCGGGGAATATTCAGTGCATTCATGCTGCAGCTAGCATCCAAGATGACGCCAATATCTGAATGACACCACGTTCTGTTGGGAGCACAGCGCTATGTCAAAACTAACCGATATAGTACGCGATTCTAAACTGGCCGTCGACGACGATGAAGCGTATATGTTAGTTTATCCTGCATTCGAGACCTGCGGGCTGTTTTCGGAGGCTGACGGGCAGCCTATCGACGATAGAACGGACCTATATAGTACCCTGAACCGTTGTAATTCCTTGGTTTATGGTAGTAGGCAGCATTCACAAGTGAGAGCATTTCAGGTTACATACAATTCTTTTTGGCATTCTAAGTTACGAACCCACCGCAACTTGCAACACTACGCCAAAACGATAGGTTGCAAGATGGTACTTACAGTAGCGTCCTTCCTTACTCAGTAACCTCAAATAGAATAATGGAAGATATATATTAACCTATCCAGATAAAGACCAAGGAAAGAAAATAAGGAAGATATAGCGAGACGTATAGAGAGTTGTTAACATGAAAGGCCTGGCAACATCACAGGCGCGAAGAGATACATAACGAAGGTTGGTTTGTTCCAGAAAGGAGAGAGAGAGATGACTAGCTTATTCTGATAAGAACAGGGCAAGTGGCAATAGCTTAGAACCAAGGAGCACGCTCAATGTGGCCATTGACACACCAGGTTCCGGGAGCGACAGGACCCATGAAGACGAGGTCACCATGGACACAGCGGAAGAAGCTGAAGTGGTCAGCGGAGCAGATGTACTCATCGGGGTAGCGGCAGTGGCGGTGCTCAGGGGTGGGGTAATCATAGTGACCAGCTGAAGCTTCCTGGCCCAATGGTGCATGGGCGACAGCAGCAGAAGAAGATGCAGCGGCGGGTGAGGAATCGAGGGCACCGTGGGCGGCGCGGGCAGCGCTGGCCGAAGGGGAGGCAGCGGCGGAGGAGGAGCTAGCAGCGTTGTCGTTGGTGGTCCTTGAACTGCCGAGGAAAGGAGCAGATCCCTCGCATTTGTAGCCCTTCTCTTCGGCCTTTCCTTCGACGGAGGGGCCTGGCTGGGGGAAGTTGACGTCCTTGCCTTCAATGGTCACACATTTGCCGGGGCCGTTGACGTTGGCGACGAAGATCTCTGGGAGGCTGTCGAAGGCGTTGGCCTTGGAGACAGCGGAGAAGCCTTCCATTCGGGCGTTGTCGCTGCCGACGGTGACTTGGGCGCAGTTCATGTACATCTCGCGGTTGCCGACCTTGTTGAACCAGGTCCAGGCGAGGAGAGCCTCACCGGATGGGGCATCAGAGGGGACCTTGAACTTGTAGCTCTTCTCCAGAGGGCATCCACCGATCATAGAGTGGATGACGCGGAAGGTCTTGCCCTTGTCGTAGGAGAGGGAGATCTGGCACGAGCCACCATTGTGGGTAGCGCTGCCTTGGAGTTCAATCTCGTACTCTTGACCGGGCTTGTAGTCGGCCACGGATTTGAAAGGATCGTTGGCGTATCCCTTGCAGGGAAAGTCATCTCCGGAGGTGGACAGAGGGTTGGTGTAGGAGTAGTCCTTTTGGCCTTCGGCCTTCTGGTTGAGAGGGCTGCGAATAGGGTACGGCTTGGACATCTGAATGTGTCCAAGGGCGGACGACGCCAAGAGAGTGCAGGTCAGGAAGAAGCTCTTCATGATGACTGATTATTGAATAGTTGATGATTTGAATTATTTGGAAGCACCAGGCTGCGAAGTGGAAGTTGAAGTGGTATCTGCAGTGAAGCGTCAGGCCAGCTCTACAAAGTCTTATACCGTTGAGCAACACAGAACTTACCAGATTATACAGCTAAGAATAATAGCCCAATAAGGAGTGACAATGATCAATAGGCTAAGACCGAATGCAAAGGAGAGAATTGATAACACAACTCTTGTGCAGCCCAGGCGAGACACAAGGAGAGCGAGAGGGCGAGAGATGGTAGCAACACAGGCCCAGCTCTCGTGCTCCCGTCGAGAGCAGCATCTTAAATAAATCAATCCTCGAGCTCTGGAATGTTGGAAACCTTATTGCACAGAAAAATAGCGCTCAACAGGGAGGATGAATGCCATGCCTGCCCCATATTCTGGGTGCCGGGTATCTGGCCAGGAATGCTGCTGTAAACAGGCAGCGTAACACTGCGGGAGTCGCCCCATACCATTCTCATGGATTCGGTCTAGGCGAGTAACAGAAGCCGCATTGAAGGTCTTCCTCTTGTTTAAGAGACTGAACTGGCCCATTCTCATGGATTGGCTTCTGAATAGGAATGGGTCCCATAGAAGGGGAGAAGTCTATCGACGCGGACATGCGGTCATTGTGGAAGAGATCCGGACTGTCGAAATACCGCTGGAATGCTCTGTGATGTTTGTGACGAAACAGTGGACTGGCCGGAGTTTATAGAAAGTGGTCAGTAGACGTTGTCGAGGGTCAAGTGAGACTGTACAGTCGAGTCAGCAGCGATCAGCTTAAACTCAGCGCGTCGCGTCTCCAGTCTCAACTCTCCTGCAACCACTCCTCCATCTCGGACTGTCCAACCCACGTCGCTCATTTATTCATTTATTCATTTACTCTATCTTCACGAGGTCCATTTGATATTAACCTCGCGTTCTCCTGACGCACCATGATGCCCCGGCATCGCAATTAGTTGACTCTCGTTCGAAGGCCCATATTTCACCCGATCAGACCCCTCCCGCTGAATGTTTGGGCGACGTCTCCCCCCGGAGAGGTTCGTCCAGCATGCCGTCCGTTGGCACAGCGCCGTGGAATCCGGTCCAACCCACTGGATTCGCCACCCCTTTACATTGCGTCGGTCATGGATGACTCGCCCTGTCATAGTGGCGATCTCGATCGCCGCCGTTCGAAAGCCGGATTCTCGACCCCAGTGTCGTGCTTATAGCGTGGTCGCACACTCACTGCATTCCACAGCAGCGCGATCCATTTCGAGGCTTGCGACAACTCCATTGGTTACTACACCCCCTGCGAGCCGTCTCAGCGCACGATCGCTGAGCTTGTCCCACACTATGGAAGGGACCCCCGCGGCGGACACGCCAGTCACGCCAGTGAAATCGGAGGACGAACAGGTCGGGCATTCTCGAGCGGCTGCAGATGAGGGACTTGCGCGTTCAAATCTTGACACCGCGCCAATTGATCCAGAATCGGATGAGGATGTACCGATTGAGCCCGAGGAGCTTCAGGAAGCTCTTTCGCGCACCCCGGCCGTCAATAGCAGCTATCTCCCCCTCCCCTGGAAAGGCAGACTGGGGTATGTGAGTATTCCCGTCCTTGTAATATGAGGCTGTTATCTAATTGCACATGCTCCCCCGCAGGCCTGCCTGAATACCTACTTGCGATACTCGAATCCTCCCGTTTTCTGCTCCCGAACCTGTCGTATAGCGTCGATCCTCGAGAATCGCCATCCGCTTACAGACCCCTCGCAACCGAATCATCCCACTAAAAACCGGCCGGACCGGTCGCGGCCACCAAGCGTACGACGAGGCCAAGCCTATGTTGAGGCGATAGGGCTAGCAAATGTTCGTGATCTGCCGAAACTGATACGATGGAACGAGCGCTACGGTATCAAGTTCATGCGCCTCAGTAGTGAGATGTTCCCTTTTGCAAGTCATAAAGAGCATGGATACCGGCTGGCTGGCTTTGCCTCACATGCGCTGGCAGAGGTTGGGCGCCTTGTCGCAGAGTTTGGTCATCGAGTGAGTGTACACCCAGGCCAATTCACGCAGCTCGGCTCGCCTCGACCGGAGGTTTTGGAGAACTCGGTCCGGGACCTGGAGTACCATTCGGAGTTGCTACAGCTGCTGCGATTGCCTCCCCAGCAAGACCGTGATGCGGTAATGATCCTTCACATGGGTGGCGTCTTTGGTGACAAGGAGGCAACCTTAGATCGATTTCGTCAGAACTACCAAAATCTCTCGCAGGATATTAAAAATCGCTTGGTTTTGGAGAATGACGATGTAAGTTGGTCGGTCCATGACCTGCTACCGATATGTGAGGAACTGAATATCCCGCTCGTTCTGGACTACCACCACCACAACATAATCTTCGACTCGTCTCACGTCCGTGAAGGCACTCTAGATATCATGGGTCTCTATGATAGAATCAAGGCTACGTGGACAAGAAAAAACATCACGCAGAAAATGCACTATTCTGAGCCTGTATCTGCTGCCATCACGAATCGCCAGCGTCGGAAGCACAGTGACCGCGTTCGCACGCTTCCACCTTGTGATCCCACTATGGACTTGATGATCGAAGCAAAGGACAAGGAGCAAGCTGTATTTGAACTAATGAGAACATTCAAGCTTCCTGGACATGAGCTTGTTAATGATATCTTGCCCTATGTCCGGACCGACGAGAACAAACCGTTTAAACCTCCACGAAAGACAAAGAAAAAAAATGGCGATTTTGTCGACCTTGAATCCCAGGTACGCCCTCCCAAGACCGTCCCCGAGGAAGAAGTCGGCATGGGCGGTCCAGAGCGAAGAGTATACTGGCCTCCTGGCATGGAAGAATGGCTCAGGCCAAAGAAAACTGTCAGGACCAAGACCCTGAAAGCTCTCAAATCTCCGAAAAAGGCTCCTGCGCCACCGGATGCAGATGGTGCAGATTATGCCACTCCTACTACACCCACCACTCCAGCAACGAAGAAAAGAACTAGCAGAAAACGCAAAGCGTCTCCTGCCCCGTCGACGCCATCGGCTTCTGATATCGAAGCACCTAATGATTCCGCTGCTGCTAAAAGCGATAAAGTTCGTCGGAGCCGAAGAACTAAAACCGTGAACTATGCAGAGAGCGAGTCGGCATGATCCTTACAACATCCCCCCTCGTATATAGTGTACAATACTATAAACATAATATAATGCGACATAAATAGAACCGGAAATGACACTGTTTGACAATCAACGTCTTCTGTATGCCTATATCATACATAAATCAATGATCAGCTGCCTCTCACTTGACCTTCGAACAATTCTCGGCTTAGAATTGAAACCCATACGTTCAGGATACCCCTTTTCGTCTACTGAACCTCTCTTACTTCATACCCCCCCTACCACCAGTTTTGCTCCAATAAGTTTATGTTGAACTCCTCCAGTCTCTTCACCTACTCGCTTCAACCTATCTGAGTTCTGACACTTATTCTAACTGCTCACCTCTTAGTCCTCAGCTACGTTCATGGTCATACCATCTCCAGGTAAAAAGTATCCTTGACAGTAGCACTCCCAAAACTCACAAAGGATAGGCGATCCTAATCCAAACCAACAGTCCATGGGCAAAAGAGCCTAACATCCCCACCTACCATCACCCTCCCATTTAGGCCCAAAATCTAGGGTTTACCCACAATGGCACCTTCAAAATGCGACATCAAGGGCGTGGACTACGAAAAGGGCTATCTCCAAACCATGGACCAAGTCTCCACCAAAATGGCCGGCGCACTGGGATTCAAAGACACAGGGCAACTCTGGGACTTATACCTGAAAGACCCCGCCACAAAAACCATCCTTTCACACTGGCTCGATATCCGCAAGAAGACCTTTGGCGCACAGCTAAGACATGCACAAATGACGGTCCGCCCGGCGGCTATAAATCGAGCCTTCGATCCCAAGATACAAGCCATCATATCTAGTACCAGACAACCGCGAATTGGGCACGACGGTATCGACGAGAAGTCTCTGGCACCAATGGTTTGTCTCTGGATGGCATGGAAACTTATCAAAGCGACCCCCAGTCTGTTTAGACGTAGCCGGCTGGATACCAAGCCGCCACATGTGGACCCGTACGATATCACGCATGCTTATAAGCTACTCTCGTGGATATATCGGAAGCAGATGGGAGGTAAGATCCCCATAACGAAGCCGCGGAGTACGGCTGCCGAGTCGCCGGTTTTCTTCCACGAGGGCCTGGGGGCTACGACTGCGGCGGGGCCGAGTCGGTCAGTGCGGGATTTGTTTGGGGTGTCTTCGGGTGATGCGATAAAGGCTATGGAGAATGAGAGGGCCGTTGCTGTGGCGAGTCGGGATGAGGATGCTGCCAGGGCTCTCAAGCTTGATGTTGTGGGTGAGCTTACGGATGCCATATATACTGAGTCGAACCCGGGAAGACAGGTTGGCGGTGGACGGACGCCTTGTCTTCCGATTGATCGGGCGAACCTATTGCGGCATCTGATGGAGATTGATCGCTTTCAGCATGATTGTATCTTGAGTGAGACGACTCATGGTCTTTCTGGTGATGGTGTTGCTGGCACAGATGCACCTCGCAAGGTTGCCCTAACTGTTGCAAACACAGAAAATGCTCTTGACAATGGCCAACACCCTACTGCGTCAACGGACCAGGGGCCGTCTAATGGGGCAATCCCAGTTTCGACCATGGACGCAAGGCCCAAAAGTACTGAGCTTGAAACAGTCTCGCCGTCTCCAGCACCAGCCGCTCTATCCTTGAATCTTGAATCGCTTCTCGAGAATCCGACCACGGCCGGACCAGATATCCCGCCTTGCGAGATCACAACCGTTGAGCTCGTGAATCCAGAACGCATCCAAACCATGCACAACGAGCGCTACGAGGTGCTACTCCGCGAGTTCCAGCCAAACGACGACCCAGCACAGTACACATCTGCTGATCCAGGCAGTGGGAGCCACGAACATAGATGTGCGCTTCGACGTCTCTGCCTACTTGCCTTCTCCCCACGACTCGATAAATTTGTTTCGCGGATCAACGCCAAACACGACCTAACTGGCCAGCTCAAGGACCACGCAGAGAAAGAGGATAGAGGGTTTGCACTATACTACGCAAACACAGCCCTAGACCCTTCCGTGCCCATGCCATCTACCCCACTCCTCCAGGGCTCATACCTGGCAATGGACACACCCAAGCTGCGAATCCTACTCAAGATACTACACGACGAGGGTATTTTCGATACAGCTACAGCAATAGCAACCCGCCCCCGCATCATAATCGTCGCTCACTGGCCCCTAATTCTCTGGATGACAGAGATGTTCCTAAACTCACTCTCCGTCCCCTTCGTGACAATCCGGCCGTCCATGTCCGCCAAAGACCGCAAGAAAACCATAACAAACTTCACGACTGCGAGCCCCAAACGCGCGTGCCAGGTGCTGCTCACGAATTTCAATTGCGGGGCCAAGACGATGAATCTGCATACACGCTGCTCGAGGATGGTTGTTATGGAGCCGCCGCTGAGTTTGAAACGACTCTGCCATGCTATTGGGGGTATTCATCGGGTGGGACAGAAGGAGAGACAGAAGGTTTGGATCCTTTATCAGGATCAGACGTTTAGTCGGTGGGTTGAGGCGAATAGTACGCTGAATTCATTGCCTTTGGTTGCGGCGAAGATGGGGAAAGAGAAGCAGGGCGAGGGAGCTGGAAGCTCCGGGAGTAAGTGCAAGAGCAAGGGCAGGGCTAGTTATGAGGGTGCGGAGGCAGAGTTGACAAGGCTGTTTGGGAGGCCTTGTGATTTCTCCAGCTTTATCAATTATTGCGATCTCGGGGATGGGCTGGCTGTATCTGTTCCTGCTAAGCGGGCGAGTGGTGGGAAGGCAAGCCTGGACGAGCGAAACGGGCGAAGAAGCAAAGAACTAAAGAAACCGAGGAAGTATGATGATGTAACTAGCGAGTTATTTCGTGGTTTTATTAGCATCTTCGTATGAATGGACCTTCTCGGAGATATATAAATATATAAAGGCACGGAGCATAGCACAACTATGTTGGTAAATGAGAAGAGAGAACAACAAAAAAAAAAATGCCGACAATGAAACTAATAAAGATTAATTAGATTTTATCATTTAGCTGGTCAAATTAGATCCAAGTGTCAGTATGAGTATTTAACTAGTTATTTTTTGACATGATGACTTAACACTGCGCGAAAACGTCACAGTCCAGCCCATTTCGTTCCCCACAGGAGCAACAACCGTCAGCAACCAGACGCAGCGCTTTTCCTCTTCATCCTCTCACAATTTAATGACTTTTATATCTGAATATTCGGAGTCGAGGTAAGAATATTTCCACTTGCTTCACCGGTATAACCCCGCCTTTGTCCTTGGCTTCCTTCAGCCGCTGCTGCCTGCGCACCTCCGCGGCGAAACAACACCAGGAGACTGCAACTAACGAGCGCACAAAGCCTTACTCGATAGACGAACCGGATCCCAGCTCACACTTTAACCCAACCAATCCCACTCGATTGAGGCCACCGTCGAATCTGGCTCCGAAATCTTTCTCCCGGAGCCGCTGGCGAACCCCGCCGCCGACCCTCGCGAAGCGGCAACAGCCACAACCGTTCCTTCACCCACAACACCCTCGTCGCTTCCCTCTCCAAGACCCAATCCCAAAATCCAGCGGCCACGGCAAGTTTTCTCGTCTCTTTCGCCTCATATTTGGACCCCACGCGGGACGCCGTGCGCACCTCCGGCTGTGGAATTTCCGACACGAGACCATCCCCGCTGTTCGGCACCGGGCGCAGGCGAGGGTTTACCGAGCGCTTCTCCAGCGACAGGCGAGGCTCGCCAGGAAAGCGGAAACAGGGAAATTAGGCCTTAAGGAGTTTCTTGTCGGACGGAGACGGCGGCGACGCCGGGGCGTGAGCGGGCTTGTTGGGGGACTGCTGGTGCCGTCTGAGAACGCGGCGCGAGGTTTAGGAATAGGAGCGAAGGCGAAGACGAAGTCGCCTAGCGGGGACATGTCAGAATACGGGTCTCTGTCGTCGTGGGGGAGTGGTTATGGATCAGGGACGCGGCGGAAGAAGGTGTTTGACTATTTGAAGGCGGCGAATGAGTTGCGGCAGTCGTATGCGGCATCGTGGACGGCGCAGCGGAATGCAGCACGAGACTTTGACGAAGAGTATTTGAATACGCCTGGGGCGTTTCCGGATGTTGAGATTGCGCGGGCTGGGGGTGAGGAGATGATTATTTTCCCGAGCTATGCGAGGCGGTTGGATCCGGACCGAGTAGAGGAGATGAAGAGACAGAAGGAGCAGCAGCAGCAGGAGCGTGACTCGATTGACTCGATTGATGAGTATCATGGGCTGGATCAAGCGGAAGAACACGATATGCCGGAGTGGAATATCTTTGATTCTGCCAATGCTGTCGTTGCGGTTGATGTACGGGGGTGGGTGTATGCGCCTTATCGTGGGCCGATGACTCGGAAACAGCGGCTGGTGGTTGCGCTGGCCCGGCGATTGAGTGGTGTGCCTGCTCCCAGCAATAACGAGACTGGCCCGGATGGATCGGATCAAGATGGGGAACGATTACCACATATGACTGAGAAAAGGGAGGAGGAGATTGTCAACACGGAGGCACAATCGATAATTAGGAATGCCGACAAAGGGAATGAGTTGAATTTGAAAGAGGCTTCAGATTCCCTTGAGGACGATATCCCTGGCCGCAGTCCACAGCGAACACCAACAACCGCGTCAGCTCAGTCGACGCTGTCGGCACAATCTACGCAGCTAAGTAAGGATGAGCTTTCCGTTGCGAATGCTAATCTTATGCAACGGATACGGCCGTTCTTGTCGAGCCCAAGGGCTGAGATGGCGGTGACTGTTTTCTTCTTCAACGATAAAGAAAGCCAGTCAAAGAATATCTTGACAAACGAGGCCGGCCATTTCTCTGTTCGAGTGTCACTACCGTTCATTCCCACCCATGTCCGCGTCCTTGCTTCGGAGGACCTTTCTGGTGTGAAGGAGATTGAAATCATTGAACCCAAGGGAGTCAGTATGATAAGTGATATTGATGACACGGTAAAACATTCTGCCATTGCGAATGGCGCAAAAGAGATGTGCCGGAATGTATTTGTCCGTGACCTGTCGGAGCTGACCATTGACGGTGTTACCGACTGGTATAATGAAATGGCCAAACTAGGCGTGGACATGCACTACGTTTCCAGTTCGCCGTGGCAGCTTTATCCACTTTTAGATCGCTTCTTCAAGATGGTTGGACTTCCGCCTGGATCCTTCCATCTGAAGCAGTATAGCGGTATGTTGCAAGGTGTCTTTGAACCTACTGCAGAGAGGAAGAAGGGGGCCCTGGAGCAGATTCTAGGAGACTTCCCGGACCGGAAGTTCATCTTAGTTGGGGACAGTGGGGAGGCAGATCTTGAGGTGTATACCGACATTGTGATGGCAAATCCGGGCAGAATCCTCGGCGTATTCATACGCGATATCACCACGTCGGAGCGCGCTACATTCTTTGAAAAGTCTGTCCCGGAGCAGACGCCTTCCCGCATGCGCAGCACTCCTGAATTGGCTGAACATTCCGATTCGGCGCCCAACAGGCCTACATTACCGCCACGGCCGCCACGAACGTCCTCAGACCCAGCTTTAGAAACTAAATCTGCACAGAGCGACGACTTGATTGACCTTTCGGAAGAACCTGAAAAACCGCAAAACTTACGAGCGCCACCTACAGTTCCCTCGAAACCATCCTCACTCCGCTCCGTCACAAATACAACCGATATCACAGAGAAACCCGGGGAAGCCATCAAACGCAAACCTGCGCCCCCTCTACCGAGACGGCGCGGCGGTGACCCAGAGTCGCTGTCACCCGGTGAACCTGTATCGGGACGGTCATCTCCTGGCACGGAAACTGGTGGATCGAAACAGCCACCGCCGCCTCCACCTCCTCGCCGATCTAATACTGGAGCATCATCTATGAGCTCTACTTCTCAAACGAGCGCAAACGCGAACCGTCAGGCTGCGGATCAGCAACCGCCATTCCGTACATCGACTACACCTTCCTCCCGGCCCTCTTCTCCAGCAAATACCAGCTTATATCCACCCCCACCGCGCACTCTCCGATCCCCACCTTCGAATTCCTCACTTAACAAAACTAACGCGAACAATTCAGCAACTCCTCGGATTCCTCTTGGGAACAAACGGGAAGAACTGTGGCGGAGACGCTGGGAACGAGCTAGCGAGATTTTAGGTGACAAGGGGGTAGTGCTGGGTAGCTGGCGTGTTGGAACGGATGTAAAGGACGTAAGTCTTTGGCTGGTGAAGGAAGCAATGAAAGAGACACCGAACGAAGCGGAAAAGGAAAGGAAGGCCAGCAGTGCATGAACTAATGGGCCATAGCCATTTCTAGATGTGTATATTTATATGAAAGCCTGCACATAAATAAGTGAACAGCTTCTATAGCAGATACAATACATGACTGACCACTGAAGCGATATCTCGCATGGTATCACAGGACCTAGCTTTTATCAGTTTATACGTGCCTACGCAGACATGTAGACATCGATGCCGGCTTTTATATGCAGCAGAGTTGGGCACTAGGTCAGCTGACTCGCCAGGCCCTAACTTGGATCGGGCACGGCGGTTGTTGGTCATCGAGTGTAGCAGTCAAAGTAGATTAAACTCGTTCACAGTACTAGAAGGTATAGCCTAGGTACGCGGAGTAAATAAGAGATCAACATTCCCAGGATAAAACACAAAGTTATCCTTCGCACCCCCCAGAAACCTTGACCCGTCTTCCCCCGGAGCAAACTCCACATCGAACTCCATAATGAGCTGGGCAATTGTATCGCGGAGGTTAATCAATGCGAGCGGTCGTCCAATGCAGTTAAATGGGCCTGGAGCCGTTAGCAGCCTGAATGAGTAACGAAAGGGATAAGGAGGTACCAAGACTAAACGGTGCAAAAGCAGATTTGTGCCTGACCAGCTCCGGCCGACTATACCATCGCTCGGGGATGAAATCTTCTGGCTGGGCGTAGGCCAGTTCGGCTACTCAAGCTTATTAGTAACGTATTAGGGACACGGCTAGAAGGGTGACTTACACCGTCCTACCACATACAACGGACAATAGACATGCATATCGCCAGGAACATGGATGCCGTCAACGACGATCCCCTCGGGGGGTGTCTTGCGCTGCAGCGCGCTCGGAACGGCAGGATACAGTCGGAGGACTTCATTGATGAAGCCATTTAGATGGTCGAGGTGGGCGATCTTTGCATTCAGGAACTCGTATTTATCCTCGCCTTCGCCTTCGCCGATGAGCGGTTCTAGTTCGGCGCGCAGTTTGGCTATTTCTTGTGGGTGGCGTGCGAGTTCGTAGAATATCGCGGATAGTGCGCCGGATGTGGTGTCGCTGTTATCTATGTATTAGCGATATGGAATGTATCAAGAGGGAAAGGGGGATATACCTTCCTGCGATCACGATGAGTTGTGCGTCGCCGTATAGCAGGAACTTTTCCTCGTGCGTGACCTCTGATACGGGCTTTCCTTTCAATGGGGCAAGGAATGCGGAGCTGATATTTGGGATTTCAGGGGGGTTCTACAAGGATCAGGACCAAAATGCCAAAAATGCTATGGAGTATATGGTAAAAAGGAACTGGAGAGGAATAAGTGTTTACCTCAAACCTGTCCATCAGCTTCTCTCCGCAGAAATTCACAAATGTCCAAAGAGCCCTGGACAGTCCCGGGATGGCAGCAAGCATAGCAAACGCCCAAGACTGCACAAACATCCCGATATTATCCTGCATCGACGTCATGTGCTCAATCACCCAATGCTGCCTTCCCTGCTCCAGACACTGAAACCCTTCGCCAAAGGCCAAATCGCCCATGACATCGAACGAGAACAGATCGAACCATTTCCTAATATCCACGCGCGGGTCGTTGCTGGACGATATCTCACGGATCCGGTTGATTAGTTGCCGGCGGTACGGCCTGATGCGCTGCTCATATCCGCGCAGTAGTTTATCGCTGAACGCGGTGCTCCAGACGCGGCGGCGGGCGTGGTGCTGCTCGGTGTTGCGCATGAGCTGGAGGGAGTTGGTTGGGTAGACCATTTCGTAGTTCTGGCCCTTTCTGCAGCGGGAGTTGGGGCCGTAGACGAGTTCGACTGCGTCTGGGTGTGCGATGGAGAGGTCGGAGGAGCCGATGCGGACGAAGAGGCCGTGCTTTTGGTGGAGGTCGAGGAGGGTTGTGTGCAGGTTGTTTTTGAGCTGGGTTGAGAGCCATGATGTGGAGGCGCGGGCCGGGAATGGGCCGGGGAAGTTGTTTAGAGGGTGCAGCAGGATTCGGTAGATTAGGAGGCTTGAGTAGAGGCCTAGGAGGTAGGAGGATGCGACTGTGCAGGCTGTGGTTAATGCTGTGGCTAATGCGGTTTGCTGGATGTATGAGAGGATGGCGGTCGCAGAGATGATGCTCGTGAAGAGGAGCTTGATATAAAACAACCCGTAAAGATGATGCTCTCCTCGATTGAAGTAGGCCACATGGGAAAAGACACCGGCCAGTGCGGTGCTGGCGTACAGTGGGAGAGCCATAGTCGATGCCTGGAATTATAATTCAGGTGCCTCGACGGCCTATATATGCTGCCAACACCCCTCCTCGACCGTCGACGCTAACGGAGAGATGGATTGAACCAGCGCAGCATTAAAACGGTTTCGTTAACTTGCCAGGATGTCAACCGGATTTATTGCCCAGTTGGGAAATGACAGGTTACAGTCCTATTGTTAATGTAATATGCAGTGAGGGGCAATGATCAATCAAATCAATGTGAATGGACAGAGCAGACTGGCGTCTTGGCTGCATCTCGAGTCTACTGGTGGGCAATGCTCAAGTTATTATGCCATGTTATACCACTGCTGAAAGAGGCGAGACTGTATGGTAGTGATTGGATATTTTGTTGAGGCGACTACACTGCAGTTACAGACTTGAAAAGCGCCTTGATATCACCATAAAAAGGCTGCAGTGTCCTCTGCACCATCAGACGTTTCCAGCAGGATAGCCGGAGTATGACAGCCATTTCCTTCTATAAAACACTCCTCGTCGCGTACCTCCTGAGCTCGGGAAGCCTTAGGTCAAATAAGCTTTAAGCGACACTCTGCCTTAGGCATGAGGACCATCTCGTGCAAGTCATCCATATCGTGCTCAAGCTCGACCCCTGAGTTCCTAGGCCTGCCTATCGTCCGGTCGGAGCATCATGAAAAGAAGTGGGAGGGGGGCCTACGTACATGAAGAACAGCCAAATGCGAGTAAACCCTTTTGTTTTAGTGATGAAAATGGACGAGCGGGATGTTTTCCCCAGGCCCTGGAATTTCGCGAGTAGCTATCATGCGGAATGGGGAAGTGGCTTTGGATGCCCTAGAGATAGATTAACACCATGATATTCGGCCACGTACGTGGGTAGAGGCCTACTTGAGCAGCCGAATTCAATATTACTCGGCGCAGCGCCTCGAAACAAGTTGTTCAGTGTCGGCGCGAGGGTAAAAGCAACTCCAGACACATCTTGAAGCCTGGATTTGCAAGCTAAACTTCGGACTCTGTCTAGTGCGACCGCGAAGGCCACGTTGCGAAGGTCTTTAGGGCCGGATATGCAATGGCTGTGTCGATGCAGAGATGGGCTGTAACATCCAGTGTGCAGCATTATTAGCAATGTGACATCCCTGTACCTCTGGACATGTCCGAAATACCCACAGGAATCCAGATCCACGTGTGTCGGAGTCCTGGCGGGCTCGTTGCTCAACGACATTGGTAATAATTGGCTTCTCGTCGGACACAGGGAGCTGGAAGGGGATGGGAATGATGGCAGTGAATACTTGCAGAGACACCCCTAGTAAGCAAGTAGAGACAAAAAGCAGTCGCAAGGCAGCACGAGGATGCCTTACTTCATATAAGCCTGGTCATGACGATGTTTATCCCCTGCGTCCTGCTATTTAACCTGATCGTCGCGCTTGATGAGAGAGCTGGAGCCGAAACCCATCTGGGGCCCGACATTCGACAAATCGGGTTGGAATTGACAATTCAAGGGCCTTGGAAGTGTTGATCCGGTTCGTGCTCCACCTGCTGATCGACGTTCAATCGTGCAAGAGGAAACGCACGTAGGGTGTGGCTGGCTGGCCCTTCCACAAGTCTCTGCTTTGAGGAAAATCCAGGGATCTGTTCGGTCAGCCCCAGCGGTGGCCAACCCTTGCAGCAATTCTTCTACCCACAGTGGACGACACCGATACCTTTTGGGTAGACATCGTGCAGGCTCTGTGCATTATTCGCTGACCGCTGCCAGCCTGCCGCATAATATTACATCAAGCCCTTGCTCTGTTGCTAGCATCGGCATCATGCGAGCAGCACTATATGATTCCTCGTGATCTCAGCCCCCTGACGAATTTTCTTGATGATGAAAAAAAAAAAAAAAAAGAGAGAATCTAAATTACTGGATAATGGCCATTGGTATATTAAACCCCAGCGACTACGGGGTATCGAGAGAGCTTGGTTTCTTATCAGACACGCCTCCCATTCAACGCCTGGCCATTCCACGATACGATCCATGGGAGAAGACAGTCTCCAGGCTTCCGACTTTGATTGAACAGCGCAGATTACGGGACGAAGTCCATAGAATCCCGATTCTATCAACAACGCCGTTGAGGACGTGGGCTGAGCGGACACGAGCATACGTGTGCTTGGTCTTTTTAACAAATGGCTACGTCTGGGGTGGCGATGAGCCGGCGACGGTATGAGATACAAAGCAAAGAAAGAAAGTTATCATTTGGCTAATGCTCGACAGGTCCTGCCCCCTTGTCTCAGCATCCCTCTCCTCGAAATATGCAGCCATCTCGACGTTCCCCCGATAGCAACATATGCTGGAGTATGCCTTTGGAATTATAGCCTCCGCTCACCCATGGGATACGTCAATCAGCTCGAAAACCTACGGAGCAATACTTCTTTTACCGGGATAATAGATGAAGAATGGTTCTATATGGTTTCGGTTGCCATTGAGGCCCAGGGCGGGCCATCGATCACGGACTCGCTCGATGCAATCCAAGCAGCCTACAATAATGACCATGAGAAGGTAGTCGAGTGTTTGAACTCCATTGCTGAGAACTTGTTGCATATGTCTGTGCTATTGGGGAGGATGAACGAGAGGTGTTCACCTCGGCCCTTCTATACACAACTCCGACCCTTTCTCGCCGGCACGAATCGAATGAAAGAGTTCGGACTTCCCGAGGGATTAACTTATGACTGTGGCCATGGGAAGAGATTATACCGGTCCTACAAGGGCGGGAGTAACGCACAGAGCACCCTAATCCAGTTCCTCGACACCGTCCTAGGCGTCGAACACCACTCCGACGACCCAAAAGGCTCGGCAGAGTTTACCAACGAGATGCGGAACTACATGCCAGGCGAACATAGGAGGTTCCTCGAGGGAGTATCGAAAATCGCAAACATCAAGGCCTTCGTCCACGATAATCGCGCGCATACTGAACTCCAGGCCGCATACAATAGGTGCATACAGGGTATGTGCCGCATACGAGACACCCATTTCCAGATTGTCGCGCGCTTTATCCTCCTGCAATCGAAGAAAGGATCTGGTCATAATCACCGTCTATTGAACTCTCCACAAGATGACCCGGTACCTCGCGGGACTGGGGGGACGGACCTTGTTCGGTTTCTCCAGAAGACGCGAGAGGAGACTGCTAAGTGTAGGGTTCAGAAGCCTACTACAGTGGTGGATAATCCATGACCGAACAAGCGTAGTTGATTTTTGAAGATGGAAATTCAGTGATTCAACTCTCGTAGTAATAATAGATTTACTTTTCTCAACTGCCAAATATTTCCAGTGAAGCGATCACGCACTTGAGGAGTTTTCGACTGATGGACTTGAATCCGAACCAGATCGGCGGGTCTTTCCCTGCAGATTAGACACCTGCAATACTTAGATTCGACTGCAGCTCTAGTGTAACCACACAATAGTCATTACCTGAGCCTGGAAATACTCTAATCCTTACTGTGCCTATTTAGCCCTAATTACTGCCCTGCTAGTCACGTGGTTTCCTTACAGTAACACCACTCTCTCTCCATTCTATCATCACTCTTGTATTGACTTGGTACTCATCAGCAGCTTTTCCACCTAGCTTCAACAGAGTCTCATTATGGATCAGTCAATTGCCTCGATCTGCTACCATTAAGACAGCATTATTGAATTCGCCGACATGCTAGGAATGCCATCTTTGAGTGCCCCCCATCGAGTCCGAAAGCACCTCCGCACCTTGACCAATTCCAAGCCCATGAAATCAGTAATGCCGTTACTTTTAGTGGCAAATGGACCAATTGGCTGACGCTCAGTTACCGAAATTTAATCGGTTGTAATTCGGCTCCGGTTAAAAATCTCCATATCAACTCCCAGATCGGCGAACAACCCCGCAAAGTGATCGGACCCCCCGGATTAAAGGCCCAATACAAATACGCTCGATTGTAATCAACCTTCATGTTCAGGTAAAGGTCTACAATATTGAACAGCAGAATGGCTTTTGTCGAGGCGTCTACTCCGGTACTCTGTAGACTCTGTAGCTATGCAGCAGCAGCAGGAGCACTCAGCCACTGGACTTATTTCATGCATGGTGAACACCACCTCTCTGCTCCGTATTTGCTGAGAATTGCGATAATAATCCCGATCGCGACATCAATTTACATGTGGAAATACACCTTCCTAGACGCAGTCCAGGCTATTACTTTGACAACCCAGCTGGCGGCTTCATACTACGCAGCCCTCTACACCAGCATCATCCTATATAGAGTATTCTTCCACCGCCTGAGAAAGTTTCCAGGACCCTTTGCAGCAGGAGTAACCAAGCTATGGCACGTTTTGAAACTAGCTCCAAAGTCCAGGAACTACATGGAGCTGAATAGTCTGCGAGAGAAATACGGAGACTACGTCCGCACCGGTCAGTATCTCGAACAAAAATAACAGGGCATATCTGATGTACATACAGGCCCAGCTGAAATAACAATACTTGACGCCGACGCCGTCCCAGCTCTGCTGGGTCCGTCATCGAAATGCTCCAAGGCGCCCTGGTACGACTCCAACCACCCCGTTATCTCGCTGCATACCCTGCGGGATAAGAAATCGCACGATGCGCGGCGTCGGATCTGGGATCGTGGCTTTGGCGCAAAAGGTTTGAACTTGACATTGTTTCAACTTGCATTGCGCAAATCTAACAAATCATTCAGCCCTCCGCGCATACGAAGACCGAATCCTTGGGTACTCACGCGCCCTGCAGGACCAAATATCCCGACTCTCCGGCCATCCCATCAGCGCGGCCGACTGGTTCCATTTCTACAGTTTCGATGTGATGGGAGATATCGCGTTTGGCCGGTCGTTTGAGATGCTGAAGACCGGGAAGCCGCATTTTGCGCTGAATTTGTTGAAGGAGGGGATGGCGCCGCTGGGTTTGTTAGGGCCGGTTCCCTGGGCGTTTTGTATTCTTACGAGTATTCCGGGACTGGGGAGTGGGTTTAAGACGTTTGTTGGTTGGTGTACGGAGCAGGTTAAGGAGAGGAAGAAGGTGTGTCCGGCACCCTCTGTGATATCATTCAAGGCTAATAGGAATGATTGGTTGAAGATTGAAATGGACGTGCCGGATCTCATGTCCTGGCTCATTGAGTCCAGCGAAAAGACAGAGAAGAGCCAGCGCAAGGCTTCAGAGGCTCTCCTAGAGAGTGATTCGCGACTCATAGTGGTTGCAGGGAGGTAAATCAAAGCATAAACTATGTTTCCAGCTATAGGACCTCGTGCTAACGGGGATAGTGACACCACGGCATCAACCTTTACGTTCATGTTCTATCACTTGGCCAGGGATACAAATATGCAGGAGAAACTCCGAAAAGAACTAGTCTCCCTGCGAGAATCCGATCGGAGCTTCTCTTTCAAGAGTCTACAAAGGGCCGATATGTTGAATGCCATCATAAACGAGACTCTGCGCCTGCATCCGCCTGTCCCTTCGGGTGCACTGCGCTTGACGCCACCGGAGGGTATCAAGATTGGAGAGACTTTTATTCCTGGTAGCACCACGGTTGTTGCGCCGAGTTATTCAATTGGAAGGCGTGAGTTGATCAGAAATACCACGGGAGAGGATACTAACTTATAAACTTAGTCGAGAGCTGCTACGAGAAAGCGGATGAATTCATCCCAGAACGCTGGAGCTCGAAGCCTGAACTCGTCAAGAATAAGGCAGCCTTTGCGCCGTTCTCTCTGGGTAGATTCTCCCCAGTGGCAACTCGTGTGGTAGCTAACTGTCTACAGGATCCTTTTCGTGCGTGGGAAAGCAGGTAGCACTGATGGAGCTACGAATGACAACTGCGCTTCTCGTAACGGGGTTTGATATTCGCTTTGCACCGGGGGAGAATGGGCAGCGGTTGCTGAATGAATCAAAGGACTTCTTCACCATGTCTATTGCGGACTTGCAGCTTGTATTTACTTCCACGGCGGGATAGGTGGTGCCTACGTGGTGACTGAAAGCTTTCTTCAATAGACAAACACTGAACGATCAGCAAGACGGGACTCTTTTTAGTTTAGGGCTGCCTTCCTAAATAGGAAACTGGTCTCGTATACCCTCATCCCCACACGAAACAGCCCATGAATACGACAGGATATCCGGCAGTTCTCTTTTATGATTAAACGTTCCCCACCAACGTGGATACTTTCGTCGGGCATGCTGCCGGACGCGGGACCACACCATCCGATACCAGGCTCGAGAAGTCGTACGATGGATATCCTGCACAGCCCTGTCAAAGCAGCCCCAGTGGAACCAGAAGTTGCCCCTTACAGAAAACCTCAGTTCCTTGACGATTTGCCAAATGTGGTAATCCAACTGCCTCAGCGATTGCGCTCTTGAGGTATAAATATCTTCCATGATCCGTACAATCGTTGAACCAACACAATCATTCATTTCTTAAAGTCTTTCAAAATGAAGCCCTCTACTGTTCTCGCCCTCACTCCCTTCTTGGCTGCTGCTTACGCTAAGCCTGTCGAAAAGCAGCCTTCTCGCTTCGATGTGATGGCCGTGAGCGAAGGCCCTGTGCAGTACCGTGCGCTGGCCCTTTCGTCTTCCTTCTTCTACCTCGGCAAGGGAGACGGATTCACCGACTCTTTCTGTCCTCCTAAAGTCGAAGAGGCCGGCAAATGCCCGCCTGGAAAGGATACCGTCTTTAAGGATGCCTCTACCTTGGTAAACACCTTTCATCTTATCCCATAAAGCACCATCGTTTGACAAGTTGAATAGGACACCGTTGTCCCAGGCCAAGTTCTCTACGTCGACTTCAACTACGCCGTCAGAGCCACTGGCCCCAATGGAACTGAGATGGAGGCCGATGGCAGCCACACCAAGCCCGACGGCATCTACACCGGCTTCGAATATGTCCCTGGCTCAAAGCACGGCCAGTGGGAATTCCACGCTCATGGCAGTGACGGTTTCTTGGCCTGTCCTTATGGCAATGATATTTATCAAGTATACGTCAACAGCCCGAATGCAAAGCCCCCTCGTGGACAGGACCTCGGTACCTGTGTTCTTTTTAATGCAGGTGCTTTTGAGTACAGTCTACCTGCGAACGCTACTGCTGCTGCCTGGAGATATTAGACAATGGTTGAGCTTGGTTAACTGGTTGATACTGTGAATTAACCGCCTTGGACTTTTGCAGCATGAGTCTTCGTTTTTATCAGGAAACTTCCTGACTTGTTGAACCTATACGCTCGTTTTAATAAATCAAAGCTAGAAAACATTTGCCTAGAATTATGTACATTCCACAGGCTGCTTTATCATGATTCAAATCGTACAGCTAGTAGTTGAGTTAGCTTAGCCAAATAGACCCTTGACCTGATCGTTTATGTGACTAAATAACGAAATCTGGCATGCATTTCAGTTTCACCGTGTCTCAAGTATTTTCTGAACTCTCTAATAGCCATCGGGCAGGGTCCAGATCGAAGCAGTTGCATAGGAGGGTCCACATTTCTACTTGCCCGAGCGAGGCTATGAGGCATTGTACGGGTCCACCATTCACGACAAATGATAGATAGTCTCTGCCAGCGTCACAATAGCTCGGAATGCAGTTTGAACTGCCTACGTCACTCAAATGTGATGAAGGAAACGATTGTCACCGACACAGCCTCGTAAGTATTATCTACCTCGGCGGGGTATGCTCTGAACCCTTATATCTAACCCCCCTCGCTCCGATTATTCTGTTTCTCTTTTCTTCATCATCAAACATCTTTCTATCCACCAAACATTTTCTACCCCGTAATCCATCATGGGATCTATCATTCGCAACCTTTGGTCTTCTGAGAGCCCAGGGCCCAGAACCGTTGTTCGAGTCCTTGATGCTGCCATCGCTACAGTGGGCATCATCTGTATAGCAGTGGGATCCAATTACCCAGCTTCTGGGATGATATATTACATTACAGTATGTATAGCCCTCTCTTTGTCGAAAGATAAACCCCATCTAACCAATTCGCCTCTTGCAGCTCGGAGTTGCAGTAATCTGGTCAACCCTTATTTCGTTCCTCACTCACAACGACCGTCTCTTCCATCCCGGGTTCCTTATTGCAATGGATTTTATGCTCGCAGTAGTGCACTATGTCTTTGGAATTGTCAACGCCTTATCTGCAGACACCGCTGGATATCTGCACACTGATGCAATTAGGGCAACATTCCTGCTTATAACTGCGTGCGTGACTTTGTAACTTGGTTTGAGAGATGTTGCTAATCTTGCTGTAGGGTTATTCATACCGTTTTCTTTGTCCTGGCCTGTCGGGATACGCATGTTCGACGACGGTCGTCTGTTGCGGGAGCTCAGAAAGTTGGAATAGAGATTAATACTGCTTGAAGAGGAGAGTCCACGGCAGGGCAGGGAGTTTCCCTTTTAGGAAACTGGTCGGGTTACGGTTTTCGCCCCATGTTAGGGTTCCAGTTTCGTTGCCCCGGATTATCCAACGTCGTTTTCGTATATTCAACGCCAATTAATGCAGTGGAATATGTGAGTGGATCGTGACAATTCCTATCGTGTAGTCTTTAGTATTAATGGGCCATTGGAAGAATCCGTAGGAATATTCTTTATATGCTGGACTTACAAGCTACATAAGCACACTCATCGTTAGACAAAATGCTCCAGATATCCACTGAAGGCGTTCTTATTAGTCCAGGAGATTTAGATTATGGCGACACCTGCCACCACTTCCCCACATGGGTAGGTCTAAATTACAAAGTCATCGAATGTGGATCTCGGAATATCCGACTGTATTAACACGCTGATCCGGCAGCTGGAGGCTCCTCATTCCCGGTCAAGACTCAAAAGTGCTGTTTATCTGCCGGAAAAGGGGTTATCCATGAAACCCAGCCTAATTAATTAGTGTAGAGAGTAGAGATACCCCACACGAGGCGTCATTTATAATTAGGGGCCTACCCCAACTCCAAGTCTGCAGAATTAAAGCCATTAATACGGAGAGAATGGCCTACATTCCGTACCTGCTGCTCTGCAGCTTATTCGCCGCGCAGGGCCTGTGCAAAATATCCTGCACCGAATCGGCATTCTCCAAATACCTATCCTCGTCCGGCCACCACGACGCCAGAGTCCTACGAACCTCCCATATCGCGCAGGGAGAAACCTTCCAAGTCCCAGCTAGCGACATCGCATACCCGCAGTCGCCGACAGAGTTGCCAGAACTATGCGCCGTCCAGATCAACGTCACCTCGAGCCCGGACTCGGCGTATTCGTTTGGACTGTTCCTGCCGGTAGATTGGAATAGTAGATTTCTGTACGTTGCATTATCTGTTGTTTGCACTTAAATAACTAAACAATTCCAGGGCTGTTGGAAATGGCGGGTTCGCTGGCGGCGTCAATTGGGCGGACGTGGTTAGCTCACACATACATACCCACTTTTAACTCAGATATATCTAATAAATGAAACGAACAGGGCGTTGGCGCTCGCTACGGCTTCGCATCCATGTCAACCGACACAGGACACAACAGCACCTCCTCAGACGGAACATGGGCATACCACGCACCCGAGGCATTAACCGACTGGGGCCACCGCGCAATGCACGGCTCCGTCGTGCTATCCAAGCAACTCATCGAAGCATATTACAGCAGCGAATTGAAATACAACTACTACAGCGGCTGCTCCACCGGTGGGCGGCAGGGTCTGCGGGCTGTCGAGCTGTATCCGGATGATTTCGACGGTGTTATTGCGGGTTCTGCGGCGTGGTGGACGTCGCATTTGCAGACGTGGACGACCAAGGCGGGGACTTATAATGTGCCGTCTCCTGCGCAGATCCCGATTAGTATGTTTTCGGTTATTGAGGAGAAGATATTGAGGCAGTGTGACCCACAGGATGGGTTGATGGATGGTATTATCTCGGCGCCGCAGGGGTGTAGCCTTAATCTAGAGGCATTGTTGTGTCGGAAGCAGGGCCAGGAGGAGTGTTTGAGTCCTGCGCAGCTTGGAACTCTACGACTTATCTATAGCGACTATGTTGATACGAACCAGACGTTTGTTTTCCCGGCTCTTCTCCCCGGGACCGAGTCGCAGTGGGAAGTGGTCATTGGGAATGGGACCGGGAATCCACTGGGCGTGGACTACGTGCGTTATTTCCTAGGCCTGGGAGAGAACTGGACGCAGGAGCAGTTCGATTACAGCATTGTTCAGCTGGCAGACAAACTCGACCCGGGTAATGCGACGGCCGACGACTTTGATATCTCGCCGTTCCAGAAGAAGGGCGGGAAGCTGCTGACGTACCATGGAATGGCTGATGGGTATATCCCGACGGATAGCAGTTTGTATTATTACAACCAGGTGGCCAGTACCCTAGTTCCGAGGGGTACTGATCTCGATGACTTCTTTCGGTTCTTTTATGTTCCTGGGATGCAGTAAGTTGACCTTCCACTTCCCAGTGGGTGTACAATGTTAATTAATCTGTGACAGGCACTGCAGCGGTACACCAGCAAGCGTAAATGCGCCATGGTACTTTGCTGGACCAAACCAGAGCCCAACTCTGTCGTCCAGTCTGCACGGTGTCCCTGGATTTGCAAACGCGAAGCATGATATTCTGTTGGCATTAATGGCTTGGGTTGAGGAAGATGCTGCGCCGGAGAACTTGATCGCAACTACCTGGAACAACGACACAACTCAAGATACAGTCTATCGTCAACGCCCGTTGTGCTTTTACCCGCAGAGGGCTGTATATACCGGTAAAGGCGATCCGGACGAGGCGCAGAACTGGGAGTGCCAGTCCCTATACTGAAACAGTTGAACTTGGAAATGTCACGATACAAGCTTTTCATACATATATTCCATGTACCATGGTTGTAACTTTGTAAAAAAAGAAAAAAAGCGCCAGCCGTCGCCGTGCACTCGGACATCGCCGACAATCGCCCCGAACGTTGGCCAGATTACGAGGCAGCCACGGGCTCATAGGCGATGGACTGGTGAACACTGGAGACAGCAGAGGTGAATTCCAGGAATTGCAAACGCGGCCCCAGGCGACTAATGCAGGTTGAGTGGGTAATGAGACGGATCAGATCGTAGGACAGACGCGTTGCTATCCTGTGTAGTCATACATGAAGTAGGTGGAAGTCATGGATACATTAGGGCTAAACATATTCAAGCATAGACCAACGAACATGAATGAATGATTACTGCCAACTACAGTTGAGTGAGCGAGCTGGCTCGAAGACAGAAGACACTTTGACTCTTTTCAGCTGGGTGATACATCATGACACTAAGATAGTGCGGCATTGGCAGAGGATCAGTCCGATCCCGATGGGTCAGCCTGCGTCTGGCGGATATCGTTGAGAAATATGAGTGCGAGTTGTAGAAATCAGTATGTACACTAAGTGGTGTTTACAGAAAGAGCAAGAGTAATCCGGGGAGCAGACACGATAGAATAGTATACTAACTTAGATATTAGATATTACATTGTATAAGCCATGCTTCCCACCTAATCCAATTGTACATCCCCAGGAACAACCCCTTCCAACATAGACGCACAAACAGGGCGCCCGTCCGGCGTTAAATCCCCCCTATAACCCGGATCATAGTCAGGGCTGGTCTCATCCAGGGTCGACACATATCGATTGCGACCGGAGCGCTTGCTGTGAGTTTTGGAATGGGCACTGAGATTATCGCCTCTTGAGAAAGCCCGGCCGCAACTTGGCACCCAGCACACGTATGCCTTTTCATTCAGATGGCTCTTCATGTGTCTCGTTACGTGTTCTTGTCGTTTAAAGCGTCCGTGGCAGCCGGGTTGCTTGCATTTGTATTCCAGCGGCTTGATTCGGGGTAGGTGAGAGCCGAGCTTGAAGTTTGGTTTGAGGGGCTGTTTCCAGAGCGGAGGGCGGGGTTGGAAAGATCCGGTATGTAGTATACGTTGGGGCTGTCTTGGATGGGTTGGAATCTCGCTGTAGATGTAGCTCGTGGTTGTATAGATCCCAAGGTGGTTGGGAAGAGGGTGAGTCTGCCCTGGCGTCGGTACAGGTGCATACCCTCCGCGCCACAAAAGTGGATTAACAGGGGTAAATGGTGGTGATGGAATGGCTTCTGGTGGAATCAGGTCCGTGAAACCTGTGGTGATATTATCATATTTTGCAGTGCCGTATGACAGCCATAGACCGTCCTGGCTATCTATACTCGCTGAGGTCGAGGTGGGCGAGTCAAGATCTGGAACTCTTGTATTGAAGGGCCATTCATTGATCCCCAATGGCTGCGTATACCAGATCAGTCTTCGATTATTCCAGGTAGAGGAACTCTTCGCTTACCGATATACAACTTTGCTGCGATTCCATGGAGGAAATGACTGAATGATAATGAGAAGTGTCAAGTAACGAGTGATTTTATCAATATCTACAATAACGTAAGTGACTGTGAGACTGAAAGGAGCATGTAAGCAATACCACCAAATAAAAGAACGAAGCAAGGAGCAACGGATGTACGTCAGAGCTTCTGGCAGACGTTGGTGCTAACCCAGCGGTATATATCCGTCCGGTCGATGTCATTTCCCGGAGATTTAGCAACGGATATCGAGTGTGATGCAGCTTTTGTAGGACAATTATAGGATAGTCCGCCCTGATAATCATTGCGCACAGTTGCCTCTTCAACAGCCTTACCCTTTACCATCGTTCTTCGGAGAATACCTTCCTATGGCATAGAAGCTGGGCTTCGAGCCGCCTCAAGCATTCACTTGAACATCCTGGAGCCACGCAACCCCTGGCAGCCAAAGCAGCTGGCCTAGGATTGCTATTAGCAAATCGGTTTTTGTTTCCGGTGCACGGCCCCGGCCAGTGTGCTGGGTCACTCCACGCTGATCCGCACGGCCGGAGGAGTCGATCCTGACCACACAGCTGGGAGCACTTAATCAAGGGTTATTTTTGAAGAGGCGTCGTAACGCAATTGGACATATCAATGTCTTTGGCGCGTGGTTGCCTCCATTGTCGAGTAGTGCAAGCACTGACCGGGTATATAGAGGATCAGATATTTTGTACAATAACTGGCCGTTACTCTCCTTGGCTGCAGTGCATTCAGTCACCAACACTCAAGGCCTGCTTCCGTGCTCGGGCTCCATCAAATCCCGAGCTGCTATCATAGCTATTCCTGGACAAATAATTGCTTTGCGGGGACCAAACACCGAGAGCTACTAGCCACAACCACGCACTAGCCCCAGAGTTTATTTCGAACTATCTCAACTTGCCTCCCCCCATTGCTCCTGTATTAACAGCCCGGCAAACATACTTTGCCCTTGCCAGTGGTCACACGTATAAAATACAACGGCATCTTCAGCTGAAAACATGGAAAGGCTACCGAGGCAGCCAAAAATGTAGCTCCATATGACAGGTAATAATACACACTGCCCATCCCTTCCAAGCCCATATATGTCCTTTTACTGGATCTCCTGCCCTTGCTCAACTCGCAACTTAATCCCATCTCCAGTTGTCGATTTTTGGGATGGTATTCCGCGTATTAAAGTGGCGCATTCATGGGGACCTGGAGTACAGGAAAGATGGCAAGCTAGGATTGGCACCCACTGAGCTTAACAGGAAACATCTCCCGGCTACCTGTCTTTTTTGAAGTCGGTTAAACCTCGGAGAAGACGTTCCTGAGTTTTCTGGTACTATATCGACTTTTGTGTGGTACTCTCGACGAGGTGGGTGAGTATCTCCAATTTAACCCAGAATGGTGGAATTTCGTGATATCCAAAGAATATGCTGTAGTAACGGTATGTCAATTGAAGCTCAATTATGTTTCAAGTACATGATGTGTTTCTTCCTGGAAAGGCAGCCCATGCTGGCTATTATTGGTTTTGTTATATATATCTGCATTATGAAAGTCTACACCCTGATCGTGGGCGTTGAGTGTTTCTCTTCTCTTCTCTTCTCCTTTCATTTCCTTTTCATTTCCTTTGTTTTCTATGTCCATCTATCTTCTTATACATAGACATTGTCATTTTTCCAGAGTACATCGTCTTATGTGTATTTGTTGCTGATATAGTTGTATTTTACAACTTCTCCAATATAACGTAATACATGCACCCCCACGCTTTTCCACAACCAGAATAGCCATCCATGGATATAGACTGATATTTAACTGCTATGCTATCGTTAACCTCTTCATATTCTGGCACCGTCATGCACTTAACTAGCGAAGACCTCGAAAAGCACAACAGCAAGGACTCCTGCTGGGTGGCCATCCACGGCTCCGTCTACGATGTAACAGGTTCGTCTTCTATCCTGATTAACAGCTCATGCAGCCATGCTAAGCCACAGACTTCCTCGAGTCCCATCCAGGCGGGCCAAAGGTCATCTTGCGATGCGCCGGAAAAGACGCAACAGCAGACTTCGACGCCGTGCATGACCTCGAACTGCTAGCACAGACATTACCCGCGTCCGCTCTCCGAGGGACAATAACCCCCGGTTCTCTCTCTGTTAGCAACAAACAACCATCGACAGGAAACAAGAACACGACAGAGGCACCACCCCTAACTAGCCTCATCAACCTACATGACTTCGAGCAAGTCGCCCAAACCCACCTGACTCCCAACGCCTGGGCCTACATCTCCTCGGGCGCCGAAGACGAACTCACCAAGCGCCAAAACGCCAAAGCATTCCAGAAGGTTTCCCTGCGCCCGCGCATCCTCCGCCGTATTCCAACCACCGACACTACCGTCACCATCCTGGGAAAGAAAGTCTCGCTACCGGTGTACATGAGCGCGACGGGGATCGCCAAATATGCACACCCGGACGGCGAGCGGGCATTTGCGGCTGCGGCTGGACATGAGGGACTCGCGATGCTACTTGCCAATGGGTCAAGTTTTCCGATTGAGCGGGTGATGGAGGCGAGGACAGACGGCTCGCAGCCGGTGTTTCAGCAGTTGTATGTGAATCGAGAGATTGGCAAGTCGGAGGAGATTGTGCGGCGTGCCGAAAAGGCTGGGGCTGGCGCGATTTGGATTACGGTGGATTCGCCGGTTGTGGGGAAGAGGGAGATGGATGAACGGTTGAATTTGGAACAGGTGTGTATATGATATTTTGCAGGCTAGTTTCTATGGGTTTGGCTAATAGTGTAGGATTCTGGGTCTGGACAAGGCGTTGCGAAGACAATGGCTAGTTTTATATCGCCGTTCATTGACTGGGAGATCCTCACCTGGCTGCGGGGGATAACCGGCCTGCCTATTGTTATTAAAGGCATCCAGTGTGTTGAGGACGCAGTTCTTGCGTATCAACATGGCGTTCAAGGGATTGTTCTTTCCAACCACGGTGGGCGCTCGCAGGATACGTATGTCTCTACATCAATATACTGGACTCCGCTAACCAGAACAGAGCCCAAGCACCGCTTCTGACTCTTCTGGAGATCAGACGGTACGCGTCATTTCTAATCGACAGCCCGATGGAAATCTACATTGACGGCGGTATTCGGCGCGGTACCGACGTGCTGAAGGCTATTGCTTTGGGTGCAACTGCCGTCGGGATTGGACGACCTCTGCTGTACAGTCTTTCAGCTGGGTATGGCGAGCAGGGTGTGCGACGAGCTATCGACATCCTAAGACAGGAGATCGAGGCGAACATGACGTTCCTTGGGGTGACGAGTATGAAGGAGTTAGGGCCACATCTACTGAATGCATCTCGACTGGAGAGAGACGTTGTTGGGGCAGTGAAGTTATAAGTAATGAAACCAAGAAACAAGAATACTCTACTGAAGCACTTCAAGTAATACAATCAATACATGTAATACTGCAGAATGACCCCCACGCCCCCCGCCGGGTTTCTCGCCGACCCCCACATCCCCAGCATTTATCAGGCACTGCTGCTCCAGGAGATGGTCTGCATACCGTGCACGATGAGTGAGCCTGTCGACGTCCTTCTCTATGGCCTCGGAGCGTAAGTCACTGTCTAGATTGCAAGGCCATTCTAACAACAGCAGCATCGGCTCCTTCTACGCCTTTATTCTCAGTCGGAATGACCGAGTCCGCTTGACCGTCCTCGCCCGCTCGAATTACGACTCTGTCAAGAAGAATGTACTTATCCCCGATCACACAAACAGAATCCCTAGTAATTGTCTCCAGGGCATCCTCCTCCAAAGCCAGAACCACGGCGAACACCGCTTCCACCCTCACAACGGTTTGCAGCCACCACCCTATCTTCTATCCTATTCCTGCTAATAAACAAACAGTAATCAACTCCATAGACCAAGTACCAGGCCCATTCGACTACGTCGTATGCGCGCATAAAGCACTCGACCAAGACGCCGTAGCGGCGCGCCTCCAACCCGCCATCAGCGACAAAACCACCATCGTGATCATCCAGAACGGCGTGGGGAATGAAGAGCCCTTTCGCGCGAAATTTCCTTCCTCGTCTATTATATCCTGCGTGGTGGGCTCCCCCTACCTATCATGTATCCATCCTTACCTTGTGAAATAGACTAATGCAATGCAGACATGGGTCGGCGCAAGACAAAACAGCCCCGGAGTCGTCGAACACACGAAATCTGAAGATATGCAGATCGGTCTATTCCCGAACCCTAATGTCGATGCCGCACTAGAGAAGCAGCGGCTGGATATATTCTCGACCTTGCTACAGACCGGTAAAACGCGCTTCCAGGTGCTGGACGATATCCAGCGCAAACGGTGGGAAAAAGTCGTTTGGAATGCGGCGTGGAATTCACTGACTACGTTGACGATGCTGGATACGCAGAGTTGGTTACATTCTAGTCCCGATGCGACGCCTCTAACGCTGCGTCTTATGCGCGAGGTTATTGATGTTGGACGGAGGTGTGGGGTGGAGCTGGATTATAGCCTTATTGATGAGCTTATGGGGAAGATTAATGCCCTGCCTGGGATTGGGAGTAGTATGCAGACGGACTGTAAGAGTGGACGGCCGCTGGAGGTTGATGTGATATTGGGATTTCCGGCGAGAAAGGCAAAGGAGTTTGGGATGGAGACACCGGTTTTGGATGTTATCTATGCGTTGGTGGTGGCTGTTGATGTCAGACTGAGGGCTTCGCTGTAGTGGGACAAGTATTTAGAGGGAACTAAAATTTTTCGTCCTGTTGCTGCCCGAATCATATTCTCTATTCAGCAATTAAAACCCTAACCGGTAACAGTTACCCGGCCTGTAGAGTATGTCTGGCAAGTATTCAGTCTTACCCATCCGTCCAACTCATATTTTAGTATTATAATAGTTCTCGCTGTATACCCTATACAATTCTACAGGTCCGCCGGTACTTTTATCCAGCATTTCCTTCGTAATCCCTGTAGAATCGAACCAGCCCCCACGAGACTAATGCAAGGTGACTGCGCCGCCAGATCAGACCTCATTTCAGCAGACAGTTAAGCGCCCCCTCATAAATTGAACACGGTCTTGGTTCTTCCACTCCCTTACATCTATCTCTCCAGTCAACGCCTAGCATGCCTCCCACAAGCGAAGATGAAGCTCTACACCAACTCCAACACGAGCAATCCAAGCTGCTTGATATCATCGACGAACTGCGCACTATCGGCGTCGGCGGCCTTGTGGAACTCCCCCAGCTAATTGTCTGCGGTAACCAGTCCAGCGGCAAGAGTTCTGTCCTCGAAGCGATCTCGCGCGTCCGGTTCCCCGCGAAAAGCAACGTGTGCACGCGCTTCGCAACCGAAGTCATCCTGCGACGGAGCGCTGTGTCGAAGATAAAGATCTCCATTGAACCTGGAACTTCGTGCTTGTTCAATATAGAGCGGGCAAAGCATCTTCGCAGCTTCACGAACGAGGGCTACTCTGACGGAAATGATCTGCCGGATCTGATCGAGGAAGCGAAGCGGCATATGGGGATTGCGGAGGGACAAAACTCTGGATTCAGCGATGATATTCTCAAGGTCGAGATCTCGGGACCGGATAAGCCTGAGCTTACCCTTGTCGACTTGCCCGGGCTGTATATATCCACCAGCCAGCAGCAGGGGAAAGAAGGGATTGCGATCACTCGCAATCTGACGGAGAAGTATATGATGAACGCTCGGAGTATCATTTTAGCTGTGATCGGTGCCAAAACAGACTACCATCACCAGCAGGTGTTGAATATTAGTGAGGGATACGACTCTGAGCGTGAGAGAACACTCGGGATTATTACCCAGCCTGATATCCTTGAGGCTGGTTCGGAAGAGGAAGATTCGTACTTGGCTTTCCTGCGAAACGAGAAGACACACCTGCAGCTGGGATGGCACGCACTGAAAAATCGATCATTCCAGACGAGAGACGTACCAGATAGCGACCGCGACCAGCAAGAGAAGGACTTCTTTAATAAAGGCCGGTGGTCCACAATCTCACGAGAATTCGTTGGAGTGGACAGTCTACGTCGTCGCCTGAGCAGCATTCTCTTCAAGCATATCCAGCGCAACATTCCGGATCTGATTTCCGACATCAGAAAGAAGATCTCTGATCGAGAGCAAACGCTCGCAAGGCTAGGACCCTCTCGATCAACCCTACCACAGCAAAGAGGGTTCCTACTGAACATAAGCAGCGCCTTTGAGCGGGTCATGACCCAAGCCTTGAGCGGCATGTACGCTGACGAATTCTTTGGCGGAATGGGCGAGATGAAGAGCTCGAATGACAATCGACTCCTCCGCGCCACGATACGACGTCTGAATGACTTCTTTTCAGAAGCGATGGCCATCCGGGGCAGCCGACGTATTCTTGGTGGATCGACTCTACCTCCGCGGTCTGTCGGAAACCCGTACATGATCGGCTGGAGTCCAAAGGTAATCCAGCGCGAAAAGCTGGAGGAAGAATCTGCCGATCTTGCTCGCCGCAATCGTGGCGCTGAACTTCCAGGAGTCGCCAATCAGCTGCTGGTTGGGAGATTGTTTCGCGATCAGTCAAGGCCGTGGGAAGAAGTCGCTCGCAACCATTTGATAACGGTCTGGGACGCAGCGAGATACTTTGTCCATGAGCTTCTTCAGCATTTAGCGGATGAGCACACTTCCTCTTTGCTTGCCGGCTCTGTGATTGAAGGAAAATTGGAGAGGATGAGAGAGGATTTGCTGGCGAAGCTTGATGAACTTACCCTGTATAACAGGACTGGTCATCCCCTTCCTCTAGGAACAGCTTTCCTGACGCAGATTCAAAAAGCCCGAAGCGATCGTTTATTGGAATCCTTGAAGTCAAAGCTATCATCCCCAGATCAATCGGCTACCTCGTTTTCGATGACGGCCATTGAACATAGCATTGCCGACATGGAGAAATCACACGACGAGTTTGCCGCTGCTGATATTGTCGATCAGATGCAAGCGTACTACGATATGAGATCCTAGTTCCAAATATTAGATAGAGATGCTGATCATGCATAGGTGGCGATTATCACGTTTGTCAACAACGTGGCAACCCTCGCCATTGAAAACTGCCTTGTTCAGCCCCTGCAGCGAATGATTACCAGTCAGGTCATCAACGATATGGACGATAAGCAGATTCAGGAACTCGCCGCCGAGCCTTCCTACGTCGGTGAGGAGCGCGAGCGTCTGGGCAAAGAGCTCAATAGGCTGCAGGCTGGTTTGCGGACCTTCAACGTCTATCGTCCCATGACTCTACCTTCTAGAAGTAAGTACATATTCTATGAAGCCATGACGTTACTAAGGCCAACACATGTAGATATAATACCGCAGAAGCCTTCTACAGCAAGCCTAAATAACTCGAATGCTGCAGTCCCCGTCACGGCAGCCCAAGCGGTAAACAGGAAGAGTAAACCCATGCCCAGCACATGGAAGACGCCAGAACAAGGGTCGATGTTTGGCAATGCACCCACATTTACTACACCGATGTTCAGTAACAGCCCCAGCCCCGGCCTGAAAGAGACAAAGAAGGCCGGACAAGCTTCAATTGAGACCCCTGTTACTAATGTTCCAAACCCTGATCAGAAGGATTCAAACCCCAGTCTCCTGACGCCTGACTCATCGGATCTCAGTGGTGGGAAGGCTAACAGCAAAGACAAGGCTCCAAAAGGCTTTGGTTTCTTTAGTTCTCCCGAAAGTACAAAGTGGTCCAGCTCTAATACTGGCAGCGGCTTTGGCAGCTCTGATAATCAGTTTGGCCTTGCACCCGGCACTACTAGTAGCACCTTTGGTACTGGCGCGTTCGGCTCTTCAGCGAGCAATAACAGAGGCGGCTTTGGCAGTTCTGGTACCCCGTTTGGTTTCCCAATAAGTACTATGACAAGCGGCTCGGGCACCGTCCCGTCCGGTTCTCCAGCGAGCAACAATAGAAGCGACTCTGGTTCTCGGACGAGTACAGGTGGAGGCCTTATTGGGGAAGGATTTGGCCATGCTACCGCTTCCAATGGTAAGAAAATCAGAGTGAACCTCCCCAAGGGAGCTGATACAAGCCCTGGTGAGTCTGGAAATCCTCTTCCCCCAAGCACAAAAGCCATCCATTGGTAAGCCTCAACTTCCCTGCCCTCTTTAGAGGTGTTCCTTGATTTATAAATGCTGCATGCGTAATGAGTTAACTTCTTCTGTACGCACAGTCGATGCTGAAATGTTATGATCTGCCAAACAGGAGACCGCACGTCGAACGGAATCCGTCAATAACCAACAGGATCGCATCGCATTGTTTCCAGCATATTTCCTGCGCTATGCCATTTTTGAACTACTCATCTGAGGTATGTATATCTGTCACTGCCTTACTTTTCTTCCATGAGACTGGAGTACTGAACGGACAGGAACTGCGAGTCGCAGATTATGCCCGCGGCGATCTTGCAGTAAAGGAATGCAAATAGATGTTATCATGATGGAATGCAATTATTACTATGATTCTCCTACAACCATAAGATCAAGCATTGCTCAATTGAGAAACCACAGCAGCATTAGTCTCAGCCAGAATAGTCGCATAGGACCCAAACAACATCTGCACTCGCTTCGCCGGCTTTGGATCCCAGCAGAAGAAACGGCCTGTAGAACGCATCTTGTCAAGATCGACCACCACCACAGATTCCACCGGCATTATCTTCTCGCTCCAGAAGAGAAGGTACAGTTTATCGGCCAGTTTCAACATCTTGCAGGGCTCGGTATCTGCAAGTCCTTTCTCGGTTCCGCTTAAACAGTGCCAGGTAAATGTGCCCTGATTGTGATAGATATGTTCATATGCGTCCCGGGGCGTGTATCGATACAGGATATGTTTACCGATGAGGTCTTTTGTAGGCTGGAAGGGTGTAACAGACTCGCCTCCAATCGAGGCATCGGCAAACTTGGTCCATGTTCTCTTCTGGCCATTGATAATATGGAACCCGGAGATACCGGCGATGGCCTGCCCGGTGCTGAGATTTAGGACGACGCTAACTTGCTCGTCGTAGTATGGTTTGTAGAAATCGACGAAGAAGATATGTGGCCGCACTTCGAAGGCTTTGTATTCTGCATTACCATTCTGACCAGTTCCGATAACCTCCCACTTTAATGTGTGGTCATCAACGAAGTAATGAGTGATTCGCGAGGTATCGCTGAAGACTAGGTTAAGGTGTCTTCCACTAAGTTTGGACGATTCGGCCATCAGGTGTTCGCCGTAACCGACAGCAAGAGCTTCGAGGTTTGGCCATTCTGAGGTGGGGATATAGCCGGGGGTTTGTGTAGTCATTGTAGTTGCCTGAACAATGTAGTGATTCCTGCTTGAAGATGAGAGGATGAATAGAACAGCAGGCCCATCTTTTAACCTTCTTGACTTTCTGATGTCTATATAATCTATATCGCACTTTATTCCCCAATCAGAATTGCCGTTTTGACTGCCGGCTGTAAATGTAATTGTGTCTCGCACTTTTCAGCAGAATTGGGTTTAGCGTTCAACTTGGGCCAGTAATGATTCAATGCGAGTGTCATACTAAGCATTGTAACCCGGAATATATCTACAGTGTACATTGCTGCTCTAAACTACTCTGTATTGGCTTTCCATATATTCATCCTTAGTATACGCCATGACCGAATAGATTACAGTAATACATGAATTCTCCAGGTTACCCCCACGCCCCAAATGCGGAGAGATGATTTCCCCGTGTCGGAGGATTACCGATTATATCCCACGTGGGGGTATAACGCCCAAGGCATCTAGATAGATGGAACTGAATACGGTATGTTAACTTGGCAGATGCAAGTGTGTGGCCTAAAAATAACTCTAGATGCATTCCATTAATGTATCACTGCACCCGCCCCCTGGAATCCACCGGCCAGATTTCCTCAATAACACCCTTCCGATGCGCGTAGTAAACGTCATGCAGGTTGATAGTCGGGTCAATATGACTCGGAACCATCTCAACCCTATCACCAACATTCAGCTTAGGAGCCCCCTCCTCCCAAGTCAACGACCCATGCTCGTCACCCAGATTCTCATGCTTGTACCTCCGGTCCTTACACTCCGCCAGACCACTATCCGTCGTGAGAGACTTCAGCCCAGCATCAATGGTAACCTTCCGCTCACCCTGCCGACTAACAACCGTAGACAGAATAGTCAAACTATTCGAATAAAACGTCCCCACCGCATTCCGATAGTCCGTATCCATGAAAATAAACGACCCGGGCTGTAGCTCTGTAATGCCAGGCACAGTCGCGCAGAACTCTGCCGTCCCCGTGCCTCCGGTCGTAACAACCTCGATAGTGAAACCCGCGTTGCGTAGTTCCTCCGCAGTACTTGTTAGAATCCGCATCGACTCGAGACACTGCGCTCGCCGGTCTTCCCGGTCATGCAAATGCTGCAAATGCCCTTCATACCCTTGTACACCGATCAGATGCAGATGCGGGAGGGTAGCGATATGCTTCGCAAGACTCAAAGCGTTCTTTGGAGCCACACCAGTGCGATTCAATCCAACATCCACATCTACTAACACATCAATCCTCCCATCAATCCCCGATTCAGCAAGCGCGGCCTCAATCCCAGATGCCCCAATCTCGCTATCCACGACAATCCTGATCCCCTTGTGTTTCTTAAACAGCTCAACCAGTCGGGCGACCTTGGGTTTTCCGACAATCTCACAAGTAATAAGTATATCGTCGAACCCCGCTGCGGTGATTGCTTCTGCTTCAGAGACTTTAGCGACGCAGCAGCCCTTTGCGCCAGCGGCGACGAGTCTGCGGGCGAGGATGGCGCTCTTTGTTGTTTTCAGGTGCGGGCGGATGTTGCGGCCTGTGGGGAGCAGCGTGGAGAAGAGGTTCTGGATGTTGGCTTCCATCAGGTCGAGGTCGACGATCATCGACGGGGTGTCGAGCGAGTCGAGGCTGGAGCCGGTGGTGGGACGATACATCTTAGGCCAGTGGATGAATAGATAGAAAGAGAATAGAAAGAGAATAGAAAGAAAGAGTGGGAGAAAGGGAAATGAGAGAGAAAGAAGGTCAATGCAAGGGGCAGATGTAACTGTAACTGTAGCGATAACTTATCAATGCCCCTCACGACTCCACTTCTCCGCATCAAGAGATTGTTAGCTATCCATTTCTCCTTCTTAACATGATAGCTGAGCCTGTCGCGGTCGGAGAGGAAGGTAGAAGAAATTAATTACCATTCACTGATAAACTATTTTACCGAGATCCTGCCTGGAAAGTAGCTGCAGAGCTTAAGCCCTTGTGAGTCGGCTTCAATCCGCTAGCAACCGGGTTGAAAAGAAGCAGCAATAAATACGGAAGTATCCGAGTACATGACTTAACCGGGAAGCTATGCGCTTGGATCCACTTCTAGCACCTAGAAGGGGAACTACCCTCTGAACAGTGATATTGCAAAGTTCGACAGTCTAGTCACCAGAACCTGACGCCGCTTGGATGTAGTATGGGCCACGATCGGGCCACGTTGATAGCCTTGGGCTGTGAATACGAGAACTAATTTTTAATCCCAAACACAGCATTAGTTCAACGATCTACCTATCGACTCGCTCCGGATATCCAAGTTGGAAGGCTCCAGGATACTCGGGTTCTGGTGGCTCACTAGATACTGTAAATGAGGTTATAGATCCTCGGGCGTCCTTCAACCTAACGGGACGCCATAGTCTAGAGTGGGCATTTGAGTGGTCTGACTGTGGCCGTCATCGAGGACCCCAACGCGTACGGTCAAATTTTTTGGCACTACTGTTGACCAGAACTACCTCACTGTGCCCCTTATTAACAACCGTACCGAGAACATGGAATCCGGAAATGGCCTTGGAGGATCTACATTAATTAATGGTGATTCATGGACCCGACCCGACAAGGATTGATTCATGGGAAAAGGTCTTTGGAAACACGGGGTGGAACTGGAATAATATATCTAAATATATGAACCAGGCGGAGAATGCCCGTGCCCCGAATGCTGCCCAGATCGCCGCTGGCCATTACTTTGACCCTGCCTGTCATGGATTCAATGGTCCTGTTCATGCAGGTCCCCGTGATAATAACGGCCAGCACTGTTTCAGATAGTTCCAAACGTGTAACTGGCATAGTTAATGGCCGGAGGGTCCCCGGGGGAGTAGACCACGTCCTGGCCCCATTCAGGATGATTGATAGAGTCTATCCAGCCTTCCGGCTCAATCGCAAGACAGCCATATTTCTCAACAAAGTCAGCAGCCTCTTCGTCCTTTCCGTTACGCTCAATCTGAGAAGGTTTGACAGCAATTGTTCCGTCCATGTTCAGACACGAAAAGACCTGCGTTGAGGGCTGATTTGTCGCAACATCCATGCTGATTCCTGTAGTTCTGGAATGCCAGCGAAGGGCCGGAACCAAATTATTATCGGCAGTATCGTAGAGGGGATCGCGGTCAATGATGAAGCAGTGGTCGTAGCCGATGCAACCAGGCCCGCATAGCCCTTCGGTATTCTGTATATCTTGGCCAATAGTCTTGCCGGCAGTAAAGTCCATGCTGCCGTGGTCTCCATCAACCGTGGCGATGATGCCGGTAGGAACCTGATTGCTGTCCGTTTCGACAAACCTCCTAGATAACGGAAGTTGCAGCCAGGTGTCGTCAAGAACAGTGGGTTTCTTGAACGCGTTCAAGTTCCAGTAGATGTGGTTTGAAAGCATGATGGGGGTAGATTCAGTGAGCGCTAGAGAAACCAGCTCCGTCACCAGCCTGGGGAGTCCCTGCGGGTTGTCTGCAGTGCGCTTAGAGTTGACGGTGTATGTCGCATGAGTGACAACGTCTCCTGGAAAACCTTCTTCTGCATTGTCGTGCAGAGTAAAACTCACGGATGAAGACGTGTAAGCAGTCACACTCCAGTTTCGCTGATCGTAGCCAACATTCCCGCCATGCAGGGTGTATAGGCCAGCAATATTCTTAGGGATGTTGTATTCAGTTCCGTCCAGAGTGAATGAGCCGTTTTTAATGCGATTGGCAACACGGCCAACAACAGCTCCAAAGTAAGTATGGCTGGTTTGGGTATCGTTGAGATACTGGGTTGGATCATCATAGCCGACAACAATGTCCTGTGGAGTGCCCTCCTTGTCGGGTACCAGTAGAGAAATCAGGCGAGCTCCATGGGGGATGAACTTGGCCGTAATGTTGTCTGCCGTGATTGTAAATACTTCGAATGGATCCGCCACGGGTTGAGGTTCTGGATTACTCTCGACGAGAATCACCAGCGACGCCCATAGAAGGACTGGCATAGACCTCTTGAGATTCATGATGGGGCTCAGTCCTGACGGGCACTCAACTTCCGATGCTTGTAGCGAAGCAGAATAAAGTGTGCGGGAATATTTGAGGGAGACAAGACGAACTAGGTTCGTGTTTGGAACTTTGTTTTGGAAACGAAACGAATGCAGCCACCGGCCACTGGGAGGAATGAGGAAATAGGCACTTCTATTGGTGGCCCGCTCTTGGGAATGCACTATTATTTGCCCTTGCCGACTGATCCAAAGGCAGACCAGGAGATGCCAGTACTGCGTCGGCCCAGCCTCCTGGATAAATCAAGAAGCGGCTACTGGAGGGAAGGACGAGGCCTAGATGATCTGACCATATCAACTCCGGTGTATCCATATGCCCACGTCCAGGGGATCGGCTTCACCCGAGTCTACAACATCTCGCAGCAGACACGAAATTATTTTTACGTGGCTTAGGCGATAATGTAGTAATATTCAACGTCGGAACAAATACTGGCTCACTAGAAATCGCCGTTGCAGCGGTGCGCATTCATTCTTGTAGCTTTTGCAGTTAACTGACACCTTGGGGAAACAAGAGTATATAGACGAGAACACAAAATATATCAAGGAACGTTCCACGTAGGCCACGGCCATATCCCTGTGAATAATGAGGCCTTAAGCCTTGAACCAAATGTCGATATTATCCACAACCTCCGCGGCGCCATGAATAGGGTCCCTGCCCTCCGCTCCAATCCATTCACCATTTCCAAGGTGTGGGAGATGGTTTACCTTACCCTCCTTTCCAGCAACCGTAAAGTCATGATTGTAATTTGTATGGAAGTCAAAGCCGTTGACAAAGCCTTCGTCAAAACCAGCATAGACAGTCATGCGATCTATCTTTTCGCCGTCCTCGAACGTGAAGTCTTTATGATCGTTGGGGTTCTCGTGGCCGACAAGTGGGCCCTTGTGGCCGTCGTCGTAGGTGAACTGGAATCCGTTCAGAACATCGTATCCTCTGTAGCTTCGTCCCCAGGCGTCTACTCTGCGGATTTTATGTTCATCGTGTTCCGCATTGTAGTATTCGCCTCCCATTCCACCATAGGGACCGTTCCTAACTCTGCCGTGTGTAGCAGGCATGATTGGTTGTGCAGTATCTTGTAGTACAAGTAGTTAATATAAAGAACACTGATACTGATGATTGAAATATAGATAGAGGAATTAGGCGGGAGCCATCACTCCATTAAATACAGATCAAGGTGGAGAATACACCACGATGCTAGCCCATGGGAAGCATCGGAAGCTGAGTGTGGTCGTGTAGCCTATCAGGATGTCCAGTGCACGGCATTGTATTGGTTTGCTCGCCTTGGATTGTCTAAAATGAGTATATCGTGGGCCAGAACGCCAGCATACTCTGTACAATGATATCACAAACTCAGTTCTGGGCCACTGCAGTCATATTATACAGATACAAACCACAAAGGTTAAGAACTATTTGTATGCTAAGATCACCGAGAGCAGCCATGTCTGGGCAAAAATGGTTACACAGCTGACGTCTTGACTCGCGGTCGGGTTACACAAGTGACCGGACGACATATGCAAGATACCCGGGACTTATAGAACTTCTTTGTCTCTACCCACGTACCATTCAAACCATGAATGGCATTTTTGGGTCGATGTCACCTCGGGCATTACGGTACGGCACGTAGTCGATCATCCGGTAGAATACAATATTTCTCTGCGAATCAAAAGCACCATCGGTCCGCCACTGCCTTCACCGCATCGCCACCAAATCTGGATGTGAGACAATGGGGACCGGGTAGCAGAGCCGCAGTTGATCACCCAGACTATCCTATAGTTTGGTTCAAACCCGTCTGATAGAACCTAGGTCGTAAATGGCACGCAGCCCCGTGCAAATGCGCTAACTCAGTTAATGGACAATGGCATGGACAGCCGCAGGCACAACCGCAACCCCCTCCGCAAAAAAAAAAAAAAAAAAAAAAAAAAAAAAAAAAAGAAGAAGAAGCTGTGACAAATTACACGGCGAGATTAAAATATTACCATCCGACTTACCATGCGCAAGAACTTCGAGGTCCGTAAGCTTTCCGCATCATTTTAGTTCCAAGAGGTTGACAGTGCCAACCAAGAATGACGAGAACTACCTGAAAGGAGCCAACAGTTTTCTGGTTGACCAAGGATGAAAGAGTGGCTGGGGACCAGAATGGCCCAGCGACAAACCGCACCTTGGATATCCAAGCGCCATATACCCGGATTTCCAGTGGCTGCATTGAGGTGCCGGCAGCCGCGGAGCCCATTCTAATTGTCAAGTTCTGTAATTCTCGGAAATTTCGGCACTCGTAGTCTATAGTTGCGCCACGTTTAACCCTAGTACCCGGACTCGCCCACATTCTGAGCCAATATCGATCACTTGGACTAGCAACGATCCCCAAATCTCGCAGAATATCCATACCCAGTGCAGGGCTGATATAGGCCAAGGTGCTTAGCTGCACACTCCCTGCATACCTTTCGCCTACAACCATACCTAGCCAACACAGTTGCATGAGACAGGGTGAGAGTCGCCCAGTATCCTGCCTACCTTGATATTCGTAATATAGAAGTACTGAAAACTAGCAGTTAGAAATAAATGGCAGTAAAAAGAGAGAATGAAGTAAGTTACGCGGTTCTCCAACTGCTGTTCAGCTTTGTATTCTTTGCTGCCACGTGTTATGCTTTATGCTAGTACTACTCCAGTATGCCATCTGCTATTTGATGTGGCTCAAGCTCGAGGTAGACAGGGAAGGGTATAACCGAAATAAACACTGGTTAAATTCGAACTGGGAATGTAAACGAGCGACAGCAGCCCTACACCCAAGGTTCAGTCTCGGGTGAAGATCAACATATTTTCGCAAATCATACAGTTCTTGAAGTCCAATCCATTTCAATACAAGAAGTTGCTACCGCAACGAATACCCCTAGGTCCAGCTTCCATCTAGATAGCCGTCACGTCTACCCAGAAGCGGGTATCATCAGTTAGATACACCTCATCACTGTCGATTTGCTGCTGGATCCACTCAATGGCGGATTTGTATGCTGGACAATATTAGCACTTACACCCTGTCTTGGACTCTGGAAAGCCTACTAGCAATGTCTTCAGTGTCAGGGTTGCTTAAGCCACTCGCGCCATTGCGGTGTCCAGCGCACCAGGTAGTATATCCATAGTGATCCTGGCTCTCATGGCGGTCGGTAATGTCGGCTGCAAGGTCCGAGCTGTTCTCGTGATTAATTCTGATATTCATATCCAGTCGCTCAAAGTATAGGACTAGGTAGAACTTACTTCAAAACAGCACCCTGGTCAACATCCCCCTCAGTAAGACCTTCGAACTGGCTGGTGGATGTGCGGAGCATCATCCAGTTTTGCTTAAAAATTCCAAAGTTGGTTGCGTCACCGGTCTTGCCGTCGCCTGCATTCTGTTAGGGTGCGTTTCGGACGGGTAGGTTTATCCAGGGGCGCAACGAACCATAGGTGTAGTCTGTTGTCATGGTCTCGCTGCGGATGTTAGCATAATCCCGAATAAATGTAGATTGATTGCGTAACTAACGTCTCCAGCATGGCGATAGCAAGGTCTTGAGAGGTGCCGCCGGCGGCTGTGACCTCCTGCTTGCGAGCTCCTAAGCCACTGACAGTGTAGTTACCGCGGTCGTCAGCCCTACGCTGCATGGACGACCCGTGAGGGACAGCCATAGCGAGGGGAAGAAGGGCCAGAAGGAACTTCATTTTTATGGTGGTGCTCGTGGATGTTGGTTTATGTAAGTGGTTGTTCTTTTCGTTTGTGAATGTTGGATTGAGGTCGAGAGTCTCTGGACGAGATTACTCCAGCTTTTATATCTTCGTGTCTCTCCTGAGATCTTATCATGCGATAGATCCTTAAATGAAGCAGGGTGAAGTCCCTCGTCCTTCATCTAATGTGCACGAAGATGACTCGGTCTGTCGGCAGTCCGGGGTCTCCAGTTTTGCCCCATTTGTCACGGGTTGGGGTATGGGGAGACTGGAGTGGCAGGACAGGAGGCCAAAGACACACTTTACTTCGATATACTCTAGATTCTGAAACGCTGGCAACAAATTTTATTTCCAACCGAGCCGTAACAGGTTATACATGTGATGATCCCCAGCATTTTGTAAGCGAGTACATGCCGATCCCCGTTTTGTCGGTTCGGCACATGCCAAAGAAACCCATCCCGCGCAGGTCAATATTGAGAATTTGAACCAACGTTTGCATTGAAAGTGTAGTTGAGAGGGATGGGACTATAGTGGATATTATCAGAGCACTACCAGACATATTAAGCTACGACTATGAGAACCCACAAATCTACACGTCGACAGTGCAGCTGTCACCATATTAGTTAATCATTTTTTGAGCTACTAACATCCATCTTTAAAAACGCCTGCAGGGGGGCCTCCGCCTCTAGTTGCCCTAAATAGGGAATTGGACGGAGAAAGGCTGCAACCTCCGTGCTAGCGCAGGCTCAGAAACATGGAAATCCGGGGTTCCAACTGTGATCGACAATAGTGAGGAGTACTGGAGACAGTGGCCATTGCTACACCAGTGCAGATAGGGAATACGGTGTGTGCTCCTTTCTCTTTTTATATTTAGACTTATATATCTCGAACTACAGCCTGGTACGACAGAGTTATAAAGAAATTCTATTATGATCCTATAACTTCGATCCGGAACCCCGTGCCAAGAACTGACAGAAAACAGCAAATGATCTCCAGTTACAATACGAATTTCTCCGAGCAGGTCCAGTCCACCGTATAGTTCAACATCTGTGATGAGTGCTCCTGGATGCCTGTGAGCAGGCTGTATACCGCCTTTCTAGCCGGCTGCTGTTCTATCTTATTTCCTCTTCGTACAATGGCCTTTCAGCTCCGATGTCTCGTCCATCTATCAATTTAGAGCCATATTGGAGGGGTATGCTACTGAAGGAGTAGGTTCTTTAGTAATCCTCACCGTAAGCTATCCAGCACCAGACGCTCTAAGATATCGCCCCCTTCCGTTGTTTACTGCAGGGCCTTGCTCGAAGATGCATCCGTCGTATGCAAACGTCCGGGCGGTTGTGTTTGCGTTTCTTCATGATTTCTGCCATTTATAAACTTTTTAAACTACAATGTCTAAAGATAGGCCTGGTTACGATGGTTCGATATGATATTATCAAATCACCCTAAACCACAAAAATATATAATAATGCTAAAACTGAGACTCATATATTTAAGGTATAATAAACAACAACCCTTACATTCGTATTTATTTTTATAAAAATAATAATTCTAAAGTATTATAAAAGAAGTCGTAATGCAGAGATGGCAGAAAATCGAATGACAAGCCATGGTTACTAGAATGTATGGCTGTTTGTCCAAATGCAGTACAACTAGCATATCCAGAATATGCCTTGCGAAACATCATCCCATGAACTTTCTGATGGTTTCCCTCGCTGATTAAATTTATCGGTTCTCTTCCGCTGAAAGGCATACTGAAAGGTCCGATGAAAGTTCCCCCACACATTCCGCGGTCAGATTCCGCTGGATGTAGGCTTCGTTCGCTCGGATATACGGAGATGTTTCTTCCCCACATAACCAAGAACTGGAGGCCGACTCCTGAAAACCATCAGCCAGTGATATAAGTACAAAGTGCATTAAGGACTGCTTGCATCGGTTGATTTCCGCAGTCTGCGCCGTCGGTGCTGGACCAGCTATGTCCCACGCTTCTTATATCCCATCAGGGTAGCTGAAGTTAGAATTGCCGGCCACTTATTTGCTTCATACTCACTATGGACTCTGTAACGGAGACTCCGCAGTTTGATATTCCCCGACTTTGTAAAGCGGGGGTTGTTGTTAATGAGGGGCCTGAGTTTCGAGTCGAGGTGCAGATGGTTCCTGTGCCTGAACCTGGTGGGTATTTGGATCCTGAGCCATTGGGATATCAAGAATAATGGATTGATTAGGCCCCGATGATATACTTATTCGACTGAACTTTACCGGGCTTTGCTCTTCGGATGTCCACCTCATGCGTGGAGACCTAGGTTTGCCGCCCATGTCAAATTTTGGCGTGCGTTCACCTGGTCATGAAGGCGCCGGCATCGTGGTCAAGGTCGGCGCAAATGTCAAGAACTTCAAGATGGGTGATAGAGCCGGAATCAAGCCGATCAGTGATACATGTGGATCGTGTGCGATGTGTTGGGACGATAAGGAGACATATTGCAAGTCGGCGATTCACACTGGCCTGATGACATCTGGTCAGTACACAGAAAAAAAAAAACACATGGTTGATGAATAAATCTCACGATAGTACTATTCCAGCCACGTACCAGCAATACATCGTCTCGCCCGCCCGATATGCATCCCACATTCCCCATGGGGTTCCTGACGAAGTCGCCGCACCGATAATGTGCAGTGCAAGCACAATGTACCGCTCACTCGTCGAATCCAACCTTGGTGCCGGGTCATGGGTCGTCTTCCCTGGTGGTGGCGGCGGCGTGGGCATCCAAGGCGTACAACTCGCCAAGGCAATGGGGATGCGGCCAATTGTTATAGACACGGGCACCATGAAGCACGAACTCTCCATGCGGATGGGGGCAGAGGCATTCGTCGACTTCAAAGAGACAGATGATCCCTCAAAGGCCGTTATTGAGATAGCGGATAGGATTGGTGTTCACGGTGTCTTCGTCACTGCGCCCGCGGCGTATAAGACTGCTATCTCTTTTGTTGGAGACCGTGTGGGTGCCGTGGTGATGTGCATTGGACTTCCAACTGCCGGCTCAATTGTTTTGGGGGCAGATCCTTGTGAGTTCATCTTCAAGAATCTTAATATTAAGGGAACCTTAGTGGGTAGTCGCAGTGATACGGCTGCAGCGTTGGATTTTGCTAAGCGGGGGATGCTGCAGCAGATTTGTGAGATTTATCCTATTAACAAGTTACCTGAGGGAGTTGAGAGACTGCGTAGGGGACAGGTCGCCGGGCGAATTGTTGTTAACTTTAACTGGGAGGATTAATATGAGTCGCCTTTTCTGGAATACTGTCAATCCTTCTTTCTTCTATTAGTCTGTAGATGCTGAATACTAATCCGCGGTTAAGAATAGCTTGTATGACTATACAGTGATTTACCGGTCTATACAACCGGAAATGAAGTACTAGCATCCTGGTAGAGAGAAAGAACTACGTATGTATCAGATTTTTTCTTCCTCTACACTTGGTGATATGCATTCGCGGCATGCCGAGAAGTCGCCTCGCTCTAAGCATCCCGAGGACCTACAACCTCGTTTACAGTATCTAGTGAGCCACCAGAACCCGAGCACCTTAACATAGACACCCGGGCCTAATTAATAGGTTGGTCGTTGACCTAACGTTGTATCTGGGGCTACAATCAGTTCTCCTATTCACAGCTGAAGGATATCAACGTGGCCCGATCACCACCATTGGGCAATCAAATGATCGCTAGAGTGGCATCAAAGCAATATCGGACTGGTGATACCCAATACTATAGCTCTTCCAGTCTGCTTTCGGGAGATCAATCTCTGGGTCTCCTGACAAGAATTTCATGAAAACGCCATGTGTCACAACCACAATATGGGTACGCCGTTGATCTTTCAGACCTTCGCTAACTGCCAAAATTCGAGATGTCGCCCTTCTCGCCCGCTCTTTTACCGCCTCATCGGCTGGAGAATACAAGCCCTCTTTCACTTGCCAGCCGTCAACCAATTTGTTTGCACCCAGCTTCGGGAAAGCTTTTCCCAGCTCTTCCGATCCCGATCCAGTATCACAGGGAAGCGCACTCCTCTCTTGCAAATCTGGGTCCAGGATGAGAGTTGCACCGTTTTCTATGCCTTGCCCAGATTCGGGATCGAAATAGCGTTTATCAAGGATGTGCGAAAAGCCAGCAAGGGTGGTTTGGATGGCACGTTTTAGTGGAGAGGTGATGATTGCACCCACCCTGGGGGCGTCAGGAAATAACCGGATAAGCTGCTGGGCCTGCCGAATTCCAAGAGCGGTCAACTCGGGGTCAGGTTGAGAGAAGTCTTTGGAAATATTGTGGGTTGATTCCGCGTGGCGGACGAGATGGACTTCCAATGTCATGATGAAAATGGAATGTTTGAAGACACGGACTGGAGTAATACTGACCTTAAATGCGATTAAGGTCGATGTAATAAGATTGCGGAAAGTTAATGAGGTAATTTATCTAGCATATTGCGTGACAGATATGTCCAAGATAGTGCTACTGCCATCAATACGAGGAAGGCTGCAAACAATTCACATACTGTGGATTCTTCGAAGATTCTACCCACCCAGTCATGTTTGGAAGTCAGCCATTGATTCTCCAGGCTGGGCCTTTTCTTATCTCTCGATATATTCCGATTTATAATAAGGCACCATAGAACTATGTCCAACAGACCAATCCTGAATCTCCGAGAACAGCTTCATAAGGCCAAATATTTATTTGTTTAATTCAATCAGACCAGCGTCTAGGATAGAGCTGGCTATTCTTTGTACGCAGGTAGGTGGTTCTTCTGGAATATATATTTAATGGTGCAGAATATGCTATCGATCCATCGACTACCCATTAATCCAAGCTATGCCGGTAAATCATGCCTCAAATCCACGGAACAAGTGGAGCATACCTTTGGCGGCGTGCGCTCCAAGACCATCTAGGTTCCCCATTCCCATCATTTCAAGGACACTGATATCAAACCCGAAAACCGACCTCCACCACTGTCTTACCTCAATAGCAACGAGAGAATCCATTCCGAGATCAGACAGGGAACAATTTGTCTGCAGGTCTTCTTCCGGCTTCAGCAAGAAGCTACAAATCTTCCTTCCAATCTCCCGAGCAAGGAAATGAGCCGACTCACTCTTATCTAGTAGATCAGTGTCAGCCTTCGCCCTTGTGATGAAGGACTGTAGATCATTGCTAGAGCCAAACTCTGGCGTGGAAAAAGCTTCTTCTCCGTTATGGAAGGCCGCCATTCGAACATCGCCCTTCCACGGCGAACGCTCTCCGGGATTGTTTAGGGACATGTTAGAGCGGACTCCAAGATAGAAGCTCTTTTGTGTCGAATTCACGGCTGCCTCGACAGCCCCAAGAAGCTCCTGCTCGGAAACCGCGCTGTCTAACCCCCCCGTGTGGGTGAATCGTTGCATGACGGACTGATTCTCAGCCAAATATCCCACTTCTTCGACTGGGCCAATTTGTATGGCGCAGGCTGGAAGTGCCATATTCAAGCGGAACTGAACAAAGGCGTCCATGAAGGTATTGGCGCTTGCATAGTTTGTCTGACCTGGCAGACCAATAATACCAGAAAGAGAACTGAACAACACGAAGAAATCGAGGTTCGCCTTGATAGAGAGGGAAGCATTGTGGAGGTTCCATGTTCCTTTCACTTTGGGATCAACAGCAGCATCCCACTCAACCTTTGTCATGCTAGGGAAGCTCTTATCACAAAGAGCCATAGACATCTGCAAGATGCCGCTGAGGCGGCCTTGAGCCTGCTTCATAGCCCTAGAAACGTCATCAAAGTTTAAAACCGTTCCTTGCACAAAGTCGACGCGGCACCCCATGCTGGCAAGCTCCTGACCAAAATCCCGGTGTAATTTGCTGGCACCTGCTCGTCGCGAAAGGTAAATGATATGACGGGCTCCTCGCTCAACCATCCACGTAGAGATCGAGCGACCCAACCCTCCCAGACCCCCGACAAGCAGATATGCCCCCTCTTTATTTAACTTTGTGATCTTCTTTTGCTGCACCACATTCTCATTCACAATGGCCTGGCCGGATTCCTTGCGCATTGATACGACAATTTTCCCCAAGTGGACACCTTGCTGCATGTATCGGAAAGCGTCTACGATATGGTCAGAATCGAAAACCTTGATCGGTCGAATAGGATGTATGTAACGCTCCTTGAGTAGGTGGATGGTTCTCAAGAGGAGCCTGTATGGCTATTAGCTTTTTATTGCTATTAGTTATATATCGGGTCAGGACTTACTCATTTGTAATGCTCGGTTTACAGAGACATAACTCGACCAAGTCAACGCAACAATAGCTTCGATTGGCCAAGAACGGACCCATATCGAGCTTTGCAGATCCCATAATGTCGCGCTTTCCAATTTCGACCATCTTTCCAAAAGGTGCAATGCATCTCCACGTAGCATGTAACAACTCGCCGGACAGCGAGTTCAGAGCCAAGTCAACACCTCTATTGTCTGTCTCTCGCATGACGTCTTGCACGAACGACTCACTCCGAGAGTTGAATATCCTGTTCCGAGGCAACCCAAAGGTTTCCATGAGGTACTTGACCTTCTCTTCGTTGCCAACTGTTGTGTAAACATCGGCACCAACCATCTGAGCAAGCTGAATTGTAGCGAGGCCCACACCACCACAGGCGCTGTGGATGAGAATAGACTGTGAAAAATGTCAAAAAAAAGCCAGTACCACAAAATAAACGAGACGGGGGATCTAACCTCGCCCTTCTTTAGATTGCCGACATTGAAGATGGAATATATGGATGTGGCATACACGCAGGGCATGGTGGCCGCGTCTTCAAAGCTCAACCCACTTGGGATTTTCACACAAAGGTCCTCAGCCACAACTCGAGTTGAAGCAAATGCGCTGTTCGACAAAAGCATAACACGGTCGCCCAACGTGAGATGTGTCGCATTAGGGCCGGTGCGTCGGATGATTCCGGCCGCCTCGTGGCCGAAGTCATTTGCCGGGCCTTCAACAATACCCATGGCCACCAAAACATCCTGTATTCAAAGTAAGCCAACTTGTATAGTGCTGGGACTGTCAGTTCTTTACACACTCTAAAGTTAAGTCCGGTGGCGTATACTTCAACTTCTACTTCTCGATCTTTCAAAGGTTCCATCTCTTGGTTCACCCAATGTAAAGCAGGGAGGAGACCAGGCTTGCTGGTATGCAGGAAAATACCCGAGTTTGCCCCGGACTCTTGAAGCTCATCTTGTAGCGTGAAGGAATGGATGCGTGGGACGTGGACAATATTGTTGACAATGGCATATTCAAACTCAGGCTTAAGTACGTCGTATCGTTGTCGCATCTGGAACTGCTCGAACACGTCGATGATTTTTTCCGCAGAGTAACTGACATTATCAACTTCGCAAGTGGCGAAATCAATCAGCATTTCAGAACGTATGGCACGGGCAATACCGTTGACTTGTCCAAATCCTGGGTTGTGGCATTGCATTTGCGAAAGGCCAGTAATCCAGAGAATCCCACATTCTTTGAGCTGATCTACCAAGGACTGAAAGGCCTTAAACCGCTCATCATCAATGTTTTCAAAGAAGGGTCCACCGTCGTCAAGCAACGCAATCACATCTTGACCGATTGGTAACCCCCCCTGCAGCCCCCGAAGATCAATGGCATATCCTCTGTTCTCCAGAACGTGGACAACAGAGTGCATACTCTTGGACTCGCGTAGGGTAAGAAGGGTAATCCTTTTCTTGGGAGGATTTATGACTGCCGGTCCGGCCAAAATAATAGTGTTGAGCTGATATGGAGCTGGTGAATCAGGGACAGCGGCATCAGGGACGCAGAATCCAGCGGCTGTTAGCTCTTTCGTCCACCGTTCGACACTAACGTAGGGCTCATCAAGCCGGCCGTCATCTTCCCCATACCACCATCCAGGTAGCGTGCCCCAGATATAATTGATCCACTTGGACGCTGGAGTAAGCTCATGGAGCAACAGCCGACCATCGGGAGACAGTAGCTTTAGAACGTTGGATAGAGACCCATTTAGAGTCTTAGTGGCGTGAATGACATTCGTCGCCAATATAAGGTCGAACTTCTGGCCATCGAACCCTTGCTCAGATGGATCCTTACTGATATCAAGAGGACGATACTCCATGTTCGGATAATCACTAAAGCGGTTCCTGGCAGCGACAAAGAACCCAGTTGAGATGTCACTGAAGACGTACTTGGAATAACGACGTCGACCACCGAGTGTTAGCAACTTTAGAATATTGGCAGTGGAGCCACCTGTTCCAGCTCCAACTTCGAGCACACGCAGGTTGGGCTTGCTATGACTGAGATGCTTGAAAAATTCAGACTCGTCGCACTCGTCTGCATAAGTGTATAGATTGGCCAACGTATCGTCCTTTAGGAGAACATCCAACGCCTGAACCTCACCAGTGAACATACGTTTTGTGTTGGTGTAGACTTTGTGGATTGCCACGGCAGCATCCACAGCTGGTGTTTGAGACAAATCTTTGACAATAGAATTGATTTGTGAATCGATGGCCGCGTTATCAAATCTGTCAAGATCCTGGAGCTCGTGTCTATGGCACTGCTTATCGATCCACGATCTATACTTGTGCATGTGGTCCATTGAGGTATGTATTCCTGCAATGCATCTCTTTGTATGAACCATGCACAGGTTAGCCAGGTCGTCCAACACCGGCATGTGGATACTGCGGTCAACAGATGGCTTAATCAGGGTGTTAGCATCTAGAAAGTCGATACCAGGACCCCATTCCGCGCGCGCGGTGGCCTCTCCAAGCTTTTCAAAGCCCCCGTTATCAAGGTCCGAGAGCCTGACCCCGGAGCTGCGCAAAACAAGCTCCCCATCTGTGGAAATACACTGCGCACCACCAACAATGTTTCTTCCATTGAATGTGTAGGATGCGGAAGCTGTGACTTGAACATCTTCGGAGCACCGGCTAATCCACATTTCTTCAATCTTGGTGGGGACCATCAATTTACTGGTGCTATTAACGAAACCCTTGGATGCCGCTACACTGAGTAACTGCAGCGAGGCATCAATTGTAGTCGGATGCATATGACAGTCCTTGCCGTCATGTTCCTTGGCAACAACTTCTGATGTTGCCTTCGTCTCGACAGTGTCGGACCGGATATTGTCAAGACGTTGGAACGTGGGCCCGAAGTTGAGACCCGACTTGGCCATAGATTCATAACAACGGCGGGTGGTGATATGACGAACTAATGGGCCATTCCTTTCTGCATTCCCCGGGGGTTTGCTTTCGGCTTTAACTTGTCCAGAGCAATGCTTCGTCCAAGTAGTTCCGTTATGGGATGCAATGGTGAATTCCCACCACTCGCTTTCGAGAGAGTCCGTCAAGTACTGGGGACGCATCGATGTGGTGATTTCAACAGGACGACCTTCAGGTAGCACGAGAGCGGTGCTAATGATAACTTTACGCAGAATGAATGCCTTGGTCAACCCCGTCAATTGACGAACAGCTTCACCGATCATACCAGCGTATCCGGCGAAAGGGAAGACAATGTCTTCACCGACTTTGTGATCACGGATCCATGGTACATTATCCAAGTGAAAGACGTTCCGAAAAAGTACGTTAAAGTCTGTACTGTCGGCAACACGGACACCAAGAAGATCGTGATGTCCGTGTTCGCGGTGTCGCCACTCCTTACTCAGTCGAGACTCATACCAGAACTTCTGGGAGCGGTCCCATGGGTATCTAGGTAGATCAGGTAAAACCGAGCCCTTGGGGATAACTTTGCTGAGATCCACGGGCACATTCAAACTGTGCAGTGTTCCAATGGCTGTCAGTAGTGACTCCACATCATTCCGGTAGCGCACAAGTGCTGACACATAGGGGGAAGTGTTCGAATATTGCGTCTGGGTCTTGCGCAACGACCCTGCAAGTGCTGAGTGAGGTCCAATTTCAAGAAGAACCATGTTGCCAGCAATGTCGTGCTGCATAATTGATGAGACAGCTGAGTGAAACAGCACGGGAGACTCGAGGTTTTTTTGCCAGTACTTGGGGCCGAGGCCACAGCAGTCCAAAGAAGCCTGCTTACCCGTTACACTGCTGAAGAACAGCTTCTTGGGGCATGTAGCGGACACCATCTTTTCAATCATAGCGTGATAACGGCCCCCAATTTCAACCATTTGGTGGGAGTGGTATGCCATGTCGACTTGCAGCAGTTTTACGAGGACGTCAGGCTGGGCCTCCTTGACTCTGCGAGCAACTAGTCTTAGCGCTTCGGCATCGCCAGCAAGAGTGACATTCTCCATCGAGTTTTCGCAAGCAACAGTTACTTCTGGCTCGAGATACTGTTGGACATCCTTAGAGCTCATGCCTACAGCCGCCATTGATCCAGCCTTGGATTGCAACCTGGTGGCCTGGCCACGATAGAAAGCAATGATGATTGCCTCATAAGCTGTGATAGCCCCAGTGGCATACGCAGCAGCGATCTCTCCGCTTGAGTGGCCCACGACAGCAGTAGGATGAACTCCAATCGAGGTGAGAGTATCAACTAATGCAACTTGAATGGCCGTGCAGAGAGGCTGGCAGATGCTAGCTGCAGCCAACCTGCTAGACTGGACCGGCTTTTGGAGCTCGTCTTCGATGGTCCATTCAGGTGCATCGTTGAGAGTTTGCAAGTGGGCGTCGAGTGATTGGATTGACTTCCTGAAGGTAGGAAAGGCTGAACTCAGGAGTAGGCAATGTCCCATCTGTGGCCACTGGGCGCCTTGACCAGTGAACACCATAACAACATTGGGTGGTCTCCCGGCTTTTGAGTGTGGCGACGTAGTCAAAGAGCCTGCCAGGCTTGCTACGGCAAATGCCCGATAAAGTAAGTGCTCTCTCTTGTTACCCAGAGTGAACGCCAGATCATTGACTCTATCCGGACTCTGTTCAGCCCAGGCCTTGTACGCTGAAGTCATTTTGTTCAGTGATGCTGCAGTGTTAGCTGAATAGACCAACAGTTGCGGGGACGCCATCGGCTGCTTGGGAACAGGTGTTATTCCATAGCTAAGAGCCGAATCGAGAACAACGTGAGCATTAGTGCCTCCGATGCCAAAGGAGTTAACACTAATACGCTCCTTCCAATTCTTAGGCCATGGCATTGGCTCCGTTGGAACTGCCAATCCAGAAGTATTCCACGGAATATCCGGGTTAGGTTCGTTGAACTTGATGTTTGGAGGGATAATGCGGTGTTCCAGGCTCATCACCGTCTTGATAAGTGAAGTCAGACCCGAAGCACCTTCGGAGTGGCCGAGATTAGGTTTCACAGACCCTACTTGTATGCCACCGGTAGGACCAAAAACACGGCCAACAGCTTTGGCTTCGATAGGATCCCCAGTTGGTGTCCCTGTCCCGTGGCACTCGACAAATGCAGTCTCAGACAAGTCCGAGATACCGGCTATTTCATAGGTGCGTCTAATCAAAGCTTCTTGGGCGATGTCATTGGGAACATAGATGCCAGCGGCGGTTCCCCTCCCATCACTGTTGGTTGCTGAACCACGGATAACAGCTCGAACAGGGTTCCCATCGCGGACAGCGTCAGACAGCCGCTTGATGAAGATGGCAGAAACTGCCTCTCCGCGTGCATACCCATTTGCATCGGCGGAGAACGTCTTACAAGATCCATCAGGTGAAAGAACCCCTTGCTCTGACATGGCAGCACTCATTCCCGGGGCCATTATTAGGTTGACCCCGCCAACAATGGCTCCCTGGCAGTCCCCGCGAGAGATCGCCATACACGCTTCGTGCACGGCAACAAGAGCTGCAGAGCAACCAGTACGGATGACCATGCTGTTCAATTCAGGTTAGCATCGCCTGACGAGGGGTCATCCTCCGTGCTGACCTGGGGCCCATCAAATCCATCTCATAGGACACGCGGTTTGCCAGCATAAAATCGCCGTAGCCAGGCACACGGTACGAACCGTGCTGTTGGTTGTCTTTGGCGAACAATTCAACCCAATCTTCACCAAAGCTACCAACATAGCAACCGATCTGTTGACCTTTCCAATTAGTTTCGCCAGCGTCTTCTATGCACTCCCGGGCCACTTCCAACATTTGCCGCTGCTGGGGGTCTGCCCGCTCAACTTCTGCTTTCCCCATGTTGAAGAACGATGTGTCGATGGCCGAAATGTCGATACTCTCATCCAGGAAGTATCCGCAATCGCTTCCAACTGTACTCGGCTTCTCCCTCTCGGAATAATGTGCGGAAGCCTTGTATCTGGACTCTGGTACTGGGCCACGGGCATCACCCTTGGATATTAGGAAGTCCCAGAGCTCTTGTGGTGAGTGCAGGCCTCCGGGGAGGCGTACGGACATGCCACAGATGGCTATAGGAACTTGTACAGCTTTTTCTGTCATAGGCTTGCCATTGACAGAAGTTCCATTGCTCTCGGTTCTCGCATGAGGATCATTCAGAGATTCAGCATTAGATACACGGCAATTTACACCATGGTCTGTCGCGTAAAGCAGCGTCATCGTCTCAGGATTCCACGTGTAGCTCTGGGAAGATTATCAAGAGGTCAGATTATTCTGAATGGATTAGGGTGTTAAAGACTTCTTCGCAAGTAGATTCAATAAAGTATTGGGCAATTTGCTCAAATATAAACGTTTCTTTTTGGTAACAAGTTATGAGGGTGTTCCCAATATTCTCTAATTGTAACTAGAGCTATCGAGAAAGTGTTAATAGTAGACCATACTCGAGCACTCTAATATATATATGTTGCTTCATTACTCCCAACTCCTCTACTGAACGTCTCCAGTCCAAACTCGCGTAAACCCTTGCTTTTCAGTGGCAAGAATGATAATCGCAATGCGTGAAAAGGGGCTATAGAGGAGAGAACCATACCGTGTGACCCGACAGCCCTCGCATGACGAACTGCTCCGCTCTCTAAAATTCGGTGAAGGATTGATTCACTCAAGTCGTGAATGGTAAAATGTTGATATTGGCCCTAAAAGGGGCCGGCATCTGAGATTATGCAGATTCAGATAAAACAAGCTATACCAAGAGCATGCATTAGCCACAGCTGCATAATATGCAAGGCTCTTACGCTCCTCCTCGTGACTTACAACTCTCCGAGGTAGCCATCTGGTCAATAAGGGCTGTGGAGGGCCATCTCCAGTCGGCCGAGTCTCCACAGCCCGGGGACTACAACGAAAGCTGGTGACTGATCTTTCTCGAGATCCTCGTCGTAAGCAGGCCGACCTCATTACTCCACTCAAGAACAAATCATCATTGGTCCTGCAAATGTCGGCTTTGCCCTACAACATCACCTCCTAGTGGTCTAAGAAGCATGGGAGAACATTGCACAAGAACGTGAAGAGGTTGGCTGACCGTATGTCGTCATAACTCGTCAGCCGTTACCTAGGTACAATAACGCTCTGATTTATTGGTAAATCAGTATAAAGCTTGGTTTGGAAGCGCATGAGAAGAGAAATTTACGGTTATATCATTATATTTTCCAAGGAACACAGCAATCATATCCCAAGAGGATAGCAATGCATAGAACATGCCTATTCGGTTAAGATAAGGTCCGCTATCATGCAGATAAAAGGGGAAGCAGCAAATCACCAGTAGCATTGTTAAGATCACACCAGGATCTGCGCAAAGTATTTAAATATTACCACCAGGTGTCCCAGACTGCTGACAAAGGAGATATACTAATCAGGTCTCAGAAGCACAATACAGCCGTCAGTCGCAATGCCGAAGGAGTTATAGACATTTCCACCACCTGCATGGTATGATTTCTTGTCCACGAAAACCCTGTTATAGTCGATCCCCCCCCTGAGTGATGGGCGAAAAACCCCAGGTAAATCTAACAGCTCAATGTCTGCTCGTGGTGCCGAATGTATTAGTATTATCACCATAGTGCTGACTAGATCTCCCTCTAACCTTCGCTGGTTAAGTCTGGAAATCGGCGAGTGATCTTGGGATATTGTATTGGATAGCTACAATAACTACTATATATGCACTGGCATTGATATATCTCCTGCAAAGATAAGTAGATTCTACTCGCCTGTACTTGGAATCAGATCATGAATATACCGAGGCTGGGCATTACTTTGTCCGATAACTTGCTGGTTTGGTATTCGAGCCCCGATTTTGAGATTTAAAGCTAGGTCCGAGGTGTTGTTGATGTATTGTGAGCCTGGAAACAGTGGCACTTTGCAAATACAGGCGTGTTCTAGCGGATCTATCAATATGTTTGCAGAGTATGCTATAGATAGTCCTGGTTCTGCTGTATTCTCGTCCTCCAGCGCATCTTTGTGATCATCATCGAATAACCCAAATGTCACGGCCTGGTCCTTGGCGCGGCACATCACGCTGCATATATGTTTGTTAAATTTAATAAGCCTTTCAGCTACCTCAAGCCGTTCTTGCTGGTATATGTCTAGTATATTCAGGTGTAGGATATTTAAAACGACAGATATTAGCTTCTAATCTAGATTATAAGCATCTTGCATGCTGATGTTCATACCTTACCCTGCTTTGGGTGAATGGATATAGACAGCGTCGCCAGCAAGGAAAACACGATTATACCAAGAGTTCTGCCGGCAAATATGCTGTGAGATCTGATATTTGGCCTGGTCAGCTAGGACATTGAGCTTGGACTAGGTATGTAATACTTGCATTATATACAGATGACCATTCAACGTGCAAGGCTTCGAATGAATATAGCTCGAAGATTTGCTGTATAGTTGCTATTATGGTTACTGGATCCTGGTGTTTCTGGTATTCGGCTGCGATTTCTCGAGAGAGCTGGACATAGACTCGCACCAAATTACATTCTCGCGGAATAACCATCAAGCTTCTGAACTTGGTTTTAATGATACTCCTCTTACAAATATCAGCTAATACGGCATTATTATTAGTAGTTAAGGCGGGAACCGGAAGATTCGACTATACGCACGGAAGTCTGTAGCTGGAACAACGTCAAAAACACCCCATTGCTTGTCAAGGTCCTCTCCTACCAGGTGAAGCCCAAGCTGACTTCTTACCTAACTATGGGCACCGTCGCATCCAATAATATATCTGGCGTTCACAATGCTACCAGTGCTTGTAAAGTCTACTAGAAAAGTTAGTAAGCTCTATGTATCGGCGTCCAGATATCTGTTAACCAGTTTCTTACACGACCTGGGCCACCAAGATGTATCTGCGTCGACTCCATCTAAATGTACACGCAGAGGGTATGATCTGTGGTCGCTAATATATGAATACTCAATGTCCAATAAGTATAGGACTGTCTTATGCTGAATTTTGATATTATCATGTGATTTAATGTAGCCTAGTAAATGTTCCTCAATCTTGGCTTGGGCGAGAGTGTACTCTTGATATTGAGACAGTCCTGGCCTAGAATTTGCCCTGGTAGCCGTCCTTATAATATAGCTGTACTGGGAATCATCCTGCTCAGAGAAAGATTAGTCTTAGTATAAACTAATGCAGCTTGACTGGCAGTAGTACCTATAAGCAGAGTTTAACAGTACAGTTCACTTCCTTGACTATCTTTATGCCGAGCCTAAAGCTGTCTAGATTTCTAGTGTTCTACTCTCCAGACCATCTGCATGCCCGGCCTGCCTGTGGCACTTTCTTTTTTCAACAACAAGACATTTAACACCCATCCGTGCCATCCAAAGGGCAGCAGTGAGACTGAAGCCAATCAGTGCCGTGTCGATTGCAAAAAATGAGACTGGAGGGCTTACCCCGAGGGCGCAGCCTCAATAATCAAACATCGACCGGGAATGTTTCATATTGGGCAAGTTGCAAGTTTTCCTCGAAAACTCCGGGCACCCGTTCTGCCAGAGATATTAAATGGCCGTGGACTGTGGGAGGAATTTCAGTAGCGGGCTTCTATGTGTTGTAGTTACGAACCTCGCATCCCAGTTTCGCTACATCACATTGTTCGAGGACTGCGCCAGCAATCCGGCGGTGACAATCTTCAATAATCCTCCAAAATCTGAATTCCCCGGAGCTTCAAGCTGGCTAGGCCCATCTCGAACTTTGATCTGACAATTCTGTCAGTAATAAATACGGAAAGTACCCGTCTAGTACTTGCAATCCAGATACAGGAGGCAGTGAGAGGGTTCAATTGGAACTAGTGGACTGAACATTCGAGGAGGCTACAGAAACTTGCGGTGTGCACCGCAAGATGGCTTCTGGCTCAATCAACAATTCTCCTTCACGTTCCTCGCCAGCAAAAAATGTCCACTGAGAGCGGTCCGATGCGCAAGCAAGGGGGGCAGTGTTTGAATACCAAAGACCAGAACTCAACCTGCATCTGATCTCCGATGGGCTGAATGGGATCTCTGGCTGATGTCACAAGATCCTCTCCCCCAGCATGCAGTGGGCTCCTTGCCTGTCCTCTCGGCAGTCCTGCCTGTTATTCTGGACGGTGGTTCCCACCAAGAGTCACCAGATAGTCTAAATAACCCTAAATATTTAGGATGAAAAACAGGCATGATGCACAAGGCGGCTTCGATGCGGCCCAAGACCCAGGCTCAACTTCTGACTCCAAGACTCGACCCGCCTACTTGGCTAGTTGCACTAATGAGGTTCTCTTTATTCGGTTGGCTATCGCCCAGAGTCTCCTGCTTCAAAGCTCCCTTGTCGGGATTATCTGACTTTGCCACAGGACCTGGCGATCAACGATCTGCAGGAAATATCCGCCTGAATGGTGACAACCAGCTTCATGCATACGTCTCGAGATAATTGAGGTCATAAATACGGTGTACGTAATATGGAGCCAAGTCGAAAATCACACGGACACTATTATTAAGTACTCCTATGCTGCTGCCCATTGTCATGCTGAGGGGCTACGCAGGCTCCCATCTGCGAATTCAAGTTCCAATAAGCATGTCCACAAACGCCCTTTACCTTGAGCGCGACAAGGCAAACGTCAGCATTGTACACCTGTTCCTCGACAAAGTATGGCAGGAGCCGAAGTCTCCCGCCGTTATCGACATCAACTCAACAATTAGCTATGAAGAGTTGCATACCGCCGCATTGTCACTGGCCTCCCAATTATTCCACAGAGAATATGCTTTGGAAGAGCCCACGGGGGTCTTGGTCAATCCGGGGCTATGGAACATTATCACTCAGCTCGCAGTGGTGTATGCCGAAGGCACAATCGTTCCCGCCTATCCAGATGATTCTGATGAGAAGATTCTCTCTAAACTGAAAGGTGATAGAGTGACTAATTTCCGACAGCCACGTTTAAGTTAATTAATATAATAGCTAGGCATGGTCCAAGGGGTACTGGCTGACAGGTTTGGAATGACTAAGGACAAACTGCGAAAGTACAACGGCGAGAATACCTGCCAGGACTTATAGGTCATTGATTATGTCTACTGATCTGCAAATGAACTAGTGGGTTTCTCTCCTCAGCCAAACCAGGTGGGTCTTGGAAAAACATATAGCTATGCGAGTGGACACCTGCGCTGCCATAGCAGCTGCGAACAGTGTGATAGTGGCACAAGTGCCTGGATTGGGTGCCAGTATATGCAACAGGGGAATCTTATCTGCCTCAGCCCTGGTCAGCCGCCCATGCCTGCGACCTTTCTTCTCCCCGGCTGTTTTGGTCCGCTACTCGTGTAGACTACACCAACTGTTCGCTCACCATACTCCTTCAGGGTATGGCAGAATTACCAGGTGACTTGAGAAGGCAGGAAAATGTAAAAATATCACCGCGTCGACTGGAAGAAACCTAACTCACAAGACCACTTCGGCATAACCTGGACGTCAGTGTCGGTTATTGTATGTTCCAATCGGCCTCTCTGACATGGCTTCCCCATGTCTCCGCATAACAGGCATTCAAAATACCTCATATATTCTGCAGGAACTAGCGGCCTGGGCTCATTGTCATATGCCGACGGGAATTGAGCCCACATGTTGATTAGCGGAATTTATTCCCCAGATTATCTTGGATCTGTACTGCCGGGTAAATACGTCGGGGAAATACGAGGCGTATCTACACGTATAAAATAGCGATAGGGGAGGTCAAAAGACAGGCAAAAGTAGTTATTATACCCCGCTGGGTGCTCATCATCAATACCATGCGATTCCTCCTTGTATTGTTGGCCCTGCCCTCGGTGCTTGCCAGAACATGCATAATCCCCGCCAACGAGAATGGGTCCGATGACGCTCCGGCTATCATGAAGGCGTTCAATAGATGTAGGAAAGACTCTACGATAATCTTCCAAAACACAACATACAACATCGGGACTGTGATGAACCTGAAGAACCTGGATAACGTCCGCATCGACATCCAGGGCCGCTTGGAAGTACAGTACACCCAGTAGCAACATTGCTACGGTTACAAGGGGAAAACAATATAGTTAGCTGATTTTGCACAGTGGAGCACGGATATCGACTACTGGCTCGAAAACTCACTACCCATTGGCCCCGGGAAGACCCAGAACAGCTACCCCCCAGCCGCGTACCAGAATCAGACGACGGCTTTGATCCTGGGCGGCAGGAACCTTGAGGTTGACGGCCATGGCTATGGGACCTTTGATGGCAACGGTCAAGCGTGGTACGACTTCGTCGATGGCGAGTCAAACTATCCTAGTAAGTCGGTTGGTTTCTTTCAGTACAGTACTCACGCGCTATAGATCGGCCCCATATGCTTGTTATCACGGCAGAAGACTCATACTTTCATGGCATTCGTTTTGTCCAGCCTCAGATGTGGTGGGTGCGGTTTGGTTTCTTTCTCATGCCCCGCCTAACAAGGCACAAACAGGACCGTAACAATCGTCGGCTCTAAGAACGTCGTACTCGAGGACATCTACGTCAAAGCCAAAAGCAGCAATTCCAAGCCAGCGCGCAACACCGACGGAGCCAACACTCTCTTTTCCGACAAAGTTACCTTTCGGCGCTGGGATATCGAGAACGGTGACGACAGTATCGCTGCCAAGGCAAACTCGACAAACATCCTCATCGAGGACTGCATCTTTCGCGACGGCCAGGGTGTCGCCATCGGCAGTATAGGCCAATATGCGGACCGTTTTGAAATTGTCGAGAATGTAGTGGTGCGGAATATCACGCAGTATGGCTCTAACTATGTAGCCCGGATCAAGACCTGGACTGGGGAGCAGAATGAGTGGCCGCCTAATGGAGGAGGTGGTGGGATTGGTTGTAAGTCTTACTGTCTAGATATTTTTTTTTTCTGCTCTTACCTTTGACACGTTGCACAGATGCCCGAAACATAACCTACAAAGACATCACGATTGGGGATGGCAAAAAGACGCCCCTTGTTATCAACCAGTGCTACACAAATGTTAGCAAGGCCAACTGCAGCACCTCGACTTTTGACATTTCCAACGTGCACTTTTCCAACCTTAAGGGCACGATCCGCTCAAGTCGCAAGGCGGACTTCCAATGCAGTAGATCACAAGGTGGGTGTGATGGTATCACGATGGATGACGTGGAGCTCTTTAGTAACCTGGGAGAAGAGCTTGAGGAGGCAGTGGGTGTCAAGTGCAGCAATGTTAATGACCCAGAGGGCTTTGAGTGTGACTGAAACAGGGCAATCTTGTGTGATAGAGCTGCAGTTGTCGCGCTTAATCATGATTAAGAGATTATTGAATCCTAACAGGTACAAGTAGGACAAGCAGAGTACTGGTCCATCTATATCAATAAGCTTATAGATGTTTTCCATGCTATTAGCATGATGGTACTTAAGATATCCTACCAGTACACACGTAATGTAAGTATAAGGCTAGCCTCAGCCGCTATTATATGTAATAGCAGATCAGCCTTGCAAGTAATCCAAAGTATATAACCCCAGCAATAACGCGGCAGACTGATTAGCTAAAGCAACTGCATACCCAGGTTAAACCCACTTCTTCCGCCCGCTCTGCGAGGGGTCAGGGTAAATGAAATTACCGTCGTCATCAACTGTATAAGTTGTGATACTGGTATCCGGGATTGCTTCTTTATCTCCGTCCCTGACTGGGTTTTACAGTTTATGAGCCGTGATGTAGTGACCGACTGCTCTTTGCTTAGGATTCCGTTCCTGTTTACTCTGTGGACAGGTTCATCCTTCACCCCTTCAGTATTTAGACAACCGGCTGTTAAAAATCATCCCTGCTGTCCCTCCCCCTCCCCCTCCCCCCTGGTGAATATACAGGAGGAAGCCCATGCTCCCTGCGCTCCGCCCAAGTCCCATGCTCATCCACCCTCTTGAAGGCCCGTAATTCCCGTAACTGTTCCATCCTCTCGTCCTCGGCGCGTTCTCTCTGTCGGTATCGTCGGACGAATATATAGCAGGCAATTATAAAGGCGATTAGGAAACTGCCATATTCTGTCAGCCGTCAACCATTTTAAGATGTTTTAAAGTAATGGTAAGGGAATGAGGCAATCTCACACGACAGATATAACAGCCGGCACGCCGTAAATAATCGCATGGCTTGTTGGTTTTTCGCACGAGGCGTCGTCGTCTGTGCAGGAGGTCATAATTGTTTTGATAGGAGGTTTTGTTCAGGGGTGGTGGAAGAAAGAGTTTTGCCAGTGATTCAGGGGTTCGCGCCGATCCGGGGAAGCTCAGGTGTCAATGTTTCATATAAAAATAGATATGGAAGCTAGCAATAAATATCTTACTACTAATGTAAATAGCTCCTGTAACTTGTCGGGCGGAGAAAGCGCCGAGTGCCGATGATATGAACATAAAATACGTGTACTGTGCCAGAGTTAGCGCCACAGGAACCCGACTCTACTATTATTATGGCTGATGAATTAAAGCCAAGTTCGGGACTAGCGGAACAGATCAGTCAGTACTTGTGGTTAACAGTATACCTCTACTATCCATAGCCCCAATACAAATGACTCTCCAATATAATTGTACTAGTTCAGTGACATATTCATCAGACCCGTGGATAATGTGTTGTCTTCAAACCGAGACAGAAGTTCCACAGCCAAACGATCACCCATTATATTGGCCAATTGAGATGCGGTGTGACCGTCCTGAGATCTCTCCTTCAGAGATGCTCCTTTATCTAAAAGCAGTTCCAGCACTCTATATTGCAGATTTTCGACCGCTAACATCAATGCCGTATACCCACGCTGGTCGGTTGCATTCAGATCAGCTCCATCGTCCAAGAGAAGTTCCACGATATCTTGCCGCCCGTACAGAGCGGCGAAATGTAGGGCTGTTCGTCCTGAGTAGTCCTTGAAGTTTATATCAGCACCAGATGCCAGCAAGCGCTGCATAATCGAAAGGTTTCCTGTCTCTGCAGCCAGCATTGACATGGTAGTCCCGTACACGCTGGCGTTTACATCTGCACCATTCCCAATGAGCGTTAAAACAATGTTTTCCTCCTGCCCCTGGATAGCGTAATATAGAGGGGGGCATTCATCGGATCCGCGGAGATTGACGTCTGCTCCGTGTTCCAGGAGTAGCTGCACGGCCTGTTCGTGTCCCTGAAACGCCGCCAATTCCAGTGCAGTGTAGCCTGCTGCATCCTTCCCATTGACGTCCGCACCCTTTTCAAGAATCATGCGAATCCTAGCAACCTGGCCTTCCTGGGCAGCAAAGCGGAGGCCAGTTAGAACTGTACTTCCCTTTGCTTTCTCCTCCGCCATTTTGACGAGGCTGGCCTTCTTTTCCTTGCCTTCCTTATTGATTGATGCCAATATGGTGTTCCCATTGTTCACCTTGTCCGATAATGCTTCTATGGTAGACGTATGGCCTTTTATGCAAGCTCCGTACAGAGGTGTCCACCCATCCATGTCGCCCAAGTTAGGATCGGCGCCATTTTGCAGTAACACTTTCACCACCTCTTTGCGCCCTCTGATGGCTGCTTTATGAAGTGCCGTGCTTCCATTCTTGTCCTGCCAATTCACTTCTGCCTTATGCTCGAGCAGTAAATTCGCGACTTCGACGGTACCACCTTGCGCAGCCCAGCATAGGGCGGTTTGATAAGTGTCATTCTTTGCGCGTACGTCAGCCCCGTTCTGCAGAAGTAGTCGTGTAATGCGCTCGTTTGTAACGCCCCAGTGCAAAGCCGTATTTTCATATGCATCCCGGAGATGAACATTGGCATCATGATGTAACAGCATTCGTACGGTTGGTTCATGACCCACCGAGATTGCAAAATCCAGGGCAGTGCTTCCCCATTCATTCTTGATATCAACATTGACACCGCTTTCTATGAGCTCTTGCAAGATCGCGGGTTGGCGTTCCTCGGCAGCCAGAAATAAGGCGCCGTTCCGGGCACCGCCGGCAGCATCAAGGTGCAAGTATCTGTTAAGGAAATGGGCAACTAGCTCCGTATCGCCATTGATGACGAACCAATTTAATGCGGTCCAGGCTTCGCTATCCACAAGGAGGCGTGCCCCTTGATCGAGTAGAAGCTCAACAATAGGCCTGTGGTTATTCTTTGATGCGCAGTGTAGGGCTGTCTCGCCGGATTGGTTCTGCGCGTTAACATCTGCACCGCATTCTAATATAGTATGCACGCAGTCGTGATGACCCCGGCCAGCTGCTATGTGTAGTGCTGTATTCCCGCAGCTATCGGGAACATCAATATCAACTCCCGTTTGCTGGACAATGGCAAGGACTTTTTGTAAGCCCCAGTATGCTGCGGCGTGTGAAGGCCCAAACTGTCTGGGGAAACGGTTAAACCAGTCCTTAGCCCGGTGGGATACCAAATGTAGCACTTGAATGGAAGAGGATAGTTTGTGGCCATCCCCCACGTACTGTAGGGCCAAACTGACGAGTTCGGGCGACTGGCTTCTCAGATGATACCCCCAATAGTGTGAAGCGTAGTCTAGAAATTGGTACTTTCGCAGCCGCCGCACCAGTGCTTCACCGTCGCGAGTTGGACCGGTCGCGAACACGTCAAACGAAAGATACGTTAGACACGCTTTTGCAAAATCGCTTTCAGGGTGTGGAGGCAGGGCGGCTGGGTGCAGTTCGAGGTACTCTTGAAGAGTATGGTGCGCCAACCCAATTACCTGGCTCTTCCTGTCGACTCGAAGGAGGCCTGCGGAAGCACCAACCAGGATTTCGTGTGCAGGAAGGGCATCATCATCCAACTCGGTGTCTTCTTCCTCGACAGCCAAGGCGTGGCAAAGTTCATCGACTGTAAGAGGTCGTCTCGCGCAAAAGATAAAGGAGATTGCTCTTTTCACATTATATGCATCCGGTTCACCTTGGCTTTCGATTCTGTTGATGGCATCGCCATAATACCCCGCCAAGTCAGATGGCAAGGAACTCATAGCTTTTCGTAGCTGTCTGACGTTGTTGAACTTGGATAGAGCGTCGACTTGAAGATACGCAAGCAAAAACCTTTCATGGTAAATAACCTCGAGATAAGCTGCAAGGGCTTGATCGGAATACTCACATGCCGGCGGCATTCGCAATGATACATTTGATAATATCGGCTTCCAAACTTGGATCTCGTGTAATGAGTCTGGATAGTCTGGATCTAGACTGTATTTCAGTCGCGAGATAACTTTCGATATCGCTGGTCGAAGCAATTATCTCGACACGGTGGATTTGGGAAAACTCGACAGGAAAGTCGATGGGCCGTGACGTTAGGAACAAAAGAGCTGAATCTTCCAAGTCTTTTAAGTAACGGAGCAATGCATCCCTATTTTGCTCAGGGCACTCGTCCTAGATAGATGGTGAATCGGGGTATACGAAGACTAGGTGCGGAAGTGCTTACCAGGGCATCTATAAAGATGTAAGTCTTTGTGAACGGACGGCTCAGCTCCTCAATCAGAGCCAACCATTCATCCGAAGTTGGATTTCGTTTCTTCTCCGCATTTCTATCCCTGAATTGTATCACGGCTGCTGGGATTTGCGCGTAGTGACTCGCCACTTGTCGAGCTATACTCGCTAGAAGCTCGAATTCAGAGTGCGTCGTTTCGTCTTTATAGTCACAGTAGATGTACGCAATGGCGACATTCAGTCCTTCTGTAGCTTCGCTGACATGGTTGACAGCAATCGAACTATCAGCCTCAGCAATTGGGTTCTATCTGCGCTGTGATATGCGAACTCACGTTAAGACAGTCTTTCCGCCGCCCGCTAGGATTGACATTCAGTCCTGACCGCAGCTACGATGGATTGGGACTTACGGATACCATAGCACCAAAGAGTTTGACAGGACACGCCTCTGAGCCAACTCTTGAATTCGGCGCACTCAAGCAACCATTGACCTGTGCCTTCTTTGCGTTGAGAGAAGACATGTTTTTGTTTCCTGTCAAAGTCCCGGGACCAGAGACTGGTCAGAACAGCTTCTCGACTAGTAAGAGCTTCGCGACCTTGGAGTAGTCAGTAATAATCAAACACCAAGCAATATCAAGGACTAACTGACCTTCCAGGTGATTCATTACTGCTTTGTGCTGTTGACCAATATCTTCTTTCAACTGCTGAACGCTGACGAGCGTCACATTGGCTAGCATTCGCCCTTCTTGGTCCACCAATTTGTGGAAGTGAGAATATGCCGTCTTAAGTTCATCGTCCTCCCCAGAGACAAGGTTCCGGAAGGCTTTCACTAAATATGTTGAATTAGATAACTTGGCCTGACAAAGAGCCTGCAAGGTAAAGTAAACCAACCGATCCTTTTCTTCCGAATGTATTTCGCAGATATCCCACAAAGAACAAGCACAGACGTAAGAATTTCGGCTATGGTATTCCTTAGGGCAGGGATCGGAGGCACATAGGACTCCAGGATCTTTAAGCGATTCAGGTAACTATCCAACTCTTCGAAAAACTCTGTGACTTTATCGTAATCTGCTGAGACAGAGTTGGCCGTCTAGGGAATCGTAAGCTTCGGTCACGGTTCCCGGCCATGGGGAGAGAGATATACAGTAATTAAGAGTCGCGCTGCCGTGAAGATGGCCATCCCGGGAGGGAATGCCTGCCAGGCCAGAAGCATATGTCAACTTTGCCTTGTGATGAGGGAGCGCTGATTCTTACGCTTGTACTCGCATGGGCAGCTATCTCGCTGAGCTTCTCAATAGGTTGCAAGCCCTTTCTCACCAACGTCCTAAACCTATCGATTTTCGAGCCGTCATGGCGCCTGAACTCAAATTTACTTTCTTTGTCTCTTATCTCACGCAACACGTCTTCCACCGTTCGAGCTCTGACCAACGAATCGAGACTCGTCCCTGTGGTAACCTCGTAGCGACTTATCGCAGCGCGCCAAATCTCCTCGACATCTGTGGTACTATTCGTACCTGCCTGGGGGATTGGAGTTGCTGTCATTGTGCCAAACCGCAAAGTAAACAATCATTTATGCTAGTGCCGTCCAAGAGAACCTTGGAAAGCAAGATGTCGCCCCGACTATTGGGTGGGGCGTGTACTGGAGGCGTACGCACCCAGTCGAGGGAGGGGCACGTCTCCAGTCGAGCACGGTGATCTAAATTAGTTACCTCGATTGCACGCGTACGCTGTCGCTAAATCGTTTACAAACGCTCTTGGTCCCCATATCAATGCGCCATGTGCGATACTTTCGCCTCACAGCAACCTGTCATTAGCAGCCCGAATACATTAGCCTCTTTTATGCAGCATCTTCACGAACATCCGAGCAGTCGTCGTATAACGCCAACAGAGAAAGAATGTCTGATCCAATGGTTAACAAATCCTGAGAAACGCCCGTCATCGCAGCGCGAGTTCAGCCGCCGTAACTACGCGAGGAAGACTTTTATTTGGGACAACGATACCCAAGAACTTCTAGCGATCAACAAGACACAAGAGGGACAAGGCCGCATTGTGATTGCAGAAGATAGGATAGCAGATACTGTGGAAGCCGTGCATAGTTGCAATGGCCATGCGGGATGGGATACTACTTGGAAAGATGTCAGCACGTCCTACTATGGTATCTTGAGGTCAGACGTTATATATCTGCTTAGAAGATGTCAAATTTGCCGGCATAACCCTGCAAAACGCCCCAAAAACCCTCTCAGGGCCGTGGACAATCCCCACCCAGTGGACATGAATGGGTTTGACCTTCTAAACCCTCAAGAATTGGAGGACACTACATTGCCACCTCTTGAAACAGGCTTTCACGACCTACCAAGCAGGCAATCCTGATTTGACAAGTCCCGCCTGCGACCAGGCCGTTAGATGGTTCTTCATTCGAATATTTTCTTGGACTAATGAATGAGAATCATAAACGTCGAATACCATATTCTCTGTCAAGTCTCTACTTCCCTTGGCTATAAAACCTCGTCCACTGGCAAATGTTCCCGTATTGACAATCACGACTACCTTGTTCTCCTATAGCCTCAGCCCGTAGCCGCCAATTACTATGTAATTGTTGCTCCTATGGTCATAGCTCTGTTTATTGCTAAGTGAACTTGGTGAAAACAAATGTATCCACACACAGCAATGGCATTACATTGATCGAGAATTGTTGCCACCAATCGGCTCGGTAGGACGATTCAACGTAGTCTCGCAGATATCTCTCATCTGAATCCACCTCTTCAACAATGTCCATAGTTTCAGATTGTCAGGTCCATTCTTCTCATCCAAGCCGACCGACGGGGAGTTCGCAGCCGTACTCTGCAATGCACGAATACGTAAAGTACACACCTGGAGGTACATGCTAATCCAGTTGTTGATTGTATCGGTCATCAATTTGCGGCGAGTGGTATCGTTGGAACGATGAAGGGCGTATTCCTGCCACTTTTTGGGCCTCATGCATACCATACATGCCACATCTTGAGTCCGTGAGCATGGGCCATTCTGCGTGATTTTATAATTGCTTCGGTCAGAAACAATGTTAGCGGCATACATGGAGTAGCAAATGTCCTGGGAATGCACACACCCATATAGATCATGCATTTTCAGCTCTTCTAACTCATATTCTGTAAAGTGCTCGAAAACTAAGTCATCCAGAAATATGGCATCATACGGGTTGTGGTCAGGGATAAAACCATCTGCTTTGTAGTGAATATATGACACCTCAACCAATGTTCTCTTTGTCACTCACACTCAACGAGAAGATAGTCATTGGGATGTGAACCATAACTGATATAAACTTCTTCTCCTTCCTCTGGGATTCATTTTTTAGACTAGTCCCTCTGCCGGGTAAGATAATGGGCGGGGGCAGCACATACCGATACGCCTGGTTGCATTGATAGTATAACTTTCCTTATCAAACGTAGCCATGCATGACTGTATGTCACCCATGTCAGTAAACCGGAATGTGATATCCCTAAGGTCCGTCTGGTAACCGACCTCGTTACCCGCATGGTTGAAGTAATCGGCGATAGGGACTAGGCCAACCGCATCATTCCAGTCCTCTGGTTCTTGCTCCCCTGGCGTCACATAGTAGAAGCTCCTCGTGTTAATAATGAACCAATAGTAGCTGAACATGTCCCAGTCTGTGCCTGGGAAAGCCTGTAGAACGCATTGCCACGCGGAATGCATTCTTCGCTTCTGCTTTGGAAGAATATTCTGGTAGATATTTTCAGAGCTCGTCCTTGTGGAGTTATTGATGCTGTTCCAGGACCCGGAAGCAGCAGGAGGCAGTAGGCAATGGCTTGTTTCCAACTTCCCCCGATCAACAAGATTTGAGTCCAGCTCCTTTTCCCATGAAATGGGCATGCAGCGTTTGAAGCTCTGAAGATCAGGCCAGGAGTCAGTCCAACATTTCCATTTGGCTAGTAAGATGGTGTCCCCATGTAAAAGAAATGCCGCAAGAATCCCATGGGTAGACGTCCTCTCGGGGAATGACTCAATGAACGTCTTGGGAATGCAGTCAATGGTAAGCATTATCGAAGAAGGGACACTAACAAGTGCTTCACCTTCCTTCCGTTCAAGTCAGCTACTCTTGCCATAATCGAATTGGCTGAAGCTTACTTCGATCGCTCTTGTGGCTACCATCCCCAGACCACGACCAGGGATTTCGGTCGGCGCGACGCCGCCCAATCCAATCCCTTGGGTGGCAGCCCACTGCATAGCGTTATTATATATGCTCTCCGCCGCTGTTGTTGTCATTGTGTCGTTTTGGGCATAAATGATTGTGTTGTCGTTTAAGTAGATTTAAATCCGTACACCGTATAGCCTGAGTAGATCTCATCGCGAATTTCCCGAGGGAGACTGAAAAAGCGAGATAATGGGACGTGTTTATTGCCGCGTGGCATCTTTTGGTAATTGTAAGTACGGGATTAAAAGTTGGAATGGAAGAAGCCTTTACTTTCACAAGAGACATCGCTCCTATTCCCTCATCTCTGGTCAACTGCAGTGGCAGATTGAAATTAAAACCGCAATGGATGTCTGCAGTGAAACTGTGCAGCTCTGTACAATCTGTGTGTCCAAGAACTATGGCGCTCCGGCCACTGGTTGTAGTCTGGAGTCCCGTAAGGTTAATAGGCAAAGGCAACAATTCGGACCAATAAATACGCACATGTCGTATTTCAGCCTGCGGGGTTTGCCGTTCAGAATTACTTTTCACATGGCCACTCTGCTTTATTCTGAGATATTCATCAAACTCCCTCTTCGTTCTCTCGTAGACGTCGAGAGAGACTGTTGTAAGGTCCGAGTAAAAGCGCTTGTGTTTAGTGTCTTTCAAGACAGGAATTTCATAGCCTAGAGCCTTTTCCATATGCTCCAAAGAGACTGGTGGCCTCCGTTTTGCCATCTTGTAGAGAAGACTGCCGGGTGTCGTTCAGTCAGTGCTCTGCTCGGCTCTGGGAAGACCACTTTATTAGGTAAGCCGAAACGAGAATGTCAGCATAAGAGCCACTTGGTAATGGGTAGAACTTTCTCTCGATAATTAGAAGTAGATTATATGCTTCTAGCCATAAGAGCACCCTTGATAATTACAATAATAAATGGATGGTGGAAGAATAAAGTCTCAGGCTTAAATTAATAACCACTCTCCTCGTATATCCGCCAGATCCTGATTTCTTGGCTATGATGCGTAATCTTCATTCATCTAACATAGTGCCTCCGAAATTCCACAGCTATACGACGCATTCTTCGAGGAATGCTACTGAAGGCCAAGTGCTTATTGCCCTATGAAGTGGCTGGCGCTCTCACTGTGGGTCATATGGCGATCTTTCTATGACTTTAATGGAGGAAAAAGCTGGGTGGCGATTGGTACGCCTGTCCTTGGTGCCTCTCTTCACAATGGCCATAAAACGGTTCCAGATTGAATAAAAATCTTGTTCTCGTAGACCAGGTGCATGTAGTCTGGAGAATAGCTGCACGGTTGAATCTGGACTTCCTTCGTATGTCAAGCTCACTCCTTCGGTCGTAAGGCATAGAATTTGACCGGCAACAGCTTGAATGCTTTCGGGAAGCCCAGCTGCAGTTCGGATGCAATAAGATTCATACCAGCGCGCCGGAAGATATCCTTGAACTTTTCATCTGTTCTGGTCACGCTGCTATCCAGCTCATCATACATGTCGCCGCCACTTGGATCCGTCGAGAGATTCTCTTTTACAACCATTATTCCAGCCGTGGACAAAGCATCACGGCACCGTGCCACATATTCCACTAGCTGGCCGTCTTTCAGATGGCCCACGCAGAACTGGGTCCAGATCAAGTCGTATTTCTTTTCCGGAAACCAGTTTTCCAGTCCAACGCCATATATGTCACCGATCACGCCAGATTGTTTCAAAGAGCTCTCGTGCAGAACCCGAGTGAACTGATCAACTGGCTCAACAGCGTCGACCGTTTCACAAACACTGAAGAGAAAGCCCTCGGTCACACGCCCAACACCAGCGCCGCAGTCAACCCCTAGGGACAATTTCCCTTCTCTGGTGCACGCCGGCACCAGGCGTCTGATCTTGGCCAGGAATGTTTTGGAGCCCCGCAGATCAATTCGCGAATACCAGGGATAGGCCCCCAGGGCCGCGAGCATGGCGTTCGCTGTGGCGGGAACGCTCTTCCAGTATTCGATAGAGGCCGCAGCATCTACCTTACTATCCACTGCGGAGTCATTACTGGGTAATCTCGCTTCACTGCTGGGGCAAGTCTTTTCGGACATGGTGTGATTAAAGTGAATATGAATTCTGGATTGCAGGTCCGAATGTCTGTGGTTGCGAAAAAAAAAAATGGCAACAACTTTTCTCGGCCCGATGACTTCGGTCATGTGACTAGCACTGGCATGGAACATCGTGTTTTTTTTTTTTTTTTTTTTTTTTTTTTTTTTTTTTTTTTTTTTGGCAGTAATAAAGAAATATGGATTTATGAAGAATAGTTATAGTAGCCTAGCAAGATATTCTATTTATTTAATAATATTTTAAGTTCACGGAGATAAAAGGCCCCCTGTATGTAGACCTACAATATATAATATTATATTGGCTATAATAAGAATCCGTAGTTCGATACCGGATATAAACAACTAACATTTAGCTTGAGAAAGATATCAGATAACCATCAGGCGAGGATTAGTTATAATAAGATATACTAACCCAAAGGTCCTCGAATGAGTGGTAAGCATCACATGGATTAGTATCTCCAACTGGCACGGTTAGCTTTGCAATATAGACCTTTTCAGTGCCCCAGAGGTAATTAACGGCCACAGTGTCTGTAAGCATTCTGGCAAGATTAACAGCCTTTTCCTTTTCTGTGTAATCGGCGTTGTCGGCGTACATCCCGCTGTATAATACAGCCGGAGCACCCCTAGGGTCGAAAGCGTAACGCTCGCCGTCACTTCCGCCACTGTTGTTGGTAGGGATGTCCTCGATGACATGGCCCAGCAAGTCCTTATAATACGATCTGGCTCTCCCGAAGGCTTCGTCCATCACAACGCGCATGTTGCTACTCGTGTCTAATTCCTCTTGAAGCCTGTATGTATCCGCCATCAGCATGGAATTGCCTGGCTAATTAGGGGTATACTTTATTCCCGCTACCCAGGTCCGATGTATCGTACTAGTGGATACTTTCTATTCACGTTGCAGAGCTTTGCACAGGATGCTGGTGAACTTTCTCTTCCCACTACGTCGAGCACCTGGTCCATGACTCGATTTTGTATACTGTTGTATCGATTTTTTGCTTTAGTAATGCCACTCTTGATCATTGCCTTTTATGTTCACCGAGCTACTAATAGCATGCACAGACATACTAAGCTGCAGCATAGCTGGCGAATTAATATAATTCACGGGGAGATTAATGAAACTGTTGTTTTTAGAGAGGACTTTGGAATGTGTATAGCAATGTGAGGGTCAAGTTATTGTCCAATCGCCCTGTTTCTTCACATAGGCACTTCGATGAATATACTAGTGTATTCTGAATGGTGGTATAAGATTGCCGTAATGGCACTTCTTCATTGTTTGATTGGATGCTCTGGCAATGTTACTTTCAATCCATATGGTTGGGAAATTCTCAAGAAATTTTAGAATGAATTCGACATTAATATAAATACCGAACTAATTAAAGCTTCGACATGGGATCAACAGTCAGAGTCCCCGTCTTCGAAATAAGATATTCTTCGATCGCGACATCTTTGCCTGCCTCCTTTCCATAGCCAGAAGCTTTGATACCCCCGAACGGTGATTCGGCCCCAGAAGCGTTCCCTGTCAATTATTAGTAAGACCGGACTGATATAGAAAGACATCAAGACATATATATGCATATTTGGTCTTACCTGTGTTCATCCCGATCATTCCGGCTTCAAGTCTCTCAAGCAACCTCCACGTGCGGCTGGTGTCTTTGGTGAAGAAGTAGGCCGCAAGGCCCATACTAGTATCATTTGCCATTTGGACAACTTCCTCCTCGGTCTCAAAGCGATATAACCCAAGGAGGGGTCCGAAAATCTCTTCTTTGCTCGTCAACATGGCTGGCGCCATCTCAGAAATGATCGTGGGCTCGAAAAAGTTTCCAGGTAGATTCGTTAGTCTCCTCCCACCACAGGCAATTTTGCCACCCTTCAAAACCGCATCGGTGATATGTCGCTCCATCTTTTCTAAGCCTCGAGTTGTCGTCAATGCTCCCATCGTTGTGCCCGAGGCCGCGCCATGACCGACTTGAAGTTTCTTTGTGGCGTTGACTAGCATTGACAGGAACTTGTCATAAACACCACTTTGGACGTAGACTCGGTTAGCGTGTGTGCATGCCTGCCCGGCGGTACGCCACTTCAAGACCATCAGTGCAGCGAGGGCTTGATCAAGGTCCCCGTCGTCGAAAACTAGGAAAGGACAGTTGCCACCTAACTCGAGGGTTACCTGCAAAACTGTTAGTCATTTTCAATTTCGGGTAAGTGCTGCGGATAGAAAGGAGATCATTTCTGGAGACGGATTGAGATTTACCTTCTTTAGTCCATCACTACAGTGCTTCGCGATGATCGAGCCAACTGTAGTGCTACCAGTGAAAGTGACCTTGCGCACAAGGGGATGCTTGCAAAGCCTCTCACTAACCACAGGGGTGTTCTCGTTATCTGTGGTAATAATGTTCAAGACACCGGGCTCAAAACCGGCTCTCAAAGCCAGGTCTGCAAGGGCCAATATACTGAGAGGAGTCTCAGGTGAAGGTTTGATGATCATTGTGCAGCCAGCAGCCAAGGCAGCCGCCGCCTTACGGATAGTCATGGCAACAGGGAAGTTCCAGGGAACCAATGCTACGCTGACACCAATTGGCTGCTTTATTACCAGCGTGCGTCTACTAGAGACGGATGGCTGGGCGATTGAGCCACGGATGCGTTCAGCTTCGCCGGCGAACCACCATGCAAAGCCGAGTGCGTAATCAACTTCACCTAGAGCTTCAGCCATCGGCTTGCCTGTTTCATAGACCAAGAGCTTTGCGATGTCATTTCGCGCATTGGTGATCAGGCCATGCCAGCTCAAAAGCAACTTTGCTCGCACTCTGGGGTTTGCTTCTTTATATTTAAAGAATGCGGTTTGTGCAGAATCGACGTACTGATCGACATCTGGGAGGCGGTTGTTGGGACAGTAAGCAAAAACTTGGCCAGATCCAGGGTCTAAGTGCTTCGTTAGAGAACCGCCGTGTTGCTGATTGATAGATAGGCCTGACCTTCAATGCCAAACGTTTGCTGCTGCTGGGCCTGAACCCATTTGCCATTCAACAGAGAGGCTTCATGAAGAAGACTTGGATCATCTAGCTATAGAATTATTAATTACCCGGAAGTTCGATAAACACATGCTTTCGACATGAAGGGGGTAACAAACAGTGAAAGGAAGCATGTCGAATGTTGCGTGGGTGTCAATAGTTTAGATTTCTGTGTACGTATTGAATGGTATTCAAGAACGAAATTGCGATAAAATAATCAACAGATAGATGTGTATATATAGACGTTCTACCGAGCATGACTCGGCTACCCTTATACTTTGGCGAATATCTCGCAATCAAAAGGTGGGCTTGGTCCACCTCGTCCCATCATAGAAAAAGCCCGTTGCAGAAGATAACGCGTCTAAACTTGCTGTTAGGGTTCAAATCTACTTTTTCCGGGCATCCGTCCCCACCCCGCAAGGAAGTTCCGCGCGGAATTTCCGGCTCCACACCGTTCTGGCAACGCTGGTTCTTTGCCGGTTAGGGTTGTGGCCAATCTACGCCCGGTTAATCCTAACCTTTATGGTCGGAAATCTATGCAAACGCGTGAATGCCCCAGCAATACCTTCGCGTAAAATTGACCTTTGGGTATATCCTAATTCTGTCAATCGCCGCCATCTGAAGGGTGTTAAAAAGGCCAATCTTCCATATTTTCTCTCGACCAAGTATACACCTGTTCTGCTCTACACCAGTGCTTCCAACCTCTCCGCAACCATGTCACAGATTCACCCCTTTCACCCTTTGACCCCAAGGGAAATCGCAAAGGTATGCGAAAACAGAAAATGATTCCTAGTGATTGAGCCTAACCATCCTAACCAGGCCGCAACGATTGTTCGTCATGCATTCCCAGGACAAACAGCCAACTTCCGAGTTATCACTTTGAAAGAGCCCGCAAAGGCCGAGATGATCCCGTTTCTGGAGCACGAACATCGAGGAACTGTATCCGACAAGCCTGCGAGAATTGCCCGTGTGCAGGTAGTCCTGCCTGATGATAAGACATCCAAGTTCATTGAACTCTGGGTTGACATCGACCACGCGGCTATCATTAAAAAGGAACATCTTGTCGGAAAGCATCCATACATTGATTCTGACTACATGCAAGCCGTTGAGAAAGCTTGCTTGGCCGATCCACGGATTCAAAAAGAGATTGCTCACCTTCAACTACCTGATGGTGCGTCGGTTATTGTCGAAGCATGGGCGTGCGCCACGGATGGTCTTAATGACGTGTCACAGCGAACCACCATGGTAATCATGACATCCAACTCTTTTCGATGTGAAACTGGGACAGAATGCTAACCGATTATATAGTGCTGGTTCTACATGCGCTTGGTAAATGATCACGATGCTAATTACTACGCCTATCCGCTAGACCTGTGCGCCGAAGTATCGGAGCAATTGAATGTCACAAAGATCTACCAATTGCCCTCCGGTCCCGATGAGCGCATAGGCGACAAGCCCAAGCCATTTGACCGCCGCAAAATTCACGGTGCAGAGACCGAATATAGCCCAGGCTTGAGGCCTTCTCCTCGAACAACGACTAAGCCGTATCAAGTCGTACAGCCTGAAGGTCCCTCGTTCAAGACACAAGGAAACTATTTGGAATGGGAAAAGTGGTCCATGCATATCGGATTCAATTACCGAGAGGGTCTCACGCTCCACAATGTTCGCTACGATAACCGCAGTCTTTTCTACCGTTTGTCACTCGCAGAGATGTTTGTGCCATATGGCGATCCTCGTGCACCATACCCACGCAAGGCGGCATTTGATCTCGGCAATGATGGCGCGGGTATTAATGCCAATAACCTCCGTCTGGGCTGTGATTGCCTGGGCCATATTAAGTACTTTGATGGCTGGCACACCACTACCTCGGGAGACCCAGTGAAGCTGCCTAACGTGATCTGCTGCCATGAGCAAGATGACGGTATTCTTTGGAAACACACAAACTTCAGGACCCAAAATGCAGTCGTAACGCGTTCGCGGATACTGGTCTTGCAAACAATTATCACGGTCAGCAACTATGAATATATCTTTGCATTCCAGTTCGGCCAGGATGGTTCTATTCACTACGAAGTTCGCGCTACTGGAATCCTCTCGACTTGCCCGATTAATATTGGTGATAATGTGCCTTACGGTACTATCGTCGCCCCGGGTGTCCTGGCCCCTTACCATCAACATTTGTTCTCCCTCCGTATGGACCCTGCGATCGATGGCCATAACAACTCCCTACAGGTAGAGGAGTCGCACGCTATGCCTGTTGATGTCAATACATTCGACCACCAAGGCCAATCGCAGGCCCAGGTGGACTCCTACAATAATCCCTTCGGTGTCGGCTATGTCACGCGCTCTTCCATTGTCGATCGGGAGGGAGGTATGGATCTGGATTTCACAACGAACCGCACATTCAAAATCGTCAACGAGAATGTTATTAACCCCGTGACGGGCACCCCGGTTGGCTTTAAGCTACTTCCTGCCTATAGCCAGATGCTATTGGCACACCCGGAATCATACCATGCTAAGCGCTCTGAGTTTGGAAAGCATGCTGTTTGGGTCACCCGTTATAATGATGAAGAGCACTTCCCATCTGGCCGCCATACTATGCAATCGACCGGCGGAGATGGCATCGCTACAGGAATTGCAAAGCGCGCTGGCTCTGAAGATTCCTTGGTAAGGAACAAAGACATCGTTATCTGGCACACTTTTGGATCGACGCACAACCCAAGGATCGAAGACTGGCCTGTGATGCCGTCGGAGAAGGTGGTCGTTGGTCTCAAGCCCGTCAACTTCTTCACCGGGAACCCTGGGCTAGATGTTGCTGTGTCTACACAGGAGCGAAACCGGAGCGTGTTGGTTGATGCAGGCGACAATATCAATTCGAAGTCGGGATGTTGCAAGCTGTAGAATTAAATACTTCATTCAAGGAGTTTACAGTCAAAAATTGGAAAATAGATCGCGTTTATTCAATCCCGATCTCGGATCTTCTTGCTATCCTTGTTTGGTGATAAGGGTTACAGACTAGAAATGATTTGCATGCCAAAAGGGAAACCCAGAGAGAGAGAGAAGAAAGATCAATATGCTGTGACGAGTAATAGAGGTGGTTAATCGTACAGTTTCACACTTCGCCACTCATTCAAGAGATTCGGAGACTACAACATAAAAGTAGGAGTCTAAACTTTTCTGAACGAAATATACGACCCTGATCAAGGCATCGATAACAAGTTATATAGCAGGCTGTGAGATTCTGGGAAATCGGCTACGTGCAGTGCCATTGCCCAGGTGGTGAGTTCTAAAAGGTTCCCTTTAATCCTGTCGGAATTCGAACTTGTATATTTTTCTTTATATAGTCAAGTTTGTTGAACCAATCTAATTATCCTCTATTCAAAGCTTTGATTGAACTCCCCCGGTCGCATTCAATATGGCATCAATCTCAGCTGTGACTTCAATAAGCTCTTCGTCGTCAAACGGGCGGCCAACTATTTGTACGGCGGACGGCTGCTTGAGGAACACCTCCGGGTCGTCTACCGAGAAAAAGATTTAGTGCCATTCATAACAATGATAACAACACAGGCTTTAAACTTACACATAGATTGATACGCTTTGTCGTACGGATTCGACATCACAGGCTCGTACAAGGAGTCGACCTTGTCAATCCCAGCATCAATCCTGAAGTTCGTAACGGGTAAAACTGTCGATGGATAGTCGAGCAGGTTAAACATCGATGTGTACCCCCAGTATGCATTGAAGTCATGCGGTGCGCCAGCTGAAGGGGAAACAGGACAAATCATGGCGTCCATATGACGACCAGAGGTGGTAATTTCGCTTGTTCGCTTCCAAGCGTCTGCAAACTCATCTTTGAACTCTCTGATCTTCAAGTTAAGCTAGACTTTAGTTATTAGTACAGTCTATGTTTCACAAAGGCCAGCGAAATATCATACGTGACAAAGTTGCAGAGCGGTAAGATGGTCTGCCTTGTAGACCTTCATCAGATCTGCGAAAGCCGGAATGAGCGGTTCTCCGCTGGGTTTGAGATTTGCAAGGGTCTCTTCGCACGCCTCCTGGAAGTATATATTAAACTGAAGTATTCCAAGTCAGCAAAACGATTCCGAATATATTGAACATCACGGTCCCTTACCGTGCATTTCGCAAGCTCCCAGCAATCGAATGGGGGCTTGAATTCGATGACTAGATTCATGATTTAGATTTCTTTTTTTTTCAACAGAGTCGGAGTGAGTAAACAGTACCTTCAAATCCGTGTCGGACAAGTACCTGTTTGGTGTGCTCGATAGCTCTGAGAACAGGTGGCTGAGGCATGACCACCCCATCCCATTTCATTATGCCAATGGTCAGCTTGTCTTTAGGCCGTGTCAAGTCCCTCCAGGGAATGGGAACAGCAGACACATCATATCGATTGGATGAATCCCCAATAAGGATTTTTGTAAACATCCGGACGTCTTGAACGGAGTGACAAACAGGACCCGCTGAATCTCGGATAGAGATCTGGCCTGTCTTTGTGCCTCCCCAGCCAGCCTTCGGCACTCGAAGCGAAGTGGGCCGAATGGCATAAAGTCCATTGAAAGCCGCGGGAATACGAATCGAACCACCGATATCCGATGATGGCGCAATTGGACATCCCTTCAGAGCGACTAGAGCACCATCTCCACCAGAGCTCCCTCCGGCAACAAGTTTGGTATTGAATGGATTCAGCGTTCGACCCCACAGATTGCTTGTTGTTTCCAGAGCCATGCCCGTCTGAGGCATGGTGGTTCTGCAAAAGAAGACGGCGCCTGCTGCACGAAGTGTGGCCACGACGGCAGAATCATGATCTTCGACCGGAGCATCATGATTCTTAACGTAGCCCCGAGTAGTTCGTTGGCCTTTCACGCTGTAAGTATCCTAGATAATGTCAGACACTAGGCGGCAGTGAAATTTGATCTCAATCTTACTTTCAGTGCTACAGGAACACCATGTAAATCACCCAGAGGTTTCCCTCCTCCGTCCAGGATGTCATCCAGGTGTTGGGCCTGCTGTAGCCCTTCCTCAAGATGCCATGCTGTGAGACAGTTAACCTTGTCTGCTGTCAGTATTGGTTATATTTGTCGTCAAATTCAACTTGGCTTACTAATTGGTGGGCAATAGCAGCGCGCGCAGCAAACGCCTCCAAAACTTCTACTGCTTTGAGCTGGCGAGACCTGATTCGTCTTCCCAATTCCGTCGCAGTGAGCTCAGTAATTTGAAGTTGGCGCTGTGTCAAGATGCCGCATGTCTTGGGTACTTGAGTGACATCAGTCACTGACGAAAAGACCTTGGTGTCAATCCTCCATTTGCTAGGAAGAGAGTTCAGTAAATCAGCCTGGGCCTTTTTAGACACTGCTTCCCATGACATGCCGAAGAATTTGCCAGCTTTCGAAAAAAATAATATTAATTTAATATGTATACAAGTATGAAGTTCGAAAGAAACTAATATATTGTCCTTCAATATCCTCGCAACCGATTTCTCCGGAATTCCGCTACGATGAGTGTGAAATGTGTTCCTTCAATTTGTCCGTACCCACTTTAAACTTACGAACTCCACACTTGCGTTTGTCCGTGCCCACTATTCCGGGCCCACATGGCAAACGCTTATTCTATCCGCGTAGGAGACATTTGCCAACCAATGAACCGTTCGGTTAATGCAGACTAAGCGTATCCTTGATGATATTATGTTTGAGGTCGACAGAAATGTTTCCACTCAACTGTTATGCGATTGACGTTCATATGTAGTGTACCAGATGATATCCGGAAAGATTAGTACGACTATTGCTGACATCAGTGAGGAAAAAATCTAGCCAAACAAGTCAGAATATCAACTCGGGATATCTTTAAGACCTATGGGTCTTCCAATGACGACCGGGCTGTCAAAATACTGTCCAGGTCAGCCCTGAGATCGCCAAAAAGGCGCTCAAGTGTTTGTTTTTTCCTAAGTAAAAATGCCCCATAAATCGTTCTCCAAGAGGTCACGAGATAACTGGTCGATGTTGAAATGCTCCATGTTGTCCAGATTTGTAGGAAATGAATATATGGACGGTGGAAGGGAATCAAGATAATCCTGTTCTCGATCCGCTTCAGACGCCTCAGGAAGACGATCAACGAAGTGCGTTTTAAGCCTCATATTCGACGTTTCATGGGTTCTAAGACCTTCCAGTGAGTCCAGATCTACATTATGAGTCGTCTCCGACATGCTGGGAAGTAGAAGGTCCCAAAGCCACTCGGACTTGAAATTAATGGTCGTTTCCTGATGTGTCGCCTGTGAACGGTTTTGATCGGCGAGAACTCGTAGTTTTCTAAAGGTAACAAGCTGCATATTGTATTAGCTTTGACGTTACCCTTTGTGGCTCAATTCCTGCTGCTTCTTGATCGAAGCTCCAAAGAAAATCAATCGGACATTACCTTTTGCGAAATGTGCGGCCACAAATGGCCTATGGTATTCAGATGATTCTCGCATATGTCTAAATTGTCACACATCCGCCGGGCCACTTTTTCATCTCTCGTAAATTGGAATAACCATAGAACAGTCGCACATGCGGCAATGGCGTCCCCTAGTATTGGATTGGAAATTGTCATCGAGCCTTCACTGAGTTTGAGAATTCGAAACAGCCAGCTCACGTGGTATAATGCCATGTCGACTTTCTGCTGAAGGAAGACGCAGGATTGGGGTATATCTGTTTGTGACCGCAAGACGACGAGGTGCAAAAAGGGATGATTAAGAATTGCCTGCGCAGCATGCCACAGTATCTCTGTCGTCATCCAAGGATTCCAATACTCCCTCTGTTGATCAATCTCTGCCGCAGATCGATTGGGAAAAGCGACATTCAGGAGCAGGTGGTGCTTGCTATGCTGAGCCTCGAACTCGATAAGTTCTATCCCCAACTTGGTGTGGATTGAGTCCGCCAACCATGGTTTCTCAATCTCGCCTTGCGAAAGGCGATGTAGATATAACCTGATCTTACCCCATATGGAAGTAATGCGCAAAGAGTACCCATTAATCCCAATATCCTTACCCGGTGGCTCGTCAACCATCTCGCGGTCGGACGTATTTGAGGTGCTTGCCGACGTAGGGGGGTATAAAGGAGGCGGTGGTAAAGCTGCAGTCTCGGGATATTTGTAGATATTTGTGGCTGGAAGTTCCGATTCGTAAGGGAGGAAAAGCCGTTCAAGAACAAAGACACTCCAATATGCCCTTGCCTCCGCATCATCCGCAGATTCTGGTATATGCTTTTTATTGAACAACGTGCGCATGGCATATAGTCGCGAAGCGATGCCAATAGCCATCCACGCCTGGGCGGGCTGGGAGGCTGACGGATTTTATCAGCCTTTCTGCAATAATAAAAGACACAGGGAGGTGAGTCACTCATAGTTACATTTGATATGCTTCATTGCGATCAAGCACAAGGATCGAGTAACATCTAGGCTTGGTTTGCCACCTGAGGACAGTCTCATTGTGGTATCCTCAGAGGAACGAGCATAGAAGTCCTCAGCAGCATGCTGTTGTGTCTTGAAATAAGGATGACTCGAAATCTTCAGCATGAGAGAAAGAAAACTCCACAAGACGAACTCTGGGCCCGCGAGGAGTTGATCTGCCAGTCTACCAAGGTGAAAAAGAGGTAAAGGCTGAAGATGTATCCTCGTCCGATACACTTCCACGAAGTGCTCGATAACCTCGACAGGAGGTCGAGGTCTTGGTAGTGAATTTATCAATATAATGGTTATACATGAATTCAAAGATGCTGGAGGGTCCACACTACCTTGCAAGTGTGAAGGCACAATGTTGGCTTGGAGACTGAACAACATTTCGAGCTTCCACATGACCATCCATGGAGCGTTCTGGAGATTCACTCATCGGTTCAACCACAGAAGCTGTAGCATCCGGCGAGAGTTCCATCTGGCGGTTGGCGGAAGATCTGTGAACGAAGCTTGAGCACAATATGCAGAGGAGCTGGAGCAATATCAAACCTACTCTAAGAGCCCATAAAGATGATCTATACGACGTTCCATCGTTCTGAAACGATCCGTGGTCGGTGCTTTCCTGCTCTCATCCCATGAGCCGGCGGGAACCTTGTCGCGTGTAGGAGATTACCTTGCATCCGCAACGGCTTTTTTCCCAATGCCATTGGTGGGCATGGAGCCTCTGGGGAGGTAAACGCATGCTGTATCAAGACGCAGGCAGAACGAACAAATCGGCCGTTCACCCGGGCATTTAGTCTTCTTCCGGCTGATCTTTTCATCAATTTCCTATACAGAGATGGAAGTGCAATTCAGTGGGGAGGTAGACTTACCGGCATTGCTCACAAGATTGCCGCATCAACGGCTCAAATGTAGCGCTTGCTCGAGACATCATGCCCCATGCATCCTATACCATTTTCATGTATTATACTGCTGAGCAGGTGGAACGTTTTTCCTGTGATGAGCGGGGAAGGCCACAAGTTCATTGCCGAGCGGTCCACAAGGGGACACCACGTGACTGGTTGGACCATAAAATACATGAATACCACCAGGGAAACTGTTAATTGATGGTTGTTGTTTGATAAAATTATAGTTTTAAGACTGATAGAGCATAGATGTGATCCCGAATCCCTTGTTAATCTCCGAATCGGATCAAAGGATCATACGTCAACACCTAAAAGAAACATAATCGGTATACCGCCCATCTGCTTCTATAATAGCCTTTACACGATTAGGCATAGTGACAGCTAGGCTTTCGAACGCTTACATATCAATCTGCTGCCATGCCCTAACAGCTGTATCCTCTAATAACTGCCGTGTAGCCTCGTTTTTTGGCATATGACCACGCAGGCGAGGCTCAATTTCGTAGATCTTTTTCTTCAAAATCGACCAGATATTCTCAATAGGATTAAGGTCTGGCGAATAAGGAGGCTATTCCATAACCTCAATATCTAGTTCTTCAAGTAGCTCTCGTATAATAATAGCACAATGAGTTGGAGCATTATCATGCATAAAAATACCATGTTCCCCAGCAACGGGGACCACTAAAGTAGGCAAAATACGAGAATAAAGATCATGAATTGTAAATTGGTTGACTCCATTGCGAGTTCCATTTCCACGATTATCTCCAAAAAGAGGAATCAAACCGGATCGTCGGTGATCCCCAGAGAAACACGCCCAAAACATTTGTTTAGTCTGCTTTCCAGGCGGCACAAGTGTTAAGTTGTGAGTGTTGATTTGCTCTGAGTATCGGAGAAATGTGTAACTAATTCCCTGACTCTTACCTCGCTCAACAGTACACTTATCAGACCAGTAGACACGTCGCCAATCATTAGGTGTAAAGTGCAAATATCGTGGCGGAGGATGCAAGGGGGCCCTACCCAGAAAGTCGTGTGGTATTTGGTGGTGGCAGCGGCATTTGTGCGTAAAACAGTGATAAATGGTAGTGAAACGTGTAAGGACGTGTTTAAATGGTGCTATACGCGAGGTTGTGTGAAATGGTAGCCACGAACTTATCAGCACCCACTGTACATAGTACCTTGGAGAAAAGCCGATTCAGAAGTGTTCTCTCGTGACTTTGACTTCCGGTCTGAATCCCACGGAACTTCCGGCCTTCGGAAATTACTGCGATATGGATCGATATTGTGGAGTAGCAAGTTCCGATCTCCTTGTGTAGGACATATGCGTCACTCATAATGCAGATCATCGATAATATATGGCTTTTACGTTATGAAAATGATTATGAATATCATATCAAGATGTGGGGAATCTGGGGGTTCAAGGCGGAGAGAGTCCATGATAGGGAAGTACAAGATAAACCAGAATACTCTTAATAAATGGTGGTATCTGTGATATGCTGGGTAATAATGGTGGTCTTCAGATCTTTGTTTATACGATGTCTGGCCCAGAGGTTTTCCTGTCAGTTACGGATATCGTTATAGTTTGCTACCTTCGAAACGAGATCGCAACAGAACGCCTTTGTAATCCTGGAGGATTGCGGAGTAGTTCCTTGTGCCCGGTAAAGGTATAAAATATCAATTTGCCACATGATAGGTCTGTTGCTTATGAAAATTTCCCGGGGCTAAAGCATCTTTACCCCAGAGCGAAAAAGCCTGGGAAGACATAAATACCAATCCATTCCCGCCCCAGTCCATTTCTTTATTCTAGTACACACTTCCCTTTTTTTTTATTTTTAATTCAAGAAAAGCGAGATGCGCGAAACAAAAAAAGACCCAGAAGCTTTGAATGAAACTCCATCACTAGCGGGCGAGGTGCAACCTGAAGCCACTTTGACTGAAGATGCTGTCTTCGGAGTAGTCTCAGAGGATGGACCTAACTATCGCAATGTATGTTTGCCTTTTTACGAAGATGGTGGTGTCAGAAAGACTGACCAAACTCAGTTGGGATGGATTGGAACTTCTATTCTTATGATGAAATCACAAATTGGATTGGGTGTATTATCAATTCCGTCCGCATTTAATGCATTAGGCATTGTTCCTGGGCTAATCTGCATGATAACCATTGCTGTAACTATGAGTTGGTCTGGCTATATGGTTGGTGTCTTCAAGCTCAATCATCGTGAGGTATATGGCATAGACGATGCGACAGGGCTAATTTGCGGTCCAATTGGCCGGGAGATACTCGCAGTTGGATTTTCTCTCTGTAAGAGTCATCAGCAACAACGCTTATACTAATATGCTAATCACTGTGGTGGTTTGAATAGTCTTGGTATTCTGCGGCGCTTCCGGTATTCTCGGCCTCTCTATCGCCTTAAATGCAGTATCTAGCCATGGAACATGTACTGCCGTTTTTGTGGCAGTCGCAGCTATTATAGTTGCTGCCCTCGCAAGCATTCGAGCTCTCGACCGTATTGGCATTCTTGCATGGGTTGGATTGATATGTATACTTGCTTCTAGTAAGTTTGGCCCAGGTGAAGGACCTTTGCTGGCGTGGTAATTCTAACATATCCATAGTCTTCATTGTCACTATTGCCGTGGGAGTTCAAGACCGCCCTGACGCTGCACCCCCCGGGCCATGGACTTCTGATTTTAGATTTGTGAATTCTCCGAGCTTCGCGGATGGTATCTCAGCTATCTCACAATTGGTATTTGCATACGCTGGTACACCTTTCTTTTTTCCAATTGTATCTGAGATGCAGGATCCGCGAGACTACGCTAAATCATTAACGGTCTGCCAAGCTGTTGTAACCGTCACTTACATTACGATTGGGATCGTGGTATATTACTTCTGTGGATCTTATGTCTCTTCGCCTGCCCTTGGCTCAGCTGGAAAGTTGATCAAGCAGATTGCTTACGGAATATCTCTTCCCGGGTTATTCGTTACCTCAACTATAAGCACCCATGTGAGATCATGCCCTGGTTTTGGTAAATATATTCCCTAACAATCAGACAGATGGCAAGCAAGTACTTCTTTGTGCGATTCATGCGCGGATCAAGGCACCTAGCCGCAAACACATTTATCCATTGGATTACCTGGTTATCTTGTGTCGTCACCATTATTGTCATCGCATATGTTATTGCGAGCGGAATTCCTGTTTTTGATAGTCTCATTTCTCTTGTTGGGGCTTTTTTAGGAACGTTACAGTGTTTCCAGCCAGCTGGCCTGATGTGGCTGTACGATAACTGGAGCAAGGGCAAAGAAAGACGCTCCATCAGGTGGACTTTGATGTGTTGCTTCAGCGTATCGATGGTAATTGTTGGTACGTTCTTGATGGTTGCCGGCACTTATGGTGCAGTTGTTGGAATTATCGACTCCTTGGAAGGCGGAACTTCAAGTCCCTGGTCTTGCACTGATAATTCTTGACCTCGGTTTGACATATCTCACCTACCTATATGCACCGTCGCTAGCCCGAATGGGGGTCAGAGATGAGATGGATATCAATGGAATACTCTTTATTTGGTGGGCCACATTATGCCTTGTTTGACCAATATCGTCAAGTATTCAGCAATTCAGTATTGTAAATACATACGCGAAGGAAATTCGGAAGTTCCATGACCTCGGGATTACTGTGTTCGGGGCCCCTACGTGTACCTTGTCACAAGAAATATATTCTTCTACTGGAACAATTCCCAAGCTTAGTTCCGGTGCTAATCAAAGTAGAAGTAATATTATAATAGGAGTACTCCTATTTCTATTTTATATATCTACGATGGACTTTCACCTGCTAATGGAGGCGAATCCGGTCAAAGGCAGCAGAGGCTTGTTGAATAAAAATGATCTGGGTGTGGTTGAGTTAAAAGGGGTAAAGGAGAGTATCAGCTCCCTGATTAACGGATTATAAGTGGATTATGCACCAGTTGAGTTGTTTCTCTTATTTGATTCCATCGAGAAGTTATGTTAGAAGCGTCCTTAGCAATATCATCCTGCATTTAACTAGTTCTGGTATATACAACCACAGGGTGTGGAAAAAAGAGCATCCCATCCACTCAGCCATACTTAAACTATAAGACTCATAGAAGAGGAGAAGGACAAATTCTGGACTGATCCAGAGTTCAATAATGAATCTGCACCCTAACTCGCGATCTCCCCTTTACCCGTTTCTGCATTTGTGATAAGGCTATAGGTATAGCTATTCCTCACTTTCCCGAAATAGATTTTAGTTTAGTCTGTATTATCGGCAATACGGTTATTGGCATATTTAAGAGCACTAGACCTCAGTAAACGGCTAAATAGCTTCTGGTTAGTAGAGCCCTAGAGGAAAGCTCTCATAGCCCTTATTTCGCTCCTAGTCAGCTATTATACTAACAGATTCGATACATCCAACGAAGCCTGCCGAAGCAGACCACAGAGTTCCTCAAGACGTGGATTCTGGCTCAGAACGGTGAATCGTGTACTGGTGCTTGAATTAGCCGGTATATCTATATTGGTTTGCCATAAGGAGCACCAACCTATTCTCTTCCATCAAATAGCCAACACGCCACCCGTCTTCCGTCATAGGAAAGGCACCAGTTTCGGAGGTATGATGATTCAGAGAGAGCATGCTGACCAAATTAGTGCGGCTATACTTGAATGTCGGGTCCATAAATAAGTCTGGGATGCGCTGACTTGCACGCGCAACGTCCATCAGAGCTAGGAAGTGCATGTCAATACCCTCGCCATTCCGAACGGAAGTCGTGTTCGCAACATGAGTGGCTATGGCTTTCTTGAGTAATAAGCGACGCTTTTCTAGTTCATGTGAGCGATCTTCCATGGCCCGACAGAACGCAACGACGTCTTCTGTTACCACGCGGCAGAAATCAAGTCGGCCCTGGAAATAGCAGCTGGTACTGACTGCCTCGACACTAGGCACCGGATGGCCATAGAGCCTGTGGAAGGCCAGCTGGACAACTACATTGGCAAAGGCTCCTGGATTGTAATGATTCTGTCGCATAGACTGACTGCCATAATGTTCGATTTCAAAGATGCGAACCCGGAAATCCCGCAATCGTGACAGTGTTTCCTTCGATAATGTTTCCGCATGATAATCAAGTGTCTTGTCCATGGAAATGGGAAGAAATGTTGGTTCCGGGTAAGTGAAATCTGTATTTAGCTCGCACACGGGATGGTTCTGGAGTGTCTCTTGCATGTGTGTTATTAGATACCTGCCTGGCAGGCCATCAATTAAGGAATGCTCCCCGATGACACCTGAAACGCCGTTGTCGCAGATAATAAATTGTATTGATTTTCCATGCCAGCGGTTTGGTTCGGTGGCATTCCAAATCTGAGACACGCGTTCTTCTGGGGTCTGCGGACTGGCACTGTCCAAACACACTACAAAGTCGGAGCTTTCGATATCCCGTATAGAGGCTGCGTTGCCATCGTCCAGGTGCTGAAGAATTTCTCGGTTCTTAAAATATAATTAGTTTTTTTTTTTTTAACCTCAAACGGGTTTGCAGGGAGGACTAGTTACCTTGCTCCAGGTGTCCCGATAGTCGTTGGTTAAAATTCCAACAGGGGATCTTGACATGGAGTCAGCAAGTTGAATAACCCGTTGGAAGGCCAGAGTCAGTCCATCAACACTAGCAGGTCTTCCACCAAGCAGAAGCGGGATCTTAAAGGCGTTTCCATTTCTCATTGCAACCAGATGGCATCGGGAGTCGTACTTCTCTCGAGAATCCTGCCCCACGCTTAAATATCCACTTGTAGCCCTCCATGCAGACTGCTCGGTCATAGAAAATGTCACATGGTAGCTCGCCTTTCTCATACTGTTGCTTGAAGTGGAATGCTGACGAGGAGATGATGGCGGCAACCACCGCAGGCGAGGAGATGTGCGATGATCCCAGGGATTTCGCGTCGTGAATACCGAAAAAACTGCTATAGGGTATCAATGGGCGGCGATCACGCAGGTAACGCGCTTCAGCGTAGATACCATCTAGCCAGTTTCGAATAGCTGGATCATCCCGTTTGTTCTGCAACTGCTGCTGGAGCTCAACTCCAATGCCGTTGGGACGCAAGAGTTCCTTGGCCGCTTGCGAGGTAGCGAGCCACTTGTCGACAGAGACAAGGGGACGCACCGTGCGAATATACCGTTCGATTGTCTTCTCGAGAGATGGCAAGGGCAGTGTGGGCATCTCCATAGACGGGCACGAAGATGGGGACATCAAGCCACTGCTCTTGCAAGACTTCTCCTCGGGAGGGGGTCTTTGTACAGGTTGTTTCTCCTTCTCGACCGAATTGGCCATCAGCTGAGCGAGTTCTCGCAGCGGGATCTGTCCCAGGTCTTTGCCTGTGCCCAGCGGAGACCCCATGCCCTTTTCAATCCAATTGCGAAACTCCACCAGGACGAGAGAGTCGCCGCCGTGGTGGGACATGGACCGAAGCGGATCGACGTCCTCAATGGGAACACCCAAGGCATTCGAGAGGTAATGCGAGATTGCACCCTCGACCTGTGGGAAACACTCTTTTTGGGATTTTGCCGTGTCCAATGCGGTGCGAAGTAATCCGTCCGGACTCGTGGACGCACTGGCACGCTCCTTGGACGGGCCGGACTCGGCAGAGATGAGATGAGAGAAAAGTGGTCGGTTGACGCTTGCATCCAGGTTGCACCCTGGCTTCCAGCCGATGGCTATCTGACTGGAGGTCGGATTGCCTGGAGGATAGCGCACTGCGTATTCAAGGAGCTGAAGTAGTGCAGAAAGAGGAACGGCTTCCGTCCCGGACTTTTGGAGATGGCGCGTGGATGCTGGGTTCTCATGCACATACCCAGCTCCTGTGATGATACCCAAATCGATGGTTCTGGTTGGGAATCCCTGGCTTGTCCTCCAACGCGCAAACGCATCCTGGTAGGTGGATGCTGCTGCATAGTTGGCTTGGCCAGGGTTTCCGGTTAGGCCCGAGTACGACGACAAAATTATCAAGAAGTCCAGTGATTCTTGTTGCAGAGCGTGGTGGAGGCGAGCAAGTCCAACCATCTTACTGTCCAACACATGCAGATAGTCCTTGCATGACATGTCCTGGAACACCGTATCCTGCGCCTTGGTTAGACTGTTATCATAAGGTATATGCGGACGAGACGTACTCTTAAGGATACTGCGGCAAACATCACTCCACGTATGGGAGGTAGCTCACTGCGACAGACAGAAAGCGCTGATCTCAGTTGGTCAGCATCACCAACGTCACAGGCTATGGCGTGAAGCTGCGTTCCAGTCTTTGCAAGATCGTCTTGGAGGGCCCGAACGGTAGGCTTCGTTGCGCCCGACGGGGACAGAACGACCAAATGTTTGGCGCCATTTTTGGCCATCCACAGGCAGATTTCCCGACCAAGTCCACCTTGGCCTCCGATTAGCAGATAAGATGCATCCCTCTCGAATCCTGTGTGCCGTAAAGTGCGTGGGGCGACCTGAATATGAGGTAAGTATCCAGGGTACATCGGAGATAGAGAGGAGGCTATACCTTGACGGTGGAATCATCATCGTAAATGAGAACTGACTTCCCCATATGTCTGCCGGTCTGGAGGCGACGGAACGCATCTTCCACCTGGGAAACGGGATATTGCTGGACAGGTGACGGAGGGGTGAAAATGCCCTGTTCAACCAGTTTGTGCACACTAGCCTGCAGTTCCACCATGTCCTGGGGCCGGGAAATGCTGAGGGCGAACAAATCGACCGAAGTGAAGGTAACGGGTTTCGTGAATACCGACATATCCATCCGCGCATGGGAAGAAGCATCGGACTTGCCCAGTTCCACGAAGCGACCGAACACGGCGAGAACTTCCATAGACCCCTGAAGCAGATGTCCAGTCAAGGAATTCAAGACCACATCGACTCCGGCGCTTTTCGTGGCTTTTTGTATCGCAGGAACAAATCCCGCATCCCGGCTCGAGAATATATGATATTCCGGGATCCGGTAACGTTCAATCAACATGAGTTTCTTTTCTTGCGACCCTACTGTTGTATAGATCACTGCTCCGATATGTTGGGCCAGAACGATGGCGGCCTGTCCAACGCCACCGGCACCTGCGTGGATTAGAATGGACTCGCCCTGTTTCAGACCTGCACAAGTCACGAGCGAGTAATAAACAGTAGCATAGACAAGAGGAATAGCTGCAGCATCTGCGAAGGAAAGCGAGTGTGGAATCGGGTAGGTGAGAGACCCCTTGGCTCGGACTCTTGTCGCATGAGCTACGATACAAGAGGTGTATACACGATCACCGGGCCGGAAGTGGTGTTTCCAGTTATTTCCAACCTTCAAGATGACTCCACTGCACTCTCCCATCAGAGCAGAGTCCAGAACACCTAGCATGATGAGAGGGTCCCGGAAGTTGATACCCGTGGCTCTGACCCCCAACTCGACCTCATCATCTGGCAAAGGATGATCCAAGGAGATATCCTCCACGAAGTGCATATCTTGGAGAGTTCTCGAGTAACCGACAGCCAAGCGAAGCGGGCGTTTTGTGTCTCGCAAAGACTTGGTTTGCAGCGTCTGGAGCGATGATGCATAGTTGTCGTTTGACAGAACATTGGACACTAAATCGTCAGTAACCAGGCGAGGTAGAAACCACTGACCACCGCGCTCAATCCACTCCTGGTCATCAGCCGAGAGGTGCAATCGTTCGACGAAACGAAGTAGACACATAGCCACGGCGCCAACGGACCGGTTGCCATCCGCATCCAGGTCAACGGCAATGGCACGAGTGGAGGCGTTCTCCCTACGGCAGACGCGCAAAAGTCCAACGGACAGGCTTGAATCTGGGACAGGGCAGGCATCGGTAGCTCCTCGAGTGACCCATATGATTGTTTTCGCATTTTGGAGTGTATCTTTGATGCTCATGAAGTTGGACTCGGTGCAACTGACTAGCACTGTCTCTTCTAAGCCTGCTAAACAGATGCACGTTTTCCCGCTGGCTCTGGCATTACCTAGACATATGATGGAATCCTCCTGAATGGAAAGTGCCTCTGCAATCGTCACAGCTAATTGTCGGGCGAACCCGCCGTCTCTGCCGTGGAATTGCCGTTCTGAGAGCACCAGTAGAATCGAGCTGTTGCTGAGAGGAGCCATTTCTGGGACGGCGTGTGAGATGAGAAGACTATCAATCTGCTCGTCTAGCTGCTTGTATGCATGCGTGCAGACTTCAGCACCCGAAAACCCGGTTTCCTTCATATGGCGGTCCCACTCTTCCACGGTCAAGAGGGGTCCATCTCCTGTGCGCTCCGAAGATCCAAGCCACCAGCCAGGGAGCGTTCCAAAGATGAAAGATCGATAAGCGGTCGGTTTGGTACTCTCAGCTAGAAGGAGACTACCCCCGGGCTTCAAGAGACTGCGAACATGGCCCATCGTACGCTTGATATTAGCCGTAGCGTGAAGTACGTTTGCCGCAATGATCAAGTCATAGGATTTGAGGTCGAAATGTTGGGTTTCTGGAGTTTGCTCAATATTGAGAGCCTGGAAGCTCATGTTATCCTTCCACTTTGAAAACTTTTCCATTGCTTTGGGGAAGAAGCCGCTGGATATGTCCGTGAACATGTAATGGTGGAAGAGGTTCTTCTTGCCTCCTGTCAAAGCATTAAGGATTGGCAATGTCGCGGAACCTGTCCCAGCACCAATTTCCAGGATACGAAGATTCGGGTTCTTAAGTCCTAGAAGACGGGCATACTCGGCCGCCTGCGATGAACATCGTTGCATGCCTGGGTCTTCCCTATAGAGTCCCTGCAGGAGGCCATCGCTCATCAACAATGCTAGGGCATCCTTTTCACCTCCCATTATCTGTGGTAGATTCCTACCGATTTGGCATATTCCTTTTCCAATACTGCCTTTCCTTTCAATTGACGCGAGGAACGCAGCCTCATTGTCTGAGCCCAGATGGGGGTTGTTAATCTGTTGAGACGCGACTCCCTTTAACCACTCCAGATACTTGACATGGAATGGTTGAAGCCGCTGAAGGTCCTTCTGCTGTAGCTGATCAAGACAGCTCTTTGCAAATATATGACAGGCCCGAGTATAAGCATTGAGCTCAGTGCCCATGGAATCCTCGTCTGTCGTAGCGTAGCAAATAAGCTCAGTGTCCTTGACACTTAGTAGAATTGGATCCAGGTACTTGACGACTTTCTGCGCTTGGGTGGCAGACTGAGACGACGCCGTTGATCGGGAGACGCCCTCCATTTCGGACATGACGACGGATGACATTGACAAGACTAGGGCATTCTGACCACTTGACTCCATGCTGAGGCTGCCACCGTAGGCGTCTTTCCTTTGACGTGTTACTCGACACGTCACGTTGTATTTGTCTTGCACTTCTGTGCCAGCCTTCGGAGAATGTGGTATGAGAGTAACTTCTTTGATGGCGGATAATATGAGGGGTTTCTTCTTGCCAGGTTCAGCTAGTATAGCCGGTAGCAGACTTTGCATACAAGCATCCAGAGTAGCTGGGTGGAACGATATACCCCACGGCTGGTTGTATGGACTTTGCGGCACCTTTGATGTGGTGATGGTGGTTTGAGACGACCCAACGCCAGCAAGAATGGAGGAAATCCCTGAGAAACACCCGGAGTATTCCAGTCCACAACTCCTCTGCACTTCCTCGTAGAACTTGCTAGGCAAAATATCAGCCATTGCACTACTCTCACAATCGAGTTCTGCTGGAGCGCAAGGAGCATGCTTGGACGATATAGCAACAAAACCTCGAGAGTGCTCGACGACCTTCATCGTGTCGAGGAAAGAATAAGCGATAAACTCGTGACGGTGGGACAGGTCTCGTCCGTTGTAGTTCCCCGAGGGTCGGAGCACGAACATGACCTCTACCGACTCATCGGGATCAGAGAGAATCAACGGTTGCGCGAAGGAGACTTCACTTAGCGTGATGCATGCAATCTTGCTTGCCGCTGAGGTGGACTGCATGAAATATCGTGCGCCGGCTTCAAACGCCATGGATAGCCACCCTGCTGCAGGGAAAATAACCCTGCTCTGAACTTTGTGTCCCTCGAGCCAGGGCATCTCTGGCAGCCGAATATACTTTCTCCATCGTGGCTCGAAGATACTAGAATCCGGGGCCGGAACCCCGAGCATGTCGTGTGGAGCCTGGTGGCGTGTTCGATAGTTGCGACTCAGTCGACCTTCATGCCAGTATGATGTTGAGTGATGCCAGGGGTACGGTGGCAGATCCGCGAGAATCTGTGGTCTATCTCGAGCACTATCAAAATTCACAGCGTCAAGGTCGACATCGCACCCACGCACGAACAGTTCCCCTGCAGCAGATAGTGCTGTTTTCCTGGCTGACTGGCTTCTGACCAGCATTGAGGAGTAATGGAAGGACGTGATTTCGTGCCGGCCCTCCAAGCACTGCCTGAGCGGTCCCTTCAACCCGGCGTGTGGACCAACTTCGATCAGAACTGGTGCGGCCGAGTTCTCTGGGGAGAATCGCTGGCACCACCCGTTGACTGCCTGAGAAAATAGGACCGGAGAGACCAAGTTTGTTACCCAGTAGTCACGATCGAGAATGCGAGTGTCGACCAATCGTCCTTCAACACTGGAGAAGAAGGAAACCGAGGGATTTGAGCTTGGCTTGCTCATTCTCGTCAGGGCATTGCGATAGCTTTCGGCAATTTGAGCCATGTGATGAGAATGATACGCGACATCAACCGGCAGCCTTCGAACAAAGACATGATCCCTTTGCAGCAGCTCCTGGAGCTCTACAATGGCAGCTTTGTCGCCCGACAGAGTAACAGACTTGGGACTGTTAATGCAGGCAACCTTGACTGTACCCATCTGTTCATCAATCTGGCCGAGATACCCCCGGGCATCCTGCTCCGAAAGCCCTACGGCTAACATACCGCCAGAAGTCTCTCTCTTACTCGCCATATCGGCAGCCCAATACCCTCGCGCGTGCGCAGCGAGTAAGGCGTCGTTAAACGAAATCGCGTCGCAGGCATAAGCCGCCGCAATCTCACCACTGGAGTGTCCCGCTACCGAGTCTGGTTTTACCTTCCAGGAAGATAGCAGATTGACCAGCGCTAGTTGGATTGCGGTACATGCCGGCTGTGCAACCTGTGCCTTATCCAACAAAGAGGCTCCAGGGGAAGACTTGAGAAGCTCATCGGTTAGCCTCCACTCTGCTCCGAGGCAAAGGAGTTGACGCTCGGCTGCGAGGATGGATTCCCGAAATATGGAGCTCGATTGGAAAAGCTCCTTTCCCATACCATACCACTGCGACCCCTGCCCAGTGAAAATAAAGCATAGCTCTGGTGTCGTGGTTGAATGATGGAAGGGGGATTTGCTCTGCAGAGAGCTTTGCAGCTCGTCTACGCTGTCGGCCACCAGGGCGTGTCTCCATTGAAACTGGGATCGACCGTTGCAGAGAGTATGCGCTAGTGAGCGTATGAGCCCCGGGGATGGATACTGCTTTCTGCTCAGGTATTCTTGAAGCCGATCGGCAATGAGACTGCTGGAGGCTTTTGACCGGGCTGCAAAGATGAAAAGATAACTGGGGGGCGGTTCGTCTCCGTCTGGACACAGTCGACGTACGTCTTGGTTTCCTGTCGCTACCAGCTCAGTGCCACTCTGGGTCGGCGGTTTATCCAAGATGGCATGTACATTAGTCCCTCCATAGCCGAAGCTGCTGACAGAGACCTGGCGGGATGCCGTATGCGTTAGAGGTTGTGCTGTGGTTGCCACCTTCAGATTCCACTGATTGAAGTTGATACTAGGATTAGGGCTTTCGAAATTCGTGTTCGGCGGTATACATTCTTTTTCGATGATCAAGGTCGCCTTAATCAGCGCAGCCAGACCACTGGCATTCTCAAGGTGGCCGATATTCGTCTTGATAGAACCTATAAGGAGCGGATCATATCGAGGTCGTTTGGACCCGAGAATTGCTCCAAGAGCAGCGCTTTCAGCGTAATCACCGGCGGCTGTGCCAGAGCCATGAGCCTCGACGTAGACTGTATCTCGGGGGTCGCATCCAGCCGCAGAATATGCTTTTTCAATCAAGGCCTTTTGTGCATTGAGATTGGGCATCGTGATACCTTGGGTTCGTCCGTCTTGGTTGGTGACACAGCTTCGAATAATAGATCTGATGTTGTCTCCATCGCTCATTGCCTTCGAAAGGGGCTTGAGAATGACACATGCAGTCCCTTCGCCTCTGCCGTAACCACAGCCCCGGGAATCAAATGAGTAGCTATGACCGTCCTTGGATAGGAACTGCATAAAGCTGGATCCGATCATGGCCATAGGATCCAGAATCAGATTGGAAGCTGCCAGAATGGACTGTTGGCTTTCACCAGTCCAGAGGCCAGTACAAGCATTGTGAAGCGCCACTAAACTTCCACTACATCCGGAGTCCAGGGTAAATGATGGGCCTTTCAGGTCAAAGAAGTAAGAGAGGCGGTTCGAGAACATTGCCTCACCGTTACCGGTGACTGCATAAAAGGGGAGATGTTCTGGGTCACGAAACATCATTTTCTCGTAATCTCTGTTGTATAGGGCTGTGTACACTCCGGTATTACTCCCTCTAACTCGGTCGAGAGTATAGCCGCCTGAGGGTTCGGGGTTAGTCGAAGCGAATCGCTAATTATTAACAGTACATACCATTTTCTAAAGCTTCATAGGAGACCTCTAATAACATTCTTAACTGGGGATCCATTGCCTATAAGTCAAGTATTAAATCAGCATCGCCATGTCTTCCAAGTCTCAGCAGCAGCTACCTTGGCTTCAGCGGGGGCTATATTGAAGAATGTGGCGTCGAAGCGGGATACGTCTTCATGCAGAAAATGGCCCCCTCTGGCATTAAACTATACGCAAGATTAGAGTCATTTGTCTGTGTCATTGAGCATGGCAGGTATGATCAATTGGGGCGCCAACCGTTCCGTTATTCTTGCTATCGGGGTGATAGAAAGTGTCCTGGTTGAACCTTTCTGCAGGGACTTCTGTATGGGCATTTCGAGCTTCTATCATGAACTCCCAAAGTGTATCTGTGTCGGTCACTTGCCCAGGAAAGCGGCATGCCATGCCAACAATTGCAATCGATTCGTGCATGTTAAGTAGTGCCGGCTTCGAGCTCTTCGTCGCGCGGTAGATCTTATGAATAGTAATCAAAGGGATCAGGAAGAGAAAACTCTCGAGTCACGTAAACAATTAACAATTTCTGAAGCTTGCTGTAGTGCGAGTGCTGACATTTGTATCCATTCACCCTCCAGAAAGTGGGCCATAGCCTCGAGCAGATCAATCTCAACTTTCAGAACTGGAGGATTCTGCTCCTCTTCAGTGGCATTCGCTTCGTCCAATTATACTGGTGTACTTCTTTCCGTGCGTTGTTTACCGGGCACTCTCTCCGCCCTCTAAGGTCCCTAATAGACCTTCCCTATAGACCCGATCGCCGGTGTGCGGTAGATCTTCGCTCCACAGAGAGTAGATCACGGACACAAGAGTTACAAGAAAACAACTGTTTAAGATTACTCTTTACACGCTATGATCTGTCGAGGGAGAATAGTAGCTCGATAGTCTGCAGAGAATAGATGATCGACAGCGGGTGCTAGAGGACAACCGCCAAGTATAACAAGTTCATACTATGCTATCCGAGTGCAAAGGGCTAGCTAGAACACCTACGGAGTACGGAGTTGACTGATACTCAGGAAACTATTTGTGGAGCACTGCCGCTGCTGAATCTTATCAACAAACCAACACCACTTTTATACTCGAACCATTTACCAAGTGGATCAGGAATATACTTTGTGATTAGAACATTGCAGTGGAGCTCGTACGGAGTACGCCTGCGGAAACCGCTAGATCCGTCACGAAGGATATCCTGAACCTTATTTCGGACTCACTGCCGTTGCTGAATCAGGAATGGCTACCAACGATCTCCAGGCCTTGTCGATCATATCGGGTCTGAGACAAATCATGGAAATACTGTTAGTTAATTGACATGACGACGCTGGTCTCGTGGTGGAACTACAGTACATGCCACGAGCCCTTATGTACCTTTGCCAGAGCTATTGTGACACTTGGTGAGTTTCGCCAATTCAGGAACTTCTAACATCCTATCGAAATTTAGTTTGGGTTATGTGCAACGAGCATTCCAGCGCCGGCAAAATCTCGAGCGAGTAGTCCCGATGGTCCTCAAGTGCTATTTCGCTTTCAAACCCGAGCAGTCTTTACCAGGTCGCTGGGATCCCCAGGGTTCGTTCACACCGCAAGTTTCCCGGAGATTTACGAGATTCGGATGACAAGTCGGCCCCAAGTGGTGCACGCGTGTAGTGTTATGTGCATAGCTTCCGGTAAGACGCGGCCCTTGTTTGATAAGAAACTCAACCTCTGTTGCATAGTTGAAGGATCTGGAGGTGGCCATAGCTTTGACTACGGATAAGCAGAAGATGAATGCTAGACCGAAGCTTGAGAAGGCTCTCATGTTGCCATGCACAATTACCACACCATGTGAACAACGGAAGAAGAAATGACGTCGACAAAGTGCAACGTTGTCCAGTTTTGGTGGATTCTATATTATGATTGGAATGTACAAGTCATCAATTGTCCGATGCGGTTACCGAGGTGGTTGCGATTAGCCCTAAGCCCCGCAACCAAACCATCAATTAGATAAATAGGAACAATATTTGAATGTAGCTCTCAGTTCTATCTAGTTGAGTGTTAGTCTTAATTGTTGTACATCCTTAATAGAACCCTCGCTAGACCGGGACATGTTGAATGGTTCAATATATATATAAATCCAGGGTCTATCCCCTACCATTCCCGCAAGAATGGTAGACAGGAAAATCCCAAAGAACGTCGACTCGTATATGGCAGAGCCCGCAGCATACTATCTTGGTTATAGCAGCGCAGACCACAAGAAGCCATTCGCGAAATATCTCGATTTCCACGTCGCTTTGATCAGCGATGAGGTGCAGAAGGGGATAGTCGGCAGTCCGTAGGCAAGCGGCCTTGGGAAGAACAAGCACCTTACAACACAAACTACCTTGCTCTATTAACGGCTGCATGGTCTACCAGGCAAGTGAAGCACACGGCTTGCTCCGCCGATCCGGCTATTTGCCGGTTGTGAACGGGTATTTGCAGACGCCGCAGGGAGCCTGGATGGTGGCATGCCGTACGGATATGTGACAAGGTCAGTTGGGCAGCCATCAAGCCTCTATGCTGCAAGAGAACTGAGTGATGGATGTCTACTCCAGTGACAGGAGAGCGTGGAATCATAAATTATATGTAAATTAAGTTTTGAATAACTACTAAATGATCCTTTATAGATTATCTAGGTATCTTTATATAATTTTAGTAAGTAATAATATATTTCTACAGCTTTACTCTGTATATTCTAGATAATAAAATTCTTTATTAACAGACTACTAAGAACAAACACATACTTACCTCCTACTATCTGGTAGATATTAGATAATATCCTGACCAGATTATTATTATCCCCTGCTAAAGACTACCCGTTATGTTAAGCAACCCCGGCCACCTGAAGCGTAGTGAGCGGGCTGGCTACTTATTTTAGTGTTGATTATTTCGCGTCACTTGGCAGTCGTTGCGAGCTACCGGTGCCAAAGTAAATACGTAACCCTAGCTGAATCTCTATCGAAAGTAATGAATTAGTCAAAACGACGTGCACAACTGCCCGATCGTTTCATACCAGGGCAGTGTCCGCATTGCCCACGTCTCTGCGTATAGAGAGTCCATCAAAGCCTTGAGGTCCGGGGCTTCCGGGACTTGTCTTCTTTTGTCGAAAAATTGCGAAGTGCGACTCAATTCCACTACTTCCGATATCTGAGGCCAAGGCGGCCACCCGGCCACTGTTGGCATATATAATGCAATATACACCTCGATATCTATCTAAAGAGGAATAATAAAGATGAATAAGTACAAATTAGTACTTCTAGCCGAGCATTACAGGCTAGGTTATTATGCATCTTTACAGTATCAAGGAGACTCCTCCCGCTGTATCGCCGGGTTGGAAGTAAACAACGCCCCCAACTTGTGGTGCATTTCGTCTAGGCAGAAATTGAATGCCGTCCCGGGTCTCGCGATTCAATTCCGAATGATATTGCCATTTGTAATCACAGGCGATGGAACGAGTCATACACATCAAGCTGCCAAGGACATCCACTGCCCTGGTCTGTGCGTGAGAACGTCAAACACGAACAAGCCAGTCATGAAGCGCCATTCCCCTCGCAAACTGTTTCCCTGCTCCACAATTCGGCTGCCGATCTGCGCTGCAGGATGGCTGAATGAACTGGGGCTGAGCCGCCAGCCCGCCTCAATCCGACTCGCCTCCTGTATCTTCAGTAGCTCGATCCGTCGAACAAGGATCCAGATCCCGGGGTCTGAATCAGCAGCTGCCATTTCCATGTAGACAGCCAAGAACTTTAGATAGCTCTGGCTGCTGACCGGTGGAGTCGTCAGCTGAATGGCGGAGCGTTCTAACTCATCCAGTCTCCACTATCATAGCTGCCATCACAAATACACCGCTGAAGAACTGAAGGCTACTTCGGAGAGCACGCCCTATGGCTGCTTGTCAGCCTCCTCGGCCCTGAAGCCGCCGGAACGGCCCCCATGTTACAGGTGTATATTCCTTAGTTTCAACGGCTAGATTAACGATGTGCACCAGTCTCTGCTTCATTCGTACTAGTCGATAAAGCGCTGTATAGTGACAAGACAATTGCCCTCATTCCGGTGGCATGCCGGGTCGGCTATACTGCGGACTCCCGGACATAGAAAACCTATATAAAGGCGTAAATCGCCAGCGGAAGAAAGAAACAACCCCTCCATCTTCTCCCTCTTCAATCCATTGCAACGGAAAACCCATTTCCAAGTCCACCTTCAACATGCGAGCCTCCATTACTCTGCTTACCGCATTCCTCGCCGCAGCCGTGGCCCAGGACTACCCCTTCACCGAATACATCTGCGAAACCACCGACGGCAGCCCCTACCTGCACCACGTGAACCAGCTCATCGACGGGCTGGCCGGCGCCGCCGAAGGCGAGAGACTCTGCAACACCGGCAGCGGCTGTGGCGAAACCATCACGGCCTACTCTGGTGGCGGTGGTGCGGGCCTTATGCTCTGTGGTGATTCCTACCGAGTATGATGCCTGCCTATCTATCGTGTGAACAAACGGTTTATACTGACATGCTTGTCTAGTGCGGTCTCAGCGATAACCTCCCTTGTGCAGGAAACGCCTGCGGTGGTATCTACGCCCGCGTCGCAAGCGAGGCTGTTGCCGGCCTCCGGGACCAGTGCCAGGGGCCTGACTCGAATGGGGACACTCGCGTGGGTGGTAAGCAGGTGACGCACTATAGTGCGGATTATGAGTCCGAGATTAGAGTCTTTAGCCGCCCTGGCTAGATTTGCAGTTGTCTAAGCCTTGGATGCTTGGATCTATCCAGGATATCCTTGGAAAACGCGAAGAGGGTGGATTAGTGGATGGAAACTTGTATATATTGGACAATCTGACAAGGACCGGCTTATCCGGGAACAATACAGAGGTGTAACTGTGAATGATTATCATCTCTTTCTTGACGATATGATTGGAAAACCGGCGCAGGCAGACAGAGAGTATCGCCCTGGTTAGGCCACAACCAGCAATAACGACTCGTGTCCGGATTCTGAGAAACTATCAGGGTGACCTGTGGTTATAGGTGGTTATAGTCTTTATTTTGCACAGGATATACCGTTCTCGATGGAATTCAGCGGACACGGAGCATCATTAATTCGCAGAGCCAACGAAATAGGACTCGATCGACTCGATCTCACAGTATGAGAGCCAATTGTGGCCTGCGCCCAGTATTCCGCTCATGAAATACTTGCATTTGTTTATATTGAAGAACTACCAATCTGTTTCGGCCTAATCAACGAAGTGCTCCTGCGACTAGCTGTGAGGAATCAGAGCGTCAATGGAGCACAGGCATCTTGCCGATATCCTCAAAGAGACAGGTAATTCTCTGCATTCAAACATCGGCATTAAGCTCTTGCCGCGTTTTCTCCTGTTGATGATAAGATTTTGCGGTGGTCCCATACTTCTGAATATGCACCGGAGGGGACTCGGGGGAGCAGGTACACAGTCCTCAGAACGTGAAGAAGGCTTTAAAGGTGTTAAGCTTCTAGTTCATGTTCAGTACTTGGGGTCAAAGAACTTGAAGTATCTGAATATGTTCAAATTGTGACTACATCCCTATTATTATCATCTTAAAAGGCGTAGAATGTGTTGTTCTAGATCAGCAAGTGAAGAAAATCCAGAATTACACAATTACATTTCTCACCTGTCCTCGATGCGAATGCAACATCCAAATATTGTGTCCGATAATGGTATGGAGCAGTTTTCCTGTTATGATGTGCCAAAATTCAACCAAGTCCAACCCCAAAGCCAATACATATGGATATGACACCGAAATGCAGTATGCAGATTGATGACTATAAACCCCATTGTGCAGCTGATGCCTAGAGTTGAACGCAGAACGTGTACAGACGAGCATTCAGCAGGAATGTGAAATACCTCAAAGTAATAATTTAGATAGTAGTTCTGTCACCAAAAAAAAGTATTACTCACCTTGAACAGTCTGAGTGTGTTTCCATCTCTCCCACCCATACCGTCCAGGGCTAACGTCGTACCATGTTGATTTAAGATGTCCATAGTCTGAAAAACTCTGATTTCGGTTGATGATTGCGAAGCATTTACAGAGCACACAAGATGTAGTCACACGCTCATCCTTATCTTGAAGAAATCCACATAATCTTGGATCTTCTGTGGTTCGCAAGATACTAGGTCCTGGTCTCCACTAGCATTCAGGACTTCAATCGGATATGAACTTAGTGTCCCATTTGATAGGATCATAAATAGGCGACCAGAATGCCAATCTGGGTAACGCCAACGGTGTTGATAATCAGCTGCGGTTTGATGTTTTCGTTGATATACTATTGACTGACCAAGTAAATTCCATTGTCCATGCCAATTACTAATTAGTAGCCCCTATCACCATCTATAAAGCAATTAATTAATAAATCCGATGCAGACTTTCCAGAAGTCCAGAAAAGTACTTATTAGTAAAAGACAGTTCACACGATTGGCTTCTGTGAAGTAATTTTTGCGCATAGTCTTCCAGTCAAAATCATGATTACGCTCAGTGTGTTTCTCAGGTTTCTTTTCAGTCATCATGATAATCTTTGGCACTGAAATCCATAAGAGTGAAATCAGAGGCCCAAGGAACAAGGTAACCAGAGAAAGTTTGTTGGAATTACGCCTTAGTTGCGACTTGTTAGTGCTCATCGGGTCAAGTGCTGCACCGCTCAATAGGCACCCAATCCACCAGATCCCAGCCCTAGGAAGCTACTTGAAAACTTGAAATTGCCCAAATCTGGAACGGTGTACATGAAAATGTGTTGTTCTCTTGTGAATTTAACATATGTAGTATTCATCACACTAAAATGACTCAAGACGAGCTAGAAGGATTGTTTCCAAGCAGAACACATTTGCTGGCGTCTCCATTTTTCCTCCGCCATTGTCAACTGTGCGTCAGAAGGATCGAAACGTGTTTTGAGCAGCGTGTCACAGATCCCAGGGCTCCCAAATCCATCCGCAAAAGAAACATTTGCTCGCGCATGGTGCTTCCCATGAGCGCGATTGTCAAATATCTCACCCAAGGCCCAAAAAATGGCAGAATAAAGGGACGGAGCTGCTGCTGATCTCTCGGCTTTATGATCCGATAGGTAAATATCGCAGCACTGCACCAAAATCATAACCTGAATGCTCGTACACGCCACCCATAGCACCGAGACCAGCAACTAGGTAGTGGAAGCGGACAAATCTCCCTATATACAAGGCACTTATAAATACTGATTAACCAGAAATTTAAAATTTACTATAAGTAGGTTAGAACTTATATTATATTCCTAGAAGCTGTAAGAAACTACTAAGCTAATATATAATATCTCTATTCCTAATTATCTAGACTACTATTGTAAGGCACCAAATAATGCCAAGGATCTAGCAACTACCAGACTCCTAAGAGCAATTAATCAAATAATAAGGATAATTATTAATTACTTCTAATCTAGATAGTAGAAATGTATATTTCCTATAATTTCTCTAGTATCTTCTATATAGCTAATTATCTTTTCTTCGTTTTTGATGTATTCTAAGTTCAATATGTCTTTTAGGTTCTCTGTTCTGATTGTTCTCCCGGGGTCAGGATAAGAGGTCAAGGGGTGCATATTTTAGGGGAATGTGTACTCAATAATGCTGTTCGGATTGAAGAACTGGCAGAGAGAGAAATAGTTTAAACATTTGGCAGTTCTGAAGTTGGCCATGATGATAAAAGGAAGAGCGTGTGTTAACCATAACAGCAGCAACCGGAGCGGGCCGGTGATTTCTGCATGGGATTTGAGGGGGCCATTGACAGTAGTAATGGGCATCTCCGAAGGCGGATGTCCTTGTGGGGATTCAAGGCTGGGGCGAGGCTAGGGCTTCTCTGGGAGGGAAGGTCGAACCGCAACCCCAGTTCAGCTCACCCGTGGAGATCATGCATGAGAATCTAGGGAAAAAAACTAATGGCCAGTTGGAGTAGTTCGAGAATAACCTGTATTCTGTCCCTGTACGGGCCACAATACCCAGCATGGGGATGCCGCTTTTCCTCGCCTGGAGCAGCAGACCATGACTTTCTGGCCAAGGAGTTGGAGTTCTGCCAGACTGCCAAGATATGTCATTCTATTGATTTGTGAGTTTACAAGGTGACTTTCACCCAGCAAGGGACTTCCTTTGGTTAGTTAGTGTGCAGCACGCCATACCCCCAAGGTGACGGGGCGTATAAATTTATTATTATTATTTTAAATCCGGCTCTGTCAAGACTGAATGGAGGAAATGGCTGAATGTTCAAATATCAAGATAAATTACTGCAGGTACCTAAGTCATGAATAGGTCTAGCTGTACAGAACTTTGCCAAATCACCCCCCGCCTATACCACATCGACATTTATCGTTAGAATGTCGATTCCACTGTTTTTCACCAAGGAACGCTCACTCTTTCAAGTGGTCTTATCAAATTATATTCTAGGCTGACTTGAGATGATGAATTTGCTTAAGCAACCTCGCCCTTCTTGACAAGGGCGTGGTATGTGTTGTAGTCTACGGTTGCGGGATTGGACGTCGGACCCGCGTTCGTAGCAACCCAGCAAGGTGGCTGAAAATAGATAGTAAGCACCTGAGGCATATGAAAACTCTCTCGCGCGGCGATGACTTACATTGGCCACATTGTAAGCCCATTCGATACCCAAGCAGTTGTCGTCTCCCGTGCACTCATTCTCCAGACATTGTGCTGGTGACGAGTATCCAGAGACCGTCCTGTGCTTTACGCCCGTCATCGACTGGTAGCAACGTCGCTCGTATTCGATCCCATCAATTTCTAGAAGAGATTCATGGCAGCCTTTTTGACAAAGCCCCTTCCACATTTTGCCATTGCAGCGAGGGTGAGAGCTACCCGAGCCCTTTCGCCTTTGGTTGCCTTTGTCCTCACCCTTGGATGCCCCAGGCTTCAAGTGAGGAGGAACGGTTCCAGGGACCGTCTTGCAATTGTACTGGCCTATTTCTTGGTCAGAGACTGGCGTCGTTTAATGTTTCAAAGGAACTCACCATCATCAACGAAGCAATCAAATGTTCCCATATCAGTGGCAAATCTGGTTGGCAAGCATGGCTTGAAGTTATCACAGAATCCTGCACCCAGAACATAGCCCGGAGCAAAGAGCAAGGCAAGGGCAGCACTGCTAGAGAAACGCATTGTTGGGGAATGAGTTGGTTGAAATCTGACTTTGGAAGAGTATAAGATCTCGAATGTCTGATTATGGCTCACTCCCGAATACAGACCAGGCTTCTTATACCATTTGAGGGCTGCTGGCTCGACTCTGTCGTCATATCTGAAGAGTCCCAAAGGTCTTCTATTACTGACTCTTTGATCTTCTGATTTTTCCTTCGGGGTTACCGATAAACCTGGCAATCCGTTCAGCTTTCCGCGGTGGAGTATGTCCATGGCTGAAAAAAAAAAAAAAAAAAAGCATATGAAAATCTGTGCACAGTGTCTGTGGAAGACCCATCGACGAACCGTTCAGACACAATCATCCCAGCCATGTACGTCAACTTGCTTCGGGTGATAAGAGACTCGAGATATTGGTGCGTCGATCGTGGGCTTGAGCGCTCCATAAGCTGGGGTTGCTCAGCTACTCCACGCAGTCTCGGAAGACTTTCCTTGACCACGAGATGCCACTTTTTGTCCATTGACTAAATTCGCATCTCGTAGATTGACCCACGCTTGAAGCTGCCAGGGAATAGTTTCGAGGCCCGAAGGAAGAGCTGACTTTGTTGTGGACACAGGCCGCGTTCCATGACGCTACAGATGCACATTGATATCATCGAAAACATGCCGCGGAAAAGACCCAGAATGAAGTCGTAAGCCAAATCTATTGAGTTCTTTGGGATCCGCCTGCAGATCTAGTCAGAAAAACGAAAGCAGCCATCAATCGACCAGAGGTATAAAAGCTAAGAGTGCCAGACGAACAAACCGCACTCATCCATCAAGTGCTCCTAAGCTCTGGACCCTTATTTATTGAGATTTACTGAATTTCAAGATTCGTCATGCCGTCCCAATTCTTTGGACCTTTGATTGCTGGAGTTGCTCTGGCACTTCAGGTTGCTGCTGCAAGCGAGGGCGCATCTGACCTCCAGGCCTCATGCGCCACGACCATCAACTGCGAAAGCACGCGGACAAAAACATTGACTCTGCCGCCGCAGATATTCACGACCACTTTGCCTCCAGCGGATCCATCAACATTGACTTGGACTACCACAAGCACCGAGACCATTACGACTTCGGCGCCTGGACAGCCACCAGCTGTGACCGAGACCTCGACAACGACCGCACCAGGAAAGACTACCACTAAAACCACCACTAAAACCACCACTGAAACCACCACTGAAACCAGGACCACTGCGGCCCCTGGAGTCCCACCAACCTCGTGCCCACCCACTCGGACAACAGAAACCAGGACCACCACGACAACGGAAACCCAAACCCCTACTGGCTGCCCTCCATGCGAGCCTTGTGCTCCCTGCGAGGAAGACAGGTACGAAGACAAACCATTCCTTCAACTTAGATAGCCCACAACCACTAACACGATCTAATTCCCCTCAACAGTGAGCGTGAAGGCGGCTGTACCGAGACAGTAGAAGACTGGAAAGATCTCCGACTGGAGTGGAACTCCGACTTCTCCAAGCCAGGCCAACCGGAGCCGATCCTGCTCTCGACCTCCTACGACTTCCCCACTACTCTCGAGATCACCGACGACTTGGTCTCCGGTGAGCAATACACGGTGTATCTGGGAACGGAGAAGCTTGGAATGACATCCGAGCCGGACCCCGCCACCGTCGGATCGGACACGTGTGGCCAGGACGCTGAGAAATGCATTGAGGAGGGATACTCTTATGGATCTTTTCAGATCCCAGAGGGTAATCAGTTCATTTCCATCATGTGGGAGGACGCGGACCAAGAGGCTAGCTTCGGTAGCGGGCAGTACCGGTTCTCGAGGGAGACGGACTGTGACGAGGATGACGAGTATGAAGAGCATGAAGAGCACAGGGTATGGCTTTGAGGAAAGACTGAGTGCGAACGATGATACTCGGAAAGGTATATTCCGCTGTGGATTTCGGCTAGAGAGGATTTCTTTTCCTCTTCGCAGGAAAATGAGGAAGTTTAGTGTTGATAGTAATATTATTCATTCGTTTGTCACTCAATGGTCAAGTCATTTCATACAAAGTTCCCATATTTAAAGCTGCATCCAGTTCACGATTATCCATAGATAGGGTAATATTTGTCGGTAAGACTCGGCCCTGTCCGTGGAGAAAGACCCTCAACCATGATCCTACTACTTCAGAATTATCTTGTCCAGCGCATTGATCGTGCAAGGTTTCCGTCGTTCGTGGCTTCAGCCCGCTGGTGGACTCCCAACCTCTTTGATTGACACCCACCGGTACCCACGTAATTGCTTCTTCCTTCGTCGGAAGACAGCTGCGCGGAGACCCACATTTTGAGATCAACTTTCCCCATGAACTGAGTGACCGCTGCACGTTCCCCCGTCTTTCATGCACTGACTTACGGGAAAGCCTCGTCCCGGGTGGTTTCACTTGCGAGGTCTTGATACATGTGTTGGTTCTTGAGCTCTTGTCAGTTGCAATTTCTGTGTTGTGGGAATGCCTGCCCCGTCCATGAGACTTGGAATAACCGCCCTTGTGGGGTACTGCACTTTCCACTCCGTGGAGACTGCGTCAATGGAGAAGAACATTTCCTCCGGATATCCGGAAGCTGGATTCAATCACATCAGGAAGGGTGTGAGAAGCTGCGAACCCTGCTTGACTGACAGCTGACTGGACCCATTGATCACCTGCGAGATTGACCAGTTGCAGAAAGTCTTTGCGAAGTAATGGTCGCTCCTGCGGCTGGAGTACCAAAAAATCTTACTTTTGCAGGCAAGATTCCAAGCAGGTTTTGAGCAGATGTTCATTCGGAAACCTGATGTTGCGCTAGGGTTGTTTGTCTGCAGATCGTGGGTTGATGAGCCAGTTGCATTCTCCACATGTGCCAAGCCACAAACATTCTTCACTTTAACACACGAGCCGAGCCTTCAGACCCACTCATCATGATCGGCAAACAGTTGGAGACAGGAGATTTCCTTCGCTCATGCAAAACCCCCTCATAAAAAGCATGTTGACATCACCTCCCAGAACTATGAGCTGAGCTGACCCTCTAGACCCACGCATAGACGATGACAAGCTGAACCCCTGAAATAAACTCTTCGGAACGGATATCCGTGCCGACATCATGCTCAGCAAAGTTTTGATTCATAGATAAAGAGTCCAAGGTAAGTGTAAAAGGTAATCCTAAGCTGTCCAAGAACCTCCTCGCCCCCTCGCGGCTTAGGAGGGAGACAGTCTCCAGAAGGCAATCCTCAATCCATCTATCAAAGTCGTTTACAATGATCATCTCCCACCGCATATTTCTCCGCAGTTCCATTTTCCAATGTAAGGAGTCCTGCTCTTATATAGACTTTAACCACTCTATAGTCTCAGGAGTTAGCTTCAAGTCAGCTAATGGCATCTTTATACCTATCTAGTAAACCAGTTTACTAAACGCGAGGGCAATTCCTGCAAGAAAACATTAAGCCAGCCATATATTCAAGCTGATATGTATAGACAACTTACCACTTCCAGAACCTATGACAACAACAACTTTTCCGCTGACCAGAAGGTCTCCAACTGGCTGTGCCATAATGTCTTCCACCGGGGTAGAGCAGGGTCCAAGACAGGAAGGCAGCTTGGTGGATTGGTGTCTCGAAGGAACCAAAGTACTTATAGCAAGGGCCCAGCTGGCGATGGGATAAATCAGGATTCTGCCTAATTCAATGTTTGGTTTAAGTGCGAAGACTTTATATTCTCTAAGTCAATCTCAATAATTGCCGAGGTAGCCTTTTACTCCGTACTTACTTCCCATCGATATGGAGATATGTGCTATCTATCGATCATGCATTCAAGAGCCTGATAGGCTTTCGCACTTCGTCCAGATCGGGTATAGCTTAGACAATAGAGCTATTGTCCCAGGTATTAAGAACATTTCCATCTATACTCTACTATGTAGCAGGGACACCAGCTATCAGTGACACCCTCGTTCTAGAAGATAATAATAAAATAATAAAAAGAAGGTGATCTAGGTCTGTGTATCCGATATAGGTACAGTGGAGCACTTTCGCACTCCTTCTCTTTGTGGATATTACCCACAGCTACTACTAATAAGTTGAACTAGTAGGTATATGTATGTATATCCAGAAACATAATTAAAGCTCTGGTATTCAGAAAGAGAAAGGAAAAGATACATATAAAAGGGGTTAGAGAAAGCTACCGCAGAAAAAATGGCTATGTTCCGCGAGGAGATCTTCGGTCCAGTCGTCGCCGTCAGCAAATCCTCCTCAGAGGACGAAGCAATTCAGAAAGCAAACGCTCCGTCTAACGCTCTAGCCACCGCCGTTGTCTTGGTAATGGTATCATGCGCCCATATTAGCCGGGCATGGTCTGGATTAATTTCCCTTGTGGCTCCACTATGGGATCCCATTCGGCGAATACAAATCTTCTGGGACTGGCAGGGAACTGGGTGCTTATATATATATATTCCTTGCTCATGTCAATGTCAAGTCCACCCCCTCCCTGACCATTAATTCAAGCCAAGTGATTTCTATATTTTCCTCCTCCCGTAGCCTCCAGACCTCCTTTACAAGTTCCAGCCCACGAGTGTAAACGCCCAGTCTCGTATACCGGACAAGCTCCTGTATGCGACATTCAACAAGCGTCTTGTACTCGACATCAGCAGCGCCCAGTTCAGAGCCCACAATAATCAGCAACGGTCCTTCGGAGTTTAGAAGCGGGCTATTTGTAGGAATGCGGGTGATGGCGTGCATAGCTTCCAAGATATGGATCCTGAGTCGCACCTCTTCGACTCCGTCTAGTGGACGTAGAACCGACTTTGCTTGAAGGAGCATGATAAGTCCGGCAGATCTGTAGGCTCTTGCGATCTCGGCCAGGGGTGGCGCGTTCTTGTTCTCTTCTTCTTCGTCTGCTTCACCGTCTGGGCCGGGAAATTTCCATTTCTGTAGCCGTGTCTCTAGATAATTCTCGTGCGCGGGATCAGCCTCTCCTACATCTACCAGCCGGCGGTAGTATTGGCCGACTTCGGCAAGGACGGGGTACAGGCTGGTGGCGATACCTGTCACCGGGTGCGTGAGGTTATCGAGCATCGGATAGAAAACAGCTAATTGTGGATTCAGCCACGGGCTACTCTGGAGCGGTGCGGGTAGCAGGTAGGATGTAAAGGCCTCCCAATAGATGTAAAGGCCGAGAAGGTAATGAGTGAGATCGGTGTTGGTCTCTGACCGCAGCAGTAGGGGCAATACCTGGCGAGCCCCGAGCAGGTGCTGGAGGCCAATGTCCGGGGTCCCTGCATCGATCCAGCTGGAGGAAATGCCGAGAATCAGAGAACAGAGGAAGATGGTTTGAAAATGAATGTCGGGGTTTGAAAGGAGCTGGGTGTGTTCGATCTCGAGCTGCAGGGAGACCAAAGCCTTGTGTCTTTCCTCCAGAACCTGGGCCAGCTGTGCCTGGGCGAAGTCGAGGCGATGGGCACAGCTCAGATACTGAATCGCATGCCGCAAGGCTTTGGAGCGTTTGATATAGGGGGAAATGCTGTAGGAGAGGGGGTTCTGCGACGGTGGCACGACGCCCATAATCAAGCTGCAGTGCTCAAACCAGTACTGGAGCAGTTCGTTCTCCAGAAAGCCTGCACGGCTGAACAAGTCGCGCTGCGGGTCTTTGGCCAGCCATGGCCGCTCAACCTGCCATTTGTCGTACTGGAAATTCCCCGTGCAGGTTTCATTCCGACTGACACACCGAGAACACCGCGGCTTGTGTTCGTCGCACTTGACCCTTCGCTTCTTGCATTGCTCGCAGCCTGTGCGCCGTTTGACGCGCCGCGACCGTTGGTCTGGACTAATGGGGGTGCCCGAAGACGGTCTGCGAGTGTGTACCTCGTCGGGATAGTAGCTGCTAGACATCTGATCGATCCGTCTTAAAGTCAAATTGGTCAAGGTACACGCGGAAGAAAGATGAGTGGGATGAAGGAAGCCGAAATCCTCCAGTTTATCAAGACAGCAGATCACTTCCCCGCACTGATAACATAACCCGGCAATAAAGCGTGTTATTCATATTTTAATGTAAACATTTACTACTTTGAGACCTGTTACTCTTTCTTCTAAATTTAGGGATAAGTTGTAAGAACATGTCAATCTGACTCGACAGGGCACACAAAATGCCGTCTGCCATAAGACACCCAGAGAACAGCAGTCAACACAAGCACACCCACATAAATAACCGGGGAATAAGTCACCGTGGTCGGAGTAATCGCAGCAGTCGGGGGGAAAGAGTACATAACAAGGCTGAACACGGTCCAAGCAACGGTAACAACGTGGCAAACAGGCCCAGCTCTGGGTAGCCAAAAGGGCCCATGTGCAAACCTGGAGCGGCCGCGAAGGAACAGACATATCACGCAAATACTATAGGTTGTATATTGAAAGTAAATCCCGCAACTGACAAACGCATTGAAGGCGACCGAGGAGCCTAGGTAGATGATCCCCAGCAACGAGACAATGACACAGGAAGTGAAATGCGCCCATAGTGGCACGGAAAACGGCCGCGGGGCGATCTGACTGAGACATTTCGATCCAGGCAGTCCCTTCTGTCGCGCGAGAGACCAGCAGAGCCGAGCCTGCCAGGTATGCGCTCCGAAGATGGAACCCAGGAAGACGGCCACGACCAGGGTTTGTAACCCCAGGGCAGCCGCCGTACTGGAGTTGCACGCCTGTCTGAATACTTCCAGTGATGGGACCAATGTGGGGGTGCTTATGACGGGCGTGATGTCCGTGATGGAGAAAAGGAGCGCAAGAACCATAGGGAAGGCAGTTGCAAAGCCTACTAAGACCGTTGCCAGTAGGGCTTTTGGTATATTGCGCTCCGGTTGGGGAACCTCCTCCTCGAGGTGAGTGCAAACGTCGAGGCGAGAATATCCCCAACTGATTCCAAGAACGCCTGTCAAAGCCGCGATGGTTCCATCCCAGCCAGAGGTATTCACGAACTGCGTAAAGACGAAGCTTGCGGGTTGCTTGTCCTGCGACATGGACAGCATTGTCACGAATATGATGGCAATAGAAACAACAGACAACGCGAGAGAGCCTTGCCCAAGCCGCGGAAGGAAACGCTCGATAATATTAAAAAAGAATACAAAAAGGTTGGTCACCTGGAATCCCACGAAGCCCATCCACGGTTTGTAAACAAAGTCGGGTCGATGCAAGGAATACATCCCAATCACCATCTGGGGCGTGATTAAAGTGCCAGATGCAACAATGCAAAGAGAGCTAGCCCAGGCGAGAACACCAGTTAAATAGGCGCATCCGCGACGAACCCTGCGTGGCGCAAGCACTGAAACCCAGTACATCTGCCCTGCAGCATTCGGCATAGCGGAAGCAAACTCTCCAAGTGTAACCGCAATGCACAGAGAAATAATGGCAATTGCTATGTGAGCCCAGGTCCAAAGCACAGGACCACCGTTCCCAATTGCGATGGACAGCGAGGCCAAGATGGCCATGGCTGAGTTCGTCACTGAATATCCGATGCTCAGGACGGAGATCAAGCTAAAATGCTGCTCTTCAAAGCTATTTAGCGTAGGCATGTAATTACCCGTTTCAATTCTCGTCGAGCCGTCGGAGGCATCTTCGTCCTTCTGGGAATGGTCGCACTTATCGGCAGTCTTCAATTTGTGGGACATAGTCAGTGGTGACAGTGAGGAAAGAATGGAATCAGAAATGTTCAGTGCAGGCCTAAAGACGGTGATTTTTCGCTAGGGCTCCCCTTGCCTCTCAATGAGGATCTACTTATAGCTTATTTTCCCCTTTGCTAGCAATGTCATTGCTAAAGACACCCTCTCCAACAACAGTTGCCATTCATCACGTTGTAGGCAGTGGGGAACTGGGAAGGGAGACCAAGCTTTGAAAGTCTGCTGGTGGAAGCCTCAACCTTTGCTGTTAACGGCAAGGCCCTTGACCGTTCTGGGACAAAGTGCGAAATGGAAATCCTCCGGACTAAAGGTCTGTGGTCTTCGACTCGGGGCTCGAAGCCTGTTCGCATTTGAGTGCCTGTTTGGGTATCACTCGGCCTATCTCTGCGATCGAGATACTGACTCCAATTCTCGCCCCGCCGCTGCCGAGTGCTTGACTCCCACCTCCAATAGGTATGGGAGGATAAGGATATTAGGATCAGTCTGCCAGCCGAATTAATTCTGACTAGGAACTTTACGCCTCCCCAGCGTTGTACATGCGTACCCACATGTGGCCACAATGCCTAATGAGGATATCATAAGTGCCCCATATCCGGCATCAAATAATGGTGGAATACGCTCTTGACTTATAACGCCGTTTACACTGTTGGCTTGCAGCACGAACTGTATCTGGATAGAAATGGACAAGCAAACGCGCCACTCTATCTTGCTTGGCCTGAGATGAGAAGGAAACATATATATATATGTGTATATGTTAAGCAAACTGGATAACATTCCCTATTTCTGCACAATCCATTCACTCAGGCACATCTATGAGGATTGAAGTCGCTGCACCGGAAAAATCTCGTCTTCTTCCTGCTCACTGGGGTCAAAGCTATCACCAATGTGAAATACACGCAAATCATCATAGTGCCGCCCAATAAGGTAAGGAAGATACGCGTCTCCTACATTCAACGGAGTCTCGCTCAGGACACTGTACTCGGACACGCCACTAACATAGGTGAAATCGCCAATCGAGAGCACTGGAATCTCGTGAAGCGGGTCGCTCTTGGTTCCTCGGAGGACGAGTTTGCCCTTCCCAGTTGCGCGTTTTGTATTATGCTCCACAATATCGAGCGTAACCAGTCGCGGGTCGTCGTGCAGACCAATGCCAGTGGCGGAGGGATAGGCCTTGATCTCATACCCCAAGGATCTTTCAACGTTGCCTGGCGTCTCAGTCTCGAAATCAGCACTAAGCTCGACCAGACGCACTCCCTTGCGCTCGCCGTACCCATATCGACGATTGCCACTTCGATAGAGCTGGCAGACGCCTGTCTTCTTGATCTCGCCCCATATCTCGCGACCCCAGGTGACGGGCATGTCGCCGCTCACGAGAAGGGTAAGGATGTATTTGCCCTCAACACCCTTGTGCTTCGCCTGGAGGGAGACCATTGTGCATTCGAACTCTCCGCAGAGCTTGCTTTCCCAGGTTGAGATGGACACGGTGCCCACTGGGCGGTCGGCAGCCTCTAGGCCAGGTGGGAGGACGCTGTTCACAAAGTCTGAGGTGGTGGTAAAGTCCACGCTGATGGCTTCCTGTGAGAAGCCTGGGCGGCTTGAGAAGGCCTGGAATGCCTTGACCTGGTCTGGGGTGGCGACGAATGGCATTTTGCTAGAGGTTCGAAGGAAAGAAAGATGTATGCTGTGTAGAGACGGAAGAATAGAATTGTGAGCAGCTGCCACCTTTTATACGCAGTCATGGAAATTGAATCAATGTATCTTCTCGGGTGCCCTAAGCGTAATTTACCGACCATTTGAGCTCCGGCATCTCGTACTCTGGTAGAAAAGGGAAATTCCGATCATTAGCCTAGATTTGCTTTTCCTTTTTTTTTTTTTTTTCTTCCCATCTGAGACCAAATGCGATGTCTCCAGAAGACAGACCCACAACCCAGTCATGGACTGTTATCACCACCACGTAAAGTGGGTGACTACAGTCGTAGTTTACTCATATTGAGCTTACGTAGACTGGATTGAATTGTATTCCAATCCTGTCGACTTCCTGGTAGTCTTTGTAGCTCCGGTATCTATAGAGATTTCAATGAATTGCTGGAGATTCATCTAGATACCACTAAATGCTAGTAATTTAAGAAGACGACTCTTTCTTCCTTTCGCATGTACCCGGCCAATGGTCATAAAACTTGCCATACACATAAGGACGGAAATCAAAGTCTCTATCAAGCTCAACCTCCCGCACTAGTCTGGTTGAAGATTCATATCCAGAGTAACTAGCTGAATCCAGTTTCTGAATGGGAATTGTGTCCAAGGGATCATCTGGAGTTCCGCTGAGAGTAAGCTGGGTTTCTTTCAAGTCACCGTCCTGCAAGTGAGTGAACACCTGAGTGGTCTCGAACTCCACCAGAATCGCCGGATGTTGAGGTCCTCCTCCACCCCCCAAGCCCGTTTTGATTTCATAAAAGACTCCGGTACTCCTTGTTCCAGGCCGAGCCGGAGACGGAGGACTGGTAGCAGTTTCGATCCGCATTTCGGCGCCCCTCCGGCGACCAACGCCAAATATCTTCTTCCCGTTGCCCATCATGAATATCTCTCCCAGCTTCTTGGGCATCCCCCAGGACTCACGACCCGTCGCCATGGACATGTCCCGGTTCACGAACACAGAGAGGCTGTACGATCCTGGTTTGCCTTGGAACAGAACGTCCAGCGAGATTGCGGCTGCCTGCTCGTCTTCGTCTATATATATTCCTCTGATTCTCTCAGAGTTTGTGCAAATAAACGCAGACCCAGTTGGGGGGCTTGGGATTTCAAAACAGGGCGGAACAACGGATCGGGCGAAATCGTAGGTGGTCGTAAACGTTACGGTGATTGCTTGACCATCGGCCTCGATAGGCTTCGAGTAATATTCATCGTATGCCGTGACTTCTTTGGACGTGCGCACGTAGGACATGTCTTCTGCAATCAGGGGAGGGGGGAAGGAATTAACGGAATTGATGAGTTTAGGTACGGTACGATGGGCGATAACAGCGTTCTATTTGAACTACCTCGGCCTACTGCGAGTCCCACCGGCTGGAGGCGAGGCTTGCCTCTCCAAGTGATGTCTCTCTGTCGCATTTTGTCCAGTTCCGGAAGCTCTGTCAAGGTTACAACGTTCTTGATATCGCTATCTGGGCACGAAAAGGTTTAGAGTTTGACCCTCGCACTTCGTCCAGATCAGGAATAGTGTGATGGAGACACTATGGGCGATCCATCTGGAGTTCAATAAGCAGGCAGTGGAGATTACCCCAAAGTTGCATGCCGGGGTGTTGCTTGAAAAGCGTTATGCATCCACTTGGGAGTCACATATCGGGTATCTGGCTACACTCAGCTGTCAGTCGAAATGGAACACCCTAGCTCGAACCACGAACTACCCGACACAGGTCATCACCAATGCCTTGGCGAGAAGGCATCAGTTCCCGAGAGTGAAGGGACAATGCAGAACCGGTTCTCGTTTTGGTCCCTGTTGGGGTACCAATTGAGCGTCATGTCATCTTGGGCGAACTACCTGGTCACGGTTGGCGTTTCTGTGGATATTGGTGGCCCTGTTGGGTTCTTGTACGGGACTCTCATTGTTGGCTTCTTCCAGCAGACTGTTGTCCTCTCGCTCGCCGAGATGGCCTCTGCTTGGCCACATGCTGGTGGTCCAGAGTATTGGGCACTTCGTCTCTCTCCAGTATGGGCAGCTCCATTCCTAACGTACATCACCGGCTACTTGAACCTGCTGGCCTATCTCACAGCATTTGCCTCAGCGGGATTGTCTTCGACACAGACAATATCCGCGGTCATAGCAAACGTACACGGCTTCCACTTCACTCCTTGGCAAATGTGTCTCCTATACTGGGGGGTTTCGATTTTCTGCATCACGATCAACCTGCTGCCTAGACTCCTGCCGGCATGGAACATAATGTCAATGGCATGGCTTTTGGGCGCCTTGGTTGTCACAATCGGTGTTTGGGTGTCTCATATTGATGCTCAATCTGCCCATTATGTCTTTACAGAATTTGTCAACCATACTGGTTGGGATAATTCGGGGATAGTTTTCGTTCTATCTCTCACACAAACGGTATACGCAATGACCGGAATAGACGCTGTGAGCCACCTTGCAGATGAAGCCAATGAGCCTCGACGGACGATCCCACTTGTCCTGGTCATATCGGTTCTACTGTCGACGATCTTTTGCTTTGGTTTTGCAATACTATTACCTTTCTCTCTCGGTCCCTTCGACTCCTTGGTCAACTCGACCCTGGGGGAGATATACGTCCAGCTTTTTGTTAACGGTCTGGGCTTGAAAGGGGGATTGGCCGTTTCAACCCTCGTGATGCTTCCTTTGAACCTTTTCTGCGGATCTCAGCTGCTGACAGCCAGTTCACGGTTGATATGGGCCCTCGCTAGTCAACGATGTATTCCACTTTCCAAGGTACTCGTCAAAATCAACAAGCGGGCCCAAGTTCCTGTTAGAGCCATTGTCGTGAGTTATTTTGTGAGCATGCTTCTAGGTCTCCTTTATGTTGTTAGCGATACAGCCTGGAATGCCATCGCCTCTTGTGTCGCAGCAGCATACCAAGCAACCTATATCGCTCCTTTAGCGTTGCTGCTATGCCGTGGCCGATCACTCCTCCCTCCTCGTTACTTCAGCATGGACAGGTTTCGAATCCCATTCTTGGGGTATGCGGTCAACGTCCTGGCGCTTCTGTGGTGTGCATTTGTTATTGTCATCAGCTGCTTTCCGCTTTATCTTCCTATCAGAGCCACCACAATGAACTATACAGTGGCAGTCCTAGGAATATGGCTGATTGGCGTCCTGGCGTATTGGTTCATGTCTAGCCGTTCCTTTATTTCCAGTAACGAGTGAATAGTCTATCCCCGATCAACAACAACAACAATATTACTATAATCAACGCTCCAACTAGTTGAGATAGAATAACACGGTCTTGGCCCTTTGAGATCTGGTTCTTAGCAAAATTGTCATTATTTTATATTTGTACCACGCGCCTGTAGTTGCTTGGTTCCTGTCCTTGTTGTCTCTCGGCTCTGCTATTATCGGTTTCTTCTTCAGCTATTCCCTCATACTCGACATGCTCAACCCGGTAAGTTCATATTTAGCCGATTAAAGCCCGCAGAACCTGCTTCAATATATACAATCTATACTAAACTTATTATACCAATTTTAAAAGCCAGTCCTATTCTATCTAGAGAATAAACTATATATTAGATTTAATATATGCTTCAAGGTCTATTACAGCGCAGAATTAGGATAAGGCCTTCAGAACAGTGATTCCTCCCACTTCTTCTCTTCTTTTCTTCAAAAAACCGGAATATTGAGCTATATATCATGTCGGCTTTTCACGACCTGTAGGTCTATATCAGCCTGCGTTTAGACCCTTCTGGTACATACGACCACAGGGTGTGGAAAACAGGGCTTCCCGTCCGCTCAGCCGTACTTAAGCCACACGCCGGCTGGTTAGTAGTATGGTGGGTGACCACATGCGAATCCCAGCTGTTGTATGTTTTTGCTTTTTATAAATATGAAAGAACAGCTCTGAGATGAATTTGGAGGAGTGCGGGCGTAGGATAGAAGGTCCCGACACAACGGAATTGTGCGAATCAGGGTCGCGAACCCGCCAGGCTAATGAATCTTCGCGTTCTCATCTAGGAATGTTAAGATTGCAGAGTTTACGGGATACTTGTCTCTATCTATAAAATTAGGCCTATCGGCCGGCTATACTAACTCGCGGAAGTTGGGTATTCAAGGCAACAGCTTGGCAAAGGCGCTTATCAGGTGTGGTCTGTTTATATATACTAATCATAGATGTTTACTATTTCAGTAATACCTCAAGGGAACAAGAATAATCAAGAATGGCATTATAGTTACGTAAGGGGAAATACAACATAAACATTCTTATTTATATTATTTGGGTTAACCGAGGGTAAGTCCCCCCGCATGCAGATCTGGGGTGCATGACATGCGACTGGATACGATGGCAGCGCACTGGCCCGATAAGACAGCTGCGGTCAGATACCGGACAAACAGCCTGGAGAAATGATTAACTGATATCTTCGGAAACGCGTCGGATGTCCGTCGGATCAGCATTGGCTCTGATAAGCCAGACTCCGTCGCTTCTCCTCATCTCCAACTGTGATACGGACCACCATCATCATGAACACCCCAGGACAAGCATGCGCCAGATGCGCACAGATTGTCAGTACCCCGTCCAGTCTCTCTTCCAGCACTAATCCGAGCAGAAGCAGCGTTGCGACGGCGGCACTCCCTGTTCCCGCTGTGCCCGTACGTATCCGCACTCCACCCAGCTCACTTCGCTAACTGGATAGGCCTCGGGCACATATGCGAAGCCAAGCCCAAGATAGATCCTATGTCCAGCCAAGAACAGACACAGATTCAGACACAGGCCCGACGGCCGCGTGCCTCGCGATCCCGCGCCGGCTGCCTGTCTTGCAAGCAGCGGAAGAAGAAATGCGACGAAGCACGTCCCCGCTGCAGCGATTGCCGCCGGCTGAATCTCCCATGCCGCTGGAGGAGTTCCGTCTCTCATGTGGAGCATCAAGACCCGTCGCAAAGCGTGCCTGTATCCGACACGGCCACGGCCCTCCCCAGTATGTCGCCTACCCGCGAAGACTGGAGTGTACCGTCCGATCAGAGCGCCAGTTCATCATCCGTATCCGAAACCTACCCTGAGACCTTTGAAGATAATATACAGTTGGAGATCGTAGTAACGCCCGTCGGATCGCGCGGGGACATCCCATATCTGGAAAACGAGGAGGACCGCTCGCTGTTCAACCACTACTTGCACACCGTGGCACGCGCGCTTTCACGAGCTGCTACCACCGACTCCACCAACCCATTCCTAACCACACTGGTGCCGATGGCGGCGGCGTCGGATACACTGACGAGTGTACTGCTGGGGCTAAGTGGATGCCACTGGCGACGGGTGTATCCCGGGATCTGGAAGCGTGCGCTGGCACGACAAGGGCGGGGTCAGTAAAGTCATCTATGTAGGCTGCACTGGGACTAACAAGAGCAGCTCTATCACAGGTAAACCAACTCCTCACTCGAAGTGGATCGTATCCATATACCCTGGAAGCCTGTGCCGCGGTACTGCTTCTCTGCCTCACAGAGCTATGCGACGGCACCTCAAAAGTCTGGAAATGGCATCTCAAAGCAGCACGCACCCTCCTCGCTTCAGTATCAGTCTCATCAGAGACAGCAGAGGGTGCGTTTTGTAGAACACTCTTCCACTACCTCGACAGCATGTCGACCATCTCCCGCTGCAAGCCCCCTCTACTCCACAAAGGCCAGGGAAACAGCAGCGGTCTAGCCGATATTATAGCCACGACTGAACCCACGAATACCAGCCCCGCGGACCCAATATCCAGCATGGCACCGGCTCTCCTTGACATCCTGGGGATGGTGAATCTCCTCGCAGCCCACCGCAGCAGACGCATCGACGAGCTATCCGACCTCGGGTTCCGGACTGCCGCTGCACAGGTCCAGGCGCGATTAGACAGCTGGCGTGCTGCGTATGATGAATCTGCACCAGTGGATAATAGTGAAGCAGCAACAGCCTTCGAATGGGCTGTGCGTCTCCGCCTACACCAGGTAATAGACGGGTACGACCCTCGTCATCCCGCTGTTGAAACGGCCCTTGAGCGGATCCTGCAGGCTGTCTTGAGTATCCCGTATGGCAGCCCTGTGGAGGGTAGTCTTCTTTTCCCGCTGGTTATCGCAGGCGCGAGTAGTACAGATATTGAAAAGCGCATGCTCGCTAAGGAGAGACTGATGGTTATGGAGAATACGCTAGGGTTTGGACATATTGGCCGGGCAAGGGAACTACTGGAGACGGTTTGGGCAGAGGAGCAGGAGTGGAACTGGGCCAGGGTGAGGTATACTCAGTTCCCCGGGGTTGTATTCATTTAATGATCTACTGTCGACACGCCTTCTCTTTCACCAACTGTTCTAGATGCATTCGCATGTCATACCCGCACACCTCTTCGATGGTCAATTTCCCCGGCTGGTCCGCCCCAGAACTCCAGCCGATGCGCTCGTTGAGATTCTCTCTTGCCCGGAAACTGGCCTCTTGGACGCGGGTTGCGCGTGGTTTGCGCAGGCTTTCGTATAAATGTAGTCCGTCTGCAATGGAGTACTGGGACTGGAAATCGCGGTGGTAGATGAGCCCGAGGGCGCCGGCATCTTCGAAGGCCATGCATGAGCCTTGGGATTGATCAGGCATCATTGGGTGTGCTGTTTAGCTAATTAAATAATTGAATAAATAGCTAGATATTAGGGGAATACCGGCATCACCAAGCAAGCACACCTTCCCTTTGGTCCAATATGGATACGGCTCGTGTCGATACACTTTAGCAGTACAATATCTGTTAGCAGCATACAAACGATGAAATTGAAGGCACATACATCTCCACATTATAATATCCTCCGCATTCCACATCAGCTTCTTCATCCGCGCATCCAATTGAGGAAACGTATCCACTAGCTGTTGCGGCGTCGCACTGATATTCCACCCGTCCTCACGCAGTTCGTTATATTCAGCCGGGTAGAAGCAGTAGCACGAGACCACCTCGCCATTACTACAAGGCGACATGACGATCTTGTCAATGCCGAAGCCGCCCCAGTACTCGATGGCCTCGTTGTCGATGTAGTCCTCCAGTCCGAGTTCCCGCAGCTTGTCCGCGCCGATTATGCAGCGGTAGCAGCAGGAGGTGGACATGGAGAATTTGGGAGTTATCCCAATGAATTGCCGGGATTGGGACTGAATAGTATTAGCACTGAGAGAGATAGGTATCGGGTTTGGGCGTACCCTGATACCGTCCGCAGCAACTATGAGGTCCGCTGTGAAAGAATCGCCATTTTCGAAACCGATTGATCCCAGTTCCGCGTCAAGAGCTATTACCTTGTGATTCAGTTGGATCGTACACGGCGGGCCCTCACCCTCCGTCTCGAGACCCGAACGTAGGAGCTGCTGGTGGATATCGATCCGGTGGAAGTTATTATAGTCCTGCCTGGTTAGCACACTCTAGAACCACCAGCTATGTAGGTAGACAAAGGCAGTATACCGTCCCGAATCTGGCCTTGTAATCGCCCAGCCCATACTCGTTCTCGACCTGCCCACTGCGCCAATCGTGCATGATCAACTTCTTGAGGATCACCGGCTTCGCGGCCTTGACGTCGACTCCCCATTCCTCTAGGAACCTTGACCCGTTGCTTGCTGCGCTTAGCGATGCGCCTACCTCGCCTGCGAAGTCATATCGCTCGAAGATCGTGACGTTGTGGCCCTGGCGGCGGAGGGAAATGGCGGCAGCAAGACCTCCTAGGCCAGCGCCGATGATGGCCACGTTGAGGGACATTTTCTTTCTGATGTAGATTGTGATTTTTTGCAGTGCTTATCCTTATCATATATATTTAGATATATATATATCTATATACGGCATTCCCGATCATAGTCCATCTTCCTAGTGCTATCTATGCGACGGGTGCATGACTAGCGTATAGCTTCATCCCCGCAGTACAACGATACCCACTGATAAGACACAACTGCTTTAAGACGCAGCTCCATCCGCCCCAACATGAACAGACATGGACACCAACGACAACATACCCGACAAGGTGGACAATGCCGGCGATTGCCACGACGACACCGCGCTGCTGCGTCGCATCGACTGGCGGATCTTGCCGGTCATGTTTCTGACTTATTTCCTGCAGTTTGTGGATAAGATTTCTCTGAATGTTAGCTTCCCTCTGATTATGCCCTGGCTGTGCTAACCGTGATGAACGTCAGTACGCCAATGTGATGGGCCTGCAGGAGGACCTAGGAATGAGTGGGAATGACTTCTCGTGGCTCGCGACGGCCTTCTTCATTGCTTACGCCGTGGCTGAAGTGCCTCAGGGTTCGCATTCCCTCCTTTCATTGTAACTGGCTAACAAGTCTAGGCATCCTCCTCCAACGATTCCCCATAACCAAAGTCCTAGGAGTGAACGTCTTCTTCTGGGGCGTAACGCTCTGCTGCTCCGCCGCAGTCAAGAACTACGCAGGCCTATGCGCCCTACGCGTCCTGCTCGGGATGATGGAAGCAGTAATCGGTAATCCCTATCTAAACTTATCTATCCAGCCTACCCATTCTGACAATAACAGCACCCGCCTTGACCATCTACACCAGCATGTGGTACACAAGAGCCGAGTCCACCCCGCGCTTCGGGCTCTGGTACAGCGGCCTAGGCATGGGCCAGATCATCGGCGGGCTCATCTCGTTCGGAGCGCAGCATGCCCCGCCCCAGCTGCCATTCCACGGCTGGCGCATCATGTTCGTTGCTGTCGGCGCGGTGAATATCCTTGCTTCCATCCTTGTGGTATGTATCCTGCCTGAATCGCCGATGAAGGCGACAGGGTTCCTCACGCAAGCCCAGCGGGAGAGAATCGCCGAGAGACTTCGCGCTGATACAGCTGGTGTCGGGGAGAAGGTATTCCGGTGGGAGTCGCTGCTTGAGGCGACGGGGGATGCGCAGACGTGGCTGCTGGTCTTGTTGGCGATTCTCATCACCATTCCCAGCGGGGTGATCACGACGTTTAGTGCCATCTTGATCAAGGATTTTGGGTATAGCAGCAAACAGAGTGCGCTGTTGAATATGCCCTCTGGGGTTGTGAGTATTGCGGCGACGATGCTGTCCACTTGGGCGATTGCACGGGGATACTCGCGCTGGGTGGCGATTGATATCCTGCTCGTTCCGACGCTGCTGGGGTCTTGTTTGATGTCGTTTTTGCCTGGCACGAACCAGGCTGGGTGTTTGGCGGGGATTTATTTGGTGAATACGGTACGATCCTGCTTCTTCCTTTGTAGATATATACTTGCTAATGCTGATAAGACTGTCGCCCCTTTGGCGTTGATATTCGCGTGGACTGGCGCCAATTTCAAGGGATACACCATGAAGGTGCTTACACCCCCTATCTAAAGAAAGCAGCAAGCAGTGAAGCAAAATATTGACCATAGTACGGAGTAGGTGGCAGGAAGCTCCCTCGTCTCTGCAGCGTTCAGCATCGCCAACATCATCGGCCCACTGACTTTCCAGGCCAAAGATGCCCCAGAGTATGTCTTATCAATCCTAGCAGCTGGAACTATAATGATAAATGCTAATAATACAGGTATATTCCCGCCAAGATCACCATTCTAGCCGTTAATGCAGGCGCCATCGTCGTGGCCACGAGTCTGCGCATTGTATATGGGATACGCAACGCGCGGGCAGCACGTACAGGAGGCCCAGCACGGAGTCGGATGGAGGCAAAACTGGAGAGTCGTGAGGGGGACATGCATGATGTGTCTTTCCGATATGTTTATTAGTCGACGGTGGAGTAGTTTAGTAGAGTATCATTATCCGACGGAGCAGGACCTAGTAATAGCAGCCATGTATATAAATACGTCCAATCCTACAGGCTACACAGGACATCAATATTGAATCAGTCATGTCTACAATCCTCGTAACCGGCGCCAACGGCTTCATCGCCGCCCATTGCATCACCCGCATCCTCTCACACAGTTCCCGCCTTCGCGTGCGCGGCACCGTGCGCACCGACGAAAAGGCCGATGCTACTCGCACGGCCCTCTCGTCTGCGTGTGGGACTGGAAATGGAGTGCCAAATCTAGACCTCCTAGTCATCCCCGACCCGACGGACGCGACGGCCATGCGCGCCGCCATGAGCGAGTGCGACGCAGTGCTGCATCTTGCCAGCGCCTTCACCTATGACGCGGCGCCAGGCGAGTTCGAAGAGAAGCTTCTGCGCCCTGCGATTAAGGGCACGGTGGCGGTATGCGAGGCAGCGGCCCAGACAGACAGTGTGAGGAAGGTGGTTATCATGTCCAGCTTTGCGGCTGTTTATGATGCTGCCAAGGGACTGTGGCCTGGAAAGGTGTATACCGAGGAGGACTGGAGTCCGCTTGGGTATGAGGATGGGGTTTCTGGTGTTGTTGTATGTACCCTGTAAGTATATGTGTATATATATGATGCTAATGTGGCAACCAACTGCGGCAGGCAACGGCGTATCGGGCCAGCAAGGTTGTTGCGGAGAGGGCGGCGTGGGATTTTGTCCGTGAGCATGAGGTACAGTATAAACTGGTAACTCTCTGTCCTGGAATGGTTTTTGGGACGATGCTGCACCCGATTGAGTCCTTGGACCAGCTGAATGTCAGTAACGGGATTGTATGGGATGTACTGAAGGGAGATAATGGGATTCCTGCAACCAAGGCGCCTGGTTTGTTTTGTTCCTCCCTTTTGCGAATCATAGCTGATGGTACGGCAGTCTGGGTAGATGTCGATGACCTGGCTATCGTGTCGCTGAAGGCTCTGACGGTGGATCTCCCTTCTCATGAGCGATTCCTCGTCACGGCAGGTGCATACGATACGCAGGAGATCGCGGATGTTGTCCGGGATGCACTACCGGAAACACGGGGCAGAGTTCCGGTTGGAGAGCCTGGAAAGAGGATCAGGTCTACTCATTACTCTTGTGATTCTAGCAGGGTGCAGCGCGTGCTGGGGGTGCAGTTCATGGGGTTGGCGGAGAGTGTGATACCGCTGGCAAGGCAGTTGTATGCGATGGAGCAGCAAGAACTAAGAAGATAGATATCATCGAGATCTAGAAGCAATATTACTCAGTTAGGTCTTGAGGCTATCTACATGCAACGCAACACGGATATGCTCAGCGGTCATATCAATGAACTCCCTCGCCTGCCAGAGATCTAAACAATTAGCACCTCAACCAGCCAACCAATCTTTTAGGGAATTAGAACACACCTTTATCCATATGCATAAACGGATGCGGAACCCCAGGGAACCGCTTGATGACAACCTCATTCCCAGCCTCCACCAGCCTGCGCGCATACGCCTCGCCCTCGTCACGCAGCGGATCACACCCAGCAGTATAGATGACCGTGCGCGGCATGCCCTTGAAGTTCGGCGCATCCAGCAAATTCGCATACCATTTCACCTCCTCCAACTGCTTGCTCTTCATCTCCGGATCCGCCGACAGACTGTGCCACTTCAGATCATCGAACCACCGCAGACGCGCCCAGTTCAGTGTCGGTGCATGTTCCATCTCCTGTACGGATGGGAACGGGCTCTCGCTGGCACTTTTATACCGCGAGATATCATCTATCACGGGCGTCCCCACGGTAATCAGGGAGAGTTTGATCCCGGCATCGCGGGCCAAATGGCCCAGCACGAGAGCGATATTGGCGCCCGCAGACACACCACCGAGCGAGATACGGGACGTATCCATATTGGGGAATGTACCTGCAGAATGGATATACTGCAGCGCGGCGAACGAGTCTTGGATGCCAATGGGAAAGGCGTGTTCAGGGACAAGTCTGTATCCGATGTCGATGACCGCGACACCGGCTTTCACGGCGAGGTGCTTGCAGATGTGCGACTCGGTGTCGAGATCGCCGATGCCCCATCCTGTTTTCTTTATCAGCTTCCCTTCTATTGTAAACAGTATTAGCAGGTTTGGGGGAGTACCGCCGCCGTGGAAATCGAGATGCACGGGCCAGGGCCCTGCAGTTGCGGGCTCGTAGACGCGCACTGGGATTAGGTCGCCATTGTGGCCTGGTACCTGGGAGTCGTATATACGCGCGGGCTCTGGGGCTGGGCCTGTTCCGTAGGAGTAGAGGACGGAGTATTTCGAGCGCAGGACACTGAGGTCAATGGGTTTATTTGGGGTTTTGGCGACATGGGTGTTGTACAGGTCGATGAAGACGGGGTCGAGATGGGGCAGGACAGAGGGGTGGATTGGATTGAGGGCTTCGTGGTTAGACATTTTGATTTCAGGCGAGTACTGTCTGATTTACTGCATGTGTGGTGTTGAATATAAATTTGTATGGGTCAACTGAGGAAGCGGATGAGATGTGGTCAGCTTTCTCCAACAACCCTGCAGCCGTCGGGTAATTCGCATTCTAATTGGCTTTGATACCCTGGTCATACATGCAAGAACTGATAGTGATCGCCCTACCCCGCATGCTATCTATGCGACGGCGACAGATCCGATAACCGTGATAGTCGACAGGCTATATTATACCTATACTCCAACTATCCTAGCCACAATAACAACCACAGTATGTCTGCCGACCCAATCCTCATCGTCGGCGCCGGCATCGTCGGCCTAACCGTAGGCCAGGCATTAAAGAAGGCATGTAAACCCATCCATCCGAAAACATCCATCTAACAACCCCAGAAAGGCATTCCATTCGAGATCTACGAGCGCGACCCAACCCCAGATGCCCGCGGCCAAGGCTGGGCCATCACCCTCCACTGGGTCCTGGAGTACCTGCGCCAGATCGTGCCAGACGAGACTCTCGCGCGCATCCAAGCCGTGCAGGTTGACCCGGACGTAGCTAGGAATGATAACGGAACATTCCTCTTCATAAACCTAGCCACAGGTGAGCCGAGATTCAAAATCCCCCCGTCTGGCCGATGGCGCGTTAGTCGCGAGGGAATGCGCAGGGCGCTACTAGCTGGGATTGAAGACCGTGTCCATTGGGGGAAGAGGGTCGTTGGTGTGGATACCAGTACCTTTCCGGATCGAGTGCAGCTCATATTCGACCACGACGGTGATAGTGAAGGTAGAGTGACTGGGAAGATGGTAATCGGGGCTGAGGGCAGCCGGTCCCTCATCCGCCGTGTACTCCGGCCTGATGCATACAGCAACGAGCAGCTTCCCATCCGGTTCACAGGTGTCGCTGTGGATTTGACGCCGGCTGAGATTCAGCCGCTGCGAGCTATGGATCCGCTCCTCTTTCAAGGGTGCGAGCCTCAATCAGGGACGTTTTTCTGGTTCTCGGTGCTGGAGACGCCGCTTGGGAATGGGACGGCTGGGACTGGGCCGGAGCGCTTCCGGGCGCAGGTCTGTATGTCCTGGCCTGTTAGATCTCCAGGCGACGAGGTGGCGAGTACAGACGAGGGACGACTGGTGAATATGAAAAGAAGAGCGGACAGCTTCACGCCGTTTTTATGCCGTGTTGTGCAGGAGATTCCACAGGGAACGCCCGTTACTGAGATCACTCTGGCGGATTGGGAGTGCTTGGATTGGGATAACCGGGATGGCAGGATCACTCTTGCTGGTGATGCGGCCCATGCTATGACGATGTGTATGTCTGTCTGTATTGTCTTGTTCTCTGCTGACTATCTAGATCGCGGCGAGGCTGCCAACCATGGCGTTCTCGATGCATTCAACCTGGTTCAGGCCATCGATAGGATTTTTAGCGGTCAGGCTACCCCGAAGCAGGGCCTGGATGAGTATGAGGGCGAGATGAGAAAGCGAACAAGGCGTGCAGTTCGCCTGAGTCGACAAGCCTGTTATGATGCGCATACATGGGAGCGGCTGAACACGGAGTCGGCCATCTTGACCAAGCGATCGATTGAATAGTTAAGAAATTGACCTATCACCTTTCCATTACTCGTATCGCGATGTAAGACTGAGGAAATGTCCCTGAAAGTGATTTAGTGAGTGATGATGGTTAGGAGTCTAGGGCCATGGCTCACAATGCTGCAGGCCAGTTGCACTTGAATCCTTTGCTACCGCGGCGACGTATTCAGCAGCAGTAAAGCTTGATGTCTGATGCAGAATGGGGGGTCTCATATTTAAGTATGGCCAGTGTCCTCCGATGCTGTCATGGATCGACGGCAAACCACTCTGGCCTGGCATTCTCTGCAGTTTATAGATACGTACTTTACGCAGTATCATGTCCTCTGCCCGCTGCCGCCAGACTCTCTGTGATCAGGGCCTTCGCCTGTTAATCCATCGCCCGCTGCTGCTACAGTGGCTTCGAGGACCATCCGCACTCGGACGGGGCCTCGAGGAATTACTTTCTGCAAGGCGTTATTCGCGGCTTACTCGGGCCTTTACATTGTATAGTATCCTTTTAACCTCTCTTGTTTGCAAAAGGCTAATAACTGGCTCCGGCTAGATATACACTCTTCCACGCATTAGACTATTACACTGTGTTTTGGAAATATACATCCTGGATGAGATGTGTCTATACGATGCATTCCGACCACCCATTTGAAGGCTTTTCCTGGCAGTCTATGGAATTATTAATATTTAAATGCGAAGTAGGCAATAATTTTATTCAGTGCAGGTTTGGTAAACTCCCCGCCCAAGCACCACTGCTCAAGCTATAAGTATCAGAAAGATAGAATGTCTATTCAGCCTGCTTGACCGTCACCGTCGTCTTTATCGGGCCTGACGGTGTCACAGCGTCAAAATCCAGACTGGTATTACTACCACGACTCAGACTGCCACTCTCACTCCGCTCATCCACGACAGCTTCATTCGTAACATCAAACTGCCGCAGCGCCCATATCTCCAGCCGCTGCTCATTCGCAGTATCATCCACTGTCGACCGCAGCTGCGATTTGGACGCACTTTCGCCACGCCGGAACCGAGATAGCCGGGTAGTCGAGCCGTAAAGCCGGCTGCCGGTCTCATACCTCCTGTTCCGGGTGCCGTGGGTATTGTACGACGAATGATATAGGAAGGAATTCCAGTTAAACAAACGCCGACACAGCGTCCAGGTCTGAGGGATATTCGCGACAATAACGGCAGTGGCAGCCTCGCGGACGTACCAGTCGATCCACTCCATGCCATATGGCTTAGAGATGGAGTAGCACTTTGAGAGGATGGAGCAGAGGATGACAAAGGTGCCGAGGGAGAAGACGGCGCAGAGGATGATTTTCTTGGAGAGGGACAGTTTGGCGCGGATGAGCAGCGGCAGCGGGATGGCCATGATCATGATGTCGGTTGAGACGTTGAAGGCGAGGGTTATTATAACGTGGTTTGTGTAGACGGAGCACTGCTGGCTTTTGGCTGGGACGGACCAGTAGGCTGAGAAGGGGCGGCACCAGACGGCGAAGAAGAGGATCTCGATGAGGATGAAGGATGAGATGCAGATCGCGCCGATGATCTTGACGAAGCGGTGTTGCCAGAGGCCGTATCTGAAGGGTCAGCAGGGCATAGAGGGCTGGATAGATGACTGACTCACGTCATGGTAGAATAGAGCAGTAGTAGACACAGTTTACACCCCCAGACGGCAACCAGCCAGAACTGCTCGACCGCGACGACCATTTTGCTACCCACGATGCGGTCTGGGAATGTCGCCGGATCGAGGGTATCGGATTCACTCGCGGGGACTCCATTCGTGCCGTGTTTGTCGACTTGGATTAGAAACACGGTCAGCAGTATGTAGAATATCTAGAAGTTCAGTATGATGGTTTGTATCCCCGTAAGATGGAACTCACCACAGTCACTGCCATTGCGAGGTCTTCTAGCTGCAGGTTCCGAAGCCCACCCAGCTGGAGTGTCCTGGACACATAGCGGAGCATTGCTATTTCCGTCAATCGGATTCATCTTCATTTAATTCAGTTTAAACGTACCTACGGCCAGGACTATGCCCACCCACGCCCATGCTTCCGCAGCATTGACCATTTTGGCGGTCGATCTAGAAGATTAAGCAGCAACGGGCCCCGGGAGCAGGGCGTGTAATCCTTAAAATATCGCCATCGGCAAGACATCGGCGCCTTGTGGGGATACCAAAGACAGAAAATCTAGGCAGTGCACGATTAATTTGGCTCGAGCCCTACCATTAACTGACATCCAATGACAAAGTATTAATAGGGCATCGCCAAGGCCACTTCGATACGAGATCCAGACTTGAACGTGGAGCAAACGTGAAACAAACGTGGAACAAACGTGGCCGGGCCGATGTCGGATTATTTATTATACTTCAGCCTCCTGGAAATCGACGTCAATACCTGCAGTAAAATCTGGTTGTGGCGTTGGCAACCATGTCAGGGTCCGAATTGCCGATTACGGACACATCCACGAGGAATCTAGACTCCTTGAACAGAGAAAAGGCTAAATGATCCCTGGTTTTGTAGAGCCTAATATTATATGATAAATTATTGTTAACATTATACCTAGGAACAATTCATTGTGCTCAAGTCTGTATCCACTGGATGATCGATGCCCGGGTAGTGCACGCCCTAATGACCCGACAATATTGTAGTGGCTTTGCAGAGATATATTTTTAAAACCCAGGAGGGTTTAACATTGAGCATAAACCTTATACTATCACATTCATATCCAGGTAACGAGGCAAATATACATTTCTAATTTATCTCCAATGGATTGATGCACTATCTACGTTAAAAAAATAAAAAATAAAAATAAAAAAATAAAAAAATAAAAAAATAAAAAAATAAAAAAATAAAAAAATAAAAAAATAAAAAAATAAAAAAATAAAAAAATAAAAAAATAAAAAAAACAAAAAAAATAAAAAAAATAAAAAAATAAAAGAACAGCCCTTGAACTCATCCCTACACATATAGACTTAGTATGTCCTTTCTATTTATACCAGACAACCGGTTCCTAGAATAGATCTGGCCCTGCCGTGGACACCTGGTGGGCCCAAGATATGCGGGGGATAAGCTGTCACTACCAGAGGTAAGATTTTATGGAGCAAAATTCTCTATTCCAGTCTAATTTAAAACCAATACCTATAGATTCGAACATGGGCACTGACAACTTCGCCTGCAAACCCAGCCGGTGATATCGTGACAGATCGGCAGAGCCCTAGTTGAGAGCGATGACATATCGGCCAGCATGGAGTCCCCCATTAATGATAAAATGATGATAGCAGGGATGAAATACCCCGAAATGGTATTTCTGGCTGGATTTATCCTGATGCCAAGCAATAGGTGTGCATTATTATTCCCATTGGGGTGTCTACATCCGCCCAGGCTCTCAAAGAATTGGCATCTTCGCTGACAGTTTCCCGGTGACGGAACACAGCAAGGAAGCCGAAAACACTGTCATGAACGATAGAGGTCTGCCGATATCCCCTGGGCGTCGTCAAGCGACCCATCACTAACCTCCAATGTAGCTAATCTTCCAGTTTCCGAGATCACGATTTATATTTGAATGCTGTCTACGTTCGGGAGTAGCCTCGGGTATCCAGCAGGATTTTGCTCCTCTCCGCCGTACTGCCGGATACTCTTATGAGGGGGTAACCGCATCTTTGACCAGCCTAGTTCTCTTGTCTGAGGTCTGTGCAGTGGAGAACAATAGCCGCCACCTTGCCATTTACCGCCCTTATTACTTGCTTATCTTGCAGATTTCTCTGGTCAGATGGCTTCTTGCTACTCTTCATGCCTCCTTAGCTAATGGGAAGCAGGATATTCCGGATATATGGTGCGGAGGGCGTACTGATTTCATACCCTTCGAGGTAACAGTGTCCCCTCGCTGGAGATCAAGGCCAAGATCGGATATTATATCGTTTTCCAGCTTTGAAGTTTTATACCGGTGTATACCCCTCCTCCTTTCTTGGTTTCCCCACGGGGACAGTACCCCAGATTTCTGTTTACTTAAATGGGTGAAGGAACTCTCTTTAACGGCTCTTGCTCAGCTAGAAAAAAGGGCAAACAAGCATCACCATATCCCATATCTTTCCTATTGACGGGCTGTTGTCTTTTGCTTTCTTCTCTATTTTTTTTTTCGGACATCTGCGTAGATGCCCCCCGACGCGAACGAGTTCGTCCCCGGCACAGTCCGGCTAGTCGATGTAGACGAGCAAGCCGGTAAAGATATCGTGTTGGTTCCCAGCCCGAGCACTGACCCCGAGGATCCCCTTAATTGGACCAGAAACCGCAAGATTCTTGCTCTATCCATGGTCTATTTATATAATCTCGCTATGGGTATCCCGACCTCCCTGCAGTACTCACTTCTCTCGGACATTACACGCGATACAGGCATCGATACGGCCACCCTAGTTCAAGGCAATGGCCTTATGATCCTATTCTTTGGCTGGGGGCCTGCGTTAATCTGGCAGCCGCTGGCCCTGACTTATGGCCGTCGTGGTGTATATCTCCTATCAACGCTACTGGTTGTGCCTATGGCCATGTGGACCGCATATTCCAGTACTGTGGGCGAATGGTATGCGCACCGTGTACTTATCGGCATTATTGCATCCCCTTTCGAAGCATTACCTGAAGTCACGATCTTTGATCTCTTTTTCGCTCACGAACGTGGAGCATTTACGAGTGTCTATACCTTTGTCCTATTTGGGTCTACGTTTATCGCCCCCCTGGTGGCTGGATGGTTCAATGATGCATACGGCTGGCGCTGGACCATGCAATTTGGAGCCATTTTCGCAGCATTCTGCTTCGTGGTCTTATTCCTGTTCCTCGAAGAAACTATCTACTTCCGAGACTCCGTCGAAGGCGAGAACACGAGTAACTTGAAGCCGTCCGGGGCATCTGACGATGAAGAAAGACGGTCCCCTTCCTCGCCAACACCGGTCCTAAAAAATCATCAAAGCTGGGAAGAAGACATTACTGCTTCTGGCACGATATCCCAAGTACCACCACCTCCCAATCCCGAGCCCATCCCGGACATAACTCCTGAGAACAGCCCTAAAGGCTTCCTCCACCTCGCCAAAAGCTTCAAGTTTTTCACTGCGCTCGCCAACCGCCCCAGCAACATGGACATGATCCGCATGATCTACTACCCAGTTATCTTTATATTCCAGTTCCCTACCGTCCTCTGGTCTGGATTCCTTTACGGAATCAACCTGGCCTGGTATAATGTGCTGAACGGTACAACCAGCCCTGTGCTCAGTGCACCTCCCTACAATTGGTCAGCCGCCCTTGTTGGCTGTGTATATACAGGCCCTATCATCGGCGCCGCCCTCGCCGCAGCCTGGTGCGGGCCAGGTGCGGACTACTTTGCGCTTGCTCTTGCCCGGCGTAATGGTGGCATCCGCGAGCCCGAGCACCGGCTCTGGCCACTCCTAGTCTCAGGGGTCATCTCAGCAGCAGGGTTAATTCTATGGGGCGTAGGCGCGCACCATAATATCCACTGGATAGGCCTTGTATTCGGGCTGGCATTGATGACATTTGGAACCGTCACGGGCGGTGCCATCGCGATATCATATAATGTCGACTGTCTGAAGGAAATCGGCGGCGAGTCGACGGTATCGGTGATGATGATGCGTAATACGATTGGGTTTGGTTTCAGCTATGCAATTACGCCTTGGTATACGAGTATGGGTTTGCAGAATTGTTTTATCATGGCTGGGATTATGTCCCTGGTCTGCACGTCGACGTTTCTTATTATGGTTAGGTATGGGAAGACTCTGCGGAGAAGGTCTACTAAGAGGTATCTGGAGTATATCTCCAAGGTTCCGGTGAATATGTCTTGATTTGTATATGTAGGCATTCCTGGCTATGCAGGAGGCTAGCCTTTGCTCTATACCGGTCAGGATATAAATTGAATTCCGAGCCCGAATATCCTACCTAGAATTGGAATATGCCCGTCAATGTATTTCCCTCAATCATTGAAGCTATCATTATACGAAGAAACTGCCCCTGGCGCGGTCATTGATATAGACTAGACCTGTAGAGTGACACGGGGCATGGTACTCGTTCCGGTGCCAGGCGAACCAGATTGGTGTCCCGCAGCAGTGTGAGGTGATGGGACCGCAGGTGGACAGTATTGGGACTGGGGACGGGAGTGATAATACGGATTTCTTTGGCCTGTGGAATTTGTGGTTCGGATTTGCACGCCCTTCGAAGTGAAGTTATATGATGCTAGGTGTGGAAGGGTGGTCGCTGAAAGCTCACTGATCGGAATGAGATAAGGGAAATGCTGGAGCTTGTGGCCAAGAAGGGCATTACTCCTTGGGTAGAGGAGATCCTGATGAAAGACGCAAACAAGGGCGTGGTTGATGACATTGGTGATCAAATTAGAGATTACTGAACATCAGCCGAGGCAGGGCGACTCTCAACAAACCGAGCCAACAAGGAAGAACTGAATATCGTATTAGTGGGATGGCGCCGTTGCTTCCGGGTTAACCGGCTTGATACCAGGCGGGATTCGGCACAGTCGGCCAACTTAACCTTGTTGTAGTCGGTATCTTCTAAATGGGCCAACAATTGTGCCAAATCCCACACCATGGCCTGACTTCACAGTTTCCAGATGTTAGGAGCCACGTCACCTTTACGTGATATGATAGAGAGCTAGTCCGCTACATCGGAAAGGGCGAAATTGGAATAGGCTGAATGTAATAAGCTGGCCATCATCAATATCCGCAGAAACTTGCACTAATTTGGAAGCATATACTCCGTAATCCCTCCTTCATCTTGGTTGGTATTTTCTCTGCCAACATTTCAAGCTCGTCAGAAAGGTGGATCCATGACTCTAGTAAGGATCCCGGGGCGAACCTCATGCAAGTGGATCTCTTGAACCGAGGTATCCTTGTTGAAGACCTGGCAAGGCCGGTGGCTGTGATAACGGAGCGCCTGCTATTAATTCACTCTATCTGCATATATCAAAAGCAAAACTTTGAATTTCACACAGCATCATTACCGCAACACCATCTCCGGGGTATACGTGGCAAACCCGGCCCTTGTCCTTGACATATCTAGGATACTTTGATATCGGGGTCTTCACGATGGCGAACACTTTAGCGGAACATGTGTCGGTAGAGAGTGTTGATGACCATTATGTCTCCACGTATCTTCCTCAAAAAATGGGGAACTCCGCACCTATCGCATATGGCGGCTACGCTATCGCTCTGGCAATACACACCGCGTATAAGACCGCACCAGACGGATTTCACCTGTTCTCAGTTTTCGGACACTATCTCCGAGCAGCAAGTACGGAGGCCGTCATGAAATGCATGCCTGTTGAACTCCGTCGAACCAAAAGCTTTGTCACATATCGTGTCTCTGTCGAACAAGAGATCCCGGACACTGGCCAGGTGCGGAAATGTATGGAGGTCCTCGCCGACTTTCATAGGGATGAGCCATCTCTCCTCGCTTACTCGGATCATCCCACTCGGCAATATAGCCACTGGAAAGACTGCATACCGTCGGAGCGTCTGGTGGATAGAAGTCAGGTCGAACTTGGGAAAATAACGGAGACGCAGTATCATACTTTCAATACCCTCTTTGGACTCTCCCGAAACCTCTATGAAGGTCGACCTTGCCCAGAAGGAGTTACTGCTCAAAACATGATGGGATTGGCAAAGACTGTCAAAACTACGCAAGATGAGCTATCTCCGGTAGCAAAATCATCCGCAGACTGGGTTCGGGTGAAGCACGCCCTCTCGACAGAAGGAGAACAAATGGCTGGATTGGGCTTCATCCTGGATGGAGTCTTGTCATTTCTGCCCTTGGCCCATAACCACCTATTTCTTGAAGATGTCGAAGCCTGCTCGAGTTTGGATTTCGCTCTGCGGATATTTTCCCCGCGTCCGAAAATGGAGGAATGGCATCTCCGGGAGGCAGTCAATCACCATGCTGGGTGTGGGCGCACGTACAGCGAGAGTAAGCTGTGGGATGAGCAGGGAAATATGGTGGCTTGTATGAGCCAGCAGTCGATTTTACGAGTTCCTGTAAATGTTGCAAAGATATGACCACTATAGTTAGACTCATTTGCTTTCATAGTTTGACATTTCCTTACTTTAGACATAAAAAGTGAATAGAAGACTGAACTGCTGGTAATACTACTGCATTCCGAGGTCCCCTAGTAGTGTATGGTAGGAGTCTCAATCGACCTGGGGACGATATAGCCCCTAGTCGAACCTTACTCTGGGTGGGAGTATGGGGAGTTCGTCCAGGTCGGTGCGTGGTGAGTCTTAGTGTGTTCAATACTCGGGAGATAATGAATTATTCTGGGAATATAATCTAATTGTTTTTTGTCATATGTATGTACAATCTAACATGCGTTTATCTAATTGAGTCAAAGTACAGCATCGCCAAAGTACAAATCTAATAATCATTCTTAATACAAAAATATACAAAAAATATACGAAAGGAAATCTATAACATATATCAAGCCAAACGAGAAACAATGCCCTCTATCTCTGATGCAATCCCATCCACAAGCTCTCTGACCTCCTGTTCAGAAAGGAAGCCGCCCTCAACACGCACCCCGAAGCCAATACTGTCTGTCGCCTGGTTAGGCCCGATATCCAGGAATATATTCTCCTCTGATAAGAAGGAAGTATCCAGGCCATCGATTGGTGTGGTCGAGACAGGTAGCGGTTGAGCCGGAAGGAAGTCTGTGGGTACGCCAATGCGGAGCGGCTGGAAGAGCTCGATGATTTCGTTATGGGTGCCATTCTGCTTAGGAGGTTGCTCCGGCGCCCGTGGGATGTTGTTCTGCATCCAGAGGAGGTTGACCCAGGTGTTGAATAGTGGTGTTGGGCCTTCTGGGTTAACCCAGCCTAGGATATCACGGAGGGAGCTTTGTTCGTAGGAGACGCGGTCTGCAAGGGAAGCTTGGATGTTTTGTGCTTGTTGTATAATCTCTTGTTCTTTATCTTGAGTAGTAGTGGGGATGGCGTCTTGGACGACTAATGGATTGACATTCAGGCAGGGTCCGGCCAGTTTTTCAATGTCGTTGAATGCTGCAGATCGTCCTGTCTGGTATAGACCCATAACTGGACTTGCGACTCCGGTGGCCTTAGCAATAGAACGGGCCGCTGCGAGAAGAACAATTGTTTGAAGGCTCAAGCCTGCAGACCGGCATTTGGATTCCATGACGGAGAGGTTGTTGACCTTCTCCCATGCGCCGATGAACATCTGTTTGGGAAGTTGCGAGGTGTCACCGGTGCCTTTGATGAATGTTGACGATGGAGATTTCAGTGCTGACGTCCAGTATGCCTTCTCGTCAAGCGGCGCAAGAGAGCGGAACGAGAAATCCACAAAGGCAGGGAATTCGGGGCTTGCATCCAGTGCCTGGCCCCGGTAGAGCTGACTTAGCTCGGATACAAGCATGGGCATTGACCATGCGTCGTAGAGAGAGTGGTGGATTATGATGAGAATACCGTCATTGTCAGCAGCTTTGAGATGTCGAAGCCGCACAGGCGGGGAGAGCAGTGAAGACGGTTGCAGGGCTTCTTCTCGAGACTGCGCCTTGGCCAGCTCGCTAATATCCTCGGTAGACTCGACAGACTTGAATGTGTTCGAACCTCTTACATCCTTCAAGACAACCTGGACAGCCTCCGACGGCGAGGTAGTCGCGAAAACCGTGCGTAGTACCGGATGCCGCTCGCGGAGTGTAGACCACGCAGTCTCAAGTTTTGCACTATCAAGACGCTCTTGGCTGAAGAACGCCCAGGCTGGTTCGAGCAGGGCTCGGTCAGCTTTCAGCCAGCTTGCAAGGTGATGGAATTGCCCTGGTAAGCAAGGTAGAATTGTTTCGATGGCTTCCTTCTTCAAGTTGAGCTTTGCAAGAACCTCCTGTTCAACACGAGGATAGTCCTTGATTAATGCGCCCTGAGAAAGCTCATTAGATGTCGTCGCCGGCTTCACGCGTTGACTGATACCACGCAGGGTATTTCCCTGGAGGATGTCGCCCACGCTGGTCTTCAATCCCTTGCCTCGACAAACGGACGCAATTCGAATGGCGGTTAGGGAGTCGAGACCGAGATTGAAAATACTTGTCGCCGGTTTGATATCTTCGACTGGGACGCCGGCGACCTCAGCCAGCACTGACTTGATAGTGGCCTCATGTGCAGGAGCTTCAGAGTCGTGCGCAGGAAGGTCTTCGTCCCTCTCCACGTCCTGTTTCAATGGCAGATCTCCGAGCCCTTGGGACACTGTTGTCGAGGATCTCGTGGGATGTTCAATGATATCGCAGAAGACGGCGTCAAATCCACGGACGAGGTTATCGAGCATTTCTTGATCGATGTACAATCCGTTCGATGTTGCCGTAAGAACAATCCCGTCCGGTGCGTGGTCAACTTCAATGTTAAGCTTGTACTCAGCGTCAACCACATAGTCATCGGCTTCAAATGGTACCCAGATATCCTGTTCGTTCAGTGTGCTCTCGGAAAGTGCGGCACTCTTCTGGAAGACGAATAGGGCGTCGAAGAGCTGGGAAGACCCAAGTTGCCCGGACTGTCGTAGTGTGTTCTGAATGGTCCGCAACGGTGCATGTTGGTGGGTCTGTGCGTCGGAAGTATGTTGCTGCAGTCGCTGCACGAGAGCCCTATTGCTTAGGAATTTGGGATCAAGGGTGACTCTGTGCGCAACGGTGTTGAACAGCGGCCCAAGTGTGCGATCCGCATCGGGGTGAGGTAGGTTGCGTCCAGCAAGGACCTGTCCGAAGGCGACATCGCGTGTGCCGACGAGTTGGGCGTATACTTTTGCATAGGCCAGGAGAGCGATACTTTGGACTGTGACTTCCATCTCCTTGCAGGCTTCCGTTATTTTGGCTAAGTCGAGGGAAATTCGGTGCTCGGAGGCGAACATGCGCTCTGCAGATGGAGAAGTGCCCTGGAGCTGCGGGATCTCGACGGGTTGGTAGCCCTTTAGCTTGTCGGTCCAGAATTCGCAGCTCTTTTCTTGTTCTTCCAGGACATACGGTACCATTTCCGAGAACTGGGGACGGTTTTCTGGGGACTGACCCGCGTATATTGCTGCAAGGTCCTCGAAGACAAAAGGGAGGGAGGCACCATCGTAGAGGGAATGGTGGATCACGATAACAAGAACCCTGGAGCCAGGTTGATTAACGAGTACAGAGCGTATCGGCGGGGTCTGGAAAGAGTCTTCGCCATCCAAGGTGAAAAGAGACATGACCTCGGACAGCACATTAGCAGTTGATGGTAGGGAGATCTCGGTCCATTCAAACGGAGGATTGTTGTGCACCGCACCAATCCAACTCTCGCCGAGACCCTGAATAAGGTGGAAAGAAGTCCGTAGGATTTCGTTCATCCGAATGACATCATGCAGAGCGGACCTGAGCTTGTCGATGTCCACCGAGTCATTAAGGCGGATGGGATGAGGGTTAACATAGACCTTTCCACCAGAGCTGATGGTCTGTGTGATCATTCCTGACTGCAGGGGTGTACACTTGAACATAGAGGCAACGGAGTCGTTCTCACCAAGGCAAGGAACATGCTGTCCGTAAGTGCCAATTGGTACAGCGCTCTCGTGCTTGACGCCATTAACACCATTGACCTGCGGCTTGGAGGTGATTTCGTCAATGTGCTTCGCCAGTGCACCCACACATGTAAACCGCATTATATCGGACGAAGAAGTCTTGAATCCCTCGTCACGAAGTCTGCGAGCGAACTGGATAGCCGTAACCGAGTCAATACCAAGGCTCAAGAACGAAGCACCCTTGGACACAGCAGAAATATCCAGCCCACAAAAGGCGGATGCAAATTCTCGAATTCTCGTTTCTGACTCGGACCATGTCGAGTCATCCCATTTCGTAGCAGAAGCTCGGGGGCCAGAAACTTGTGAGTTTGCAAGATTGAAGCTATCCAAAGGCAGGCTTCCCCCTGATAGTAAATCGGAAAGGACCGCGTCAATTTTCTCCACGAACTCCTCTCCATCCGGTTGTGACCCAAAGTCGGATGAGAAGATGCAGTCCAGTTGGACGGTATCCGCGGCGCTATCAGCCTGCACCTCGAGTGCGAGTGGGTATTCCGAGGGCATATGGCTGTCCAGTTCCTTCCACAGGTCATGTCCGGGTGACTCGGTGGCGCGGATATATGAGAATAACGAGTCGAAGAGCGGAACTTCGGATTTCACCCACTGCTGAATTTTTCTCAGCGGAGTGTGCTGGAATTCCAGAGACCGAACAGTGGACCTCTGGACGGCGGTCACCACGTCACTGACGTTCTGCAAGTCATTGGTATTCAAACGCGCTGGTACAGTAGTGATGCATGGTAGAAGCACCGAATCGGCACCTGCAGCTGATACAGTTCGCCCTGACATAACAAGGCCATATGTCACATCAGATGTACCGACGTAATCAGCCAGCAAGAGAGCGAATATCGCTTGCATCAAGTTAGGAACTGTCGTTTGGAGACTTGCGGATCGGCTTTCCAACTCGGTAAGTTTAACGCTGAGATTCCGACGCACAGGGACAGTTTTCTTCGCGGTATCTGTCTCTGATCGGAAGTTTGTAGGGTTGCACCCTGCCAGTGTCTGCTCCCAGTGTTGCTTGGCCTTCTCTGTGTCCTGGAAGCAAGCATGCTCTAGGAACGCGGACGGTGCGCCTCTTTTATAGAGAGGCTCCCCTTGGTAACGCATAGCAGCATCGTCTAGCATCATTGCGAACGACTCGCCGTCATACAGCGCGTGGTGGATGGAGATGAACAAAGCCAGTGGGTGTTTTCCGGCCGAGGACCTGGCAAGGTGGAAACGCACTGGTGGCACACTGGAGATATCCGAAATGATCTCTCGTGATAATTGTCCTTGCTGTGACTTTTGCTGCTGAATTGCCTCATCCAAGTTATCATACTTTGATTCAGTCCATCGAATTGTGGAGGAGCTCGCTGAAACAACAACTTGGGCAATCTCCTTCTCCAGAGAAACAAAGGCGGTTCTCAAAATGTCATTGGAATTGGCAATGAATTGCCAGGTCGCTTTAAGCTTATATGAATCGACATTTTCAAGCTTCAGGACGACATGGTTGACGTAGAGCTGGTCGCTGTCACTGTTGATAGATCGTGCAACCAAGCCCTCCTGCAGAGGGAGACAAGGTCTGACCACCACAACCTGGGAGACGTCTATACCTCGAGAAGGAAGTTTCTGGTACTGGTCTTTCAGCTCCTTGGATCGCTCTTGTACCTTCGAGACTTTAGACTCCGCACCCGAAGATCTAGGCAGGCGAGCAAGCTGCTCTATAATGGGATTGCCCATGACAAGTGCCACGGATGCAGCATATCCAATGTTGCGTAGTCTGATAGACAGCCCAATGGCGCTTAGACTGTCCAGGCCAATCTCGAAGATGTTGGTCAGAGGTTGGAAACTGGCAGGATCAACTGAGATGACATTGCATATTTCCTTAACGACAGCCTCCTCCTCGGCGTTCAGTGGTCTTTCAGACGCAGCGTCCGCACTGGCTGTATTGTTTCCTTGTAGAACGGTCTGGAGTGGAAGCTCAGCGAAGATCCGATTGAGCTCCTTCATGTTTGCTTTTCCAGACATCGCTGCAACAGGGATGGACGTAACAGGCAAAATCAGCTCAGGCACCATGAATCCAGGCAGTTTCTTGCGGCATATCTCCTGGAGCTCTCGACCAAGTGTACCAAAGTCAGAGTAAAGGAACGCGACATCATCGTGCTTCTTCCCACGCTGGGACCGGGACACAAACGAAATAAGCTGGATTTTGGCGAGCCCGGGGTGCTTTCCGACGGTTGTGACAACATCGATGGATACGGGCGAAGATGATCGTAGCACTTCTGACACTTCTTCTGGTTCCAGCCTCTGGCCGCGGATCTTGGTTTGATCGTCACCACGTCCGAGATATTCTACGGAGTCGTCGCCCATCAGACGCCCGACATCTCCAGTACGGTACATCTTGACACCGTCAGGTCCAGTGAGGAAGCCGGCTGCATCTGGTCGATTGAGGTACCCCTTTGCGACGAGATCGCCGCTGAAACATAGCTCACCCGTTTGTCCCCTCAGGGCGTAGTCCATTGTACCTGGGATGAGAACATGCGCTGCACAGGCAGTTAATGGTGGCCCGATATTCCTCAGGTTGGTATCTTTGTTGATATGCGCGAATGTGCAGCCAATTGTCGCCTCTGTAGGACCGTAGGCATTGACGATAGCAACATTGGGAGCAGACGCCCAGGTATCAAGAACCTTTTGGGTGATTTTCTCTCCACCGACAGTCATGAATCTGAGTGTAGGGCACTGCTCAGGAGTAATGTTCGACTGGTCGACGAGCGAGGGCACGAAACTTGCATGCGTGATATCCCATTTTGACAGAGTTGTGCCGATATCATCGAGAATCATTGGCCTTGGTGCTGTAGCTGTCGCCATCCCATGGCGCCAAGGGAAGAACATCTCCAGCAGATGAGGGTCGAAAGCACGGTTGGCTTGGGCAAGGTATCTTCCGGTGCCTCCCAACTCCAACGTGGCCGGTGCAATCTGGCATGCGAACTCTGAGATGGACTCGATGAAGGATGAGAGGTTAGCCCTGGTCACCATCACACCCTTTGGCTTCCCAGTGGACCCGGACGTAAACAGTAGGTACGAGTTATCATCCGGATGGGAATTATAATCCCGGTTCTCAGCAGACATTCCAGCGATTGACTTCTGGATCTCGGGGTCGTCAATGCATTCCACGCGGCAACTGTTTGGAACACCAGCGAACGAGGCCGAAAAGCTGGTCTCCGTAAAGACAATCGGGCAGTCTGCATCCTCACTTAGGAATGCCTTCCGCTCAGCTGGCAGACTCTCATCGATAGGGAGATAAGTGTTTCCAGATTTGAAAATTCCAATAATTATCTTGTAGGAAGGCAGTGTTCGTCCTGCACAAACACCGATGACTCGGTTTTTATATCCGAAAGAGGCCAGGTAGGCAGCCACGCGGTTCGCTTCACCGTTCAATGTGGCGTAGCTCATTGCCTCCTTCTCGATACCGTCTGTTGTAATACTGCTTGCGACCTCGACCGCTGTCCAGTCAGGATGGGCGTCCGCGTTCTTCTCCAACCAGTATGTTGGGGCTTGATAGACCGAATTGGTGACCTCGTCGCTAACCTCCCGATTGGATAGAGCGCGCAGTTCAGATGAAAGTCCGCTGACTAGACGGGGGAATGACTCGTCTGGGGTCGACAACATGGAGCTGATGAGACTGTCAATCTGCCGGACAAAAAGGCGCAAGTGCTCTCGACTGAATAGTCGGCTGTCCGACGATGCCTCCAGTGCAAGGCTCCCATCCGCAGATTTGAATACATTCATGGCCATTGCGTGCTCGACGTGTAGCCCTATCTGATCCTCAAGCTCGACCCAAATATCAGGCAAGGATCGGTTTTCGGGCAACTCATTATCCCCGTGGAAGTTGAAGACAGCAGGGTATAAGGGCTCTCCTCTAGGTCGGTTCAGCGCTTTCCGGATATCACGCGCGTGAATATGGCGGTGTTTCCAGGATTTCACCGATACCCTGTTCTGTTCCTGCAGGATCTCGCGGACAGTGCCTTGAGGATGGAATGGAATTGGGACAACAGATATGAAAGGTCCAACGGTGCTTTCAAGAGAAGGATCAAACACTCGGTCAGACAATGTTTCCGCAAAGACTGTAGCCGGTAGTCCAAGGTAAGACAGCGAAACGTAGGCCCATGCGGCGCGGATTATGGAGGCAAAGGACTGTAGACCCATACTCGCCGCAGCAGATTGTACCTTGGAGACCGACTCTGTCATGGGGATCTCTTCAGATATCAAGCGGTACTCAGGGGTCACTCCTGGAGGAAGTCTCTTTCCAGTAAGATCCGGCCATACTGCGCTATCCAGGTCGGCAAATTCCTTGAGCTCAGATTTCCAGAAGGCAGTAGTCTCTGAGTATTTGTTCTCATTTGCAAGGAGAATCGACAGGGCGTCGCTCAGCTGGTTTCTGGCTGGGGGCTTGTACGTATACGCGCTCCGTACGTCGTCCATGATAAAGCGAAGGGAAGGCTCGTCGTGAATGGAGTGATGCAAGGTGAGCACCATAACTCTTTCACTACCCTTGTCGAGGAGCGTAACCGCCCACGGCGGGGTCCTGAAATAGTTCTTCTGGTGTTGAGACATGATATCCTCGACCCGGTTGTTGAATACGTCCCTCCACTCGTCATCGGCACATTTGTGATACTCCCAGTCAAGGGCAGGAAGCTTGTATATGAGCTGCAGAATAGAGAAATTTAATTTGTCGCTGGACATTTGGTTCCGTGCTTCGGCGACTGGGATAAAGCCAGTTCGTAGCGCCTCTGCCTTCTGGCAGACGGCAAACCAGGCCTGTCTCAGCCGGGGGATGTCGACGTTAGGACCAAGTCGGAAGAAATGGTTGCTCCAGTACATGTTGTATGTCCCCATAGTCTCAGTAAGCAAACTCTCCTGGATCGCAGTGGCGCGGATTGTTGTAAACTCGTCAGACAGCTTGCCCTCAACTGCTGGGTGCCATGCATCATTAAAAGCCTTGACGTCGAACTTTTGAGGCCCCGTGTTTTTGGCACTTGATGACCGGGCTAGCTTGATAAGATCGTAAACCGTAATACAAGCTAGAACTTCCATAACTGAGGCACGGAGACCGGCCTCCTTGAGTCTGAAAGCGAGGCGAGTGGCGCGTAGTGAATCAACACCAAGACTTCTGAGCCGGTTGGACTTTGTGATAGAGGAGGCGTCCACGTTGACCAAAGACGCTACAAGATCAATTATCTGTGTGCTTATAGCGGTATCGACTTCGTCCTCGGGGTCACCAGCGGGGTCCTCTGGGTTGACTTCGCTTTCCCACTTCTCCAGGTCCACAGATGCATAAGCAGCCTGCAATGCCCGACGGTCAACCTTCGCAGATGGGGTCTTTGGAATGCTTGTGACGACCAGATATACAGATGGTATCATATTCTCTGGGAGAGACTTGCGTGCCTGCTCGCTCGCGGCACGGGCGATATCACAGCCGGTATCTTGCAGTAACAGTAGACCTCCATCATGGTTTTCAGCCGCTGCCTTGGGGGCACAAAGGAACGCAACAACGACCTGAGTAGGTCTATCCGGACGGCTCAAGACTAGCGTCTCAATAGTCTCAACATGAGGATGACAGCCACGAATAGCAAAGCTGATCTCACTAAGCTCAATTCGAATTCCACCAAGCTTGACTAGATCGTCAACGCGCGTGATATACTCCAGCGATCCGTCAGAAAGCATTCTCACGAGGTCACCGGTGTAGTAAAGCCGCTGTCCGGCCTCATCATTCCAGACATATTTAGCCTCTGTGACGTCCTTTTGGTTCAGGTAACCCGGCGAAAGCTGGGGACCACCGAGTGCCAATTCACCAATGGCGTTCTTCATGACGACGTGTTGGTTCTTCATCACGAACACCGAGACGGTCTCCATAGGCCAGCCGATGTTGGCGCTTTTGATTGACTTGTGCTCGTTCCCAAACTCGCGGATTGTTGAGACAACCGTGACCTCGGCAGGTCCGTATGTGTTGTAGGCTTTCATGTCCGTGCCCCAGTCGTCTGCTACAGACGGCGTCAGTTTCTCGCCGATCATGGTCACCACTTTGAGTGTGTTGCAGCTCTTCCGGGGAACGCCAGCTGCAAAGGCCGGGGTGAGGTGGGCATGAGTTGCCTTCGTTGTATTCGCGAGCTTTGGGAAGGATTCAAGCATGATTTGCCTTGTTCCAGCAATAAGCACACCTCCAATACCCCAGGTATAGAAGATATCCTGGACGGACACGTCGAAAGTACATTGCGAGAATTGCAAACAGCGGACCGTGCTACCGTCGGCATTTCCGGGGATGTCAGCCTGTAGCGATTTCATACTAGAAACACCTGCGGCATGCGTGATAGGGACTCCCTTCGGGGCACCTGTTGTACCACTGGTCCAGATCAAGTAGGCCGTGTTGGATGGACTGGGCCTGCTGCGTTTCGACTGAACTTTCTTGCTGACAGTAACATTCCGAGTGAACTGGCTGACGTCGATTACCTTGACTCCAGTAGGGATTGCACCCTCAGGTTGTTCCTCATCCAAATGCGAAACAAGGAGGACTCCAGCACTCGTTCGCGCAATGAGATCGTGCCTGCGCTGGGTGGGAGAGAGCGTGTCGATGGGGCACCAAGCACCGCCAGCTTTGACGATCCCAAGAATAGCAACATACAGAGAAGGACTCTTCTCGATGCAGATGGGGACTGAAGCATCTATCAAGTCTCCGCAGACTTGATGCAGGTGCTCCGCCAGATTTTCAGCCATTGCATTAAGCTCGGCGTATGTCCATGAGATGTTTCCTGGGTTTGTTTCATCATCCAGGTCCTGCTTGAATATCAATGCTAAATCATCCGGGTGTGATGCGGCGTGCTGTTCGAATTGTGACTGGAGGAGTGCGCCTTCGGCAACCTCTGGAGCCGTAATTGGATTGGGATTGGCGCTGGACTTGAGATCCGATCGAGCCTGTAAGTGCGCATCTTCGAAATTCCCCTCTGGCACTTCGAGGATATAGCGAACAACATCGTCCATCTGGCGTAACATGATCTCAGCGGCGGCGGAATCGAGCTTGTTGTCAAAGGTTGCTCGCAACGTCAGTGAACGGTCTGGCTCAGGAACCACCTCAACCATCACCGTGAAGTCGTTGGCCATATCGGGATGCTGGATTGAACTCCAAAGCGAAGAAGAGGCGCGCTCTGATCCAAAGTCCTGGTATGCAAGGACCGTGTCATACGGGGTTTTGCCATCCACTGTCACGGACCCTAGTTGAGGTTGCAGGTGCGACAGCGCTTTTGCATTGGATGATGACAGGTGACGAGCGATTAGCTTGTTGTTTAATATTCCGGAATCTGCTTTAGCCTGCTGGATGGCAATTCTCAACGGCGTTATCGTGAATGTCGGACCAATGCACGCCTGAGAAGCCTCATCCAGTCGGCCGGACACCACACTGCCCATAACCACGTCTTGATCGGGTGTACCTGTGTAGCTCAACAAGATCGCGCCCCAGGCTGCCTGCAGCACTGAAAGCGGCGTTGAACCGATACTCCGCGACAGTCTCTTTAGGGTTTCGTGGCTAAGAGCCGAAGTAACTTCCACACAGCCAGAGGTCTTTTCGGCTGGTGTTCGGTAAGGAGTGACAGACGGAAATTCTACAGGAGTATATCCGTGTAGATATTGACTCCAATGACGCGATGTCGAAGCATGGTCTGCTTGGAGGTGATTCTTGACGATGTGGTTCAGTGACGTCCGCTGCGGCAAAGATTTCGCAGAATAGGCCGAATATACATCTTCCAACAGAAGCTGCAAGGACCCGCCGTCGAATATTCCGTGGAACATGCTCAGTATCAGGAGCGAGCGGCCTGATGATTCCACAAGTGATAACTTCCAAGGCGGCGTGTTCAAATCGATGGATTTCTCAGCAGCCCGCAAGGCATTGTCGAGAATATCCTCCTCAGAGGCATTCTCGTTCGGACTCGTATAGGTATCCCAGTCTTTCTTAGGGGCGCTGCCAGACGTCAAAATGCACTGCGCAAACGGCGCCAGCTCATCATCGACCATGCAAAACAGTGTGCGGAAAGAGTCATAGTTGGCGATAACTTGGTCCCAGGCTGCCTTGACCTTTGCAATGTCGACGTTTGCCTCGAGAGGAAGAACCGTGTGGTAGATGTAGGTTGGCTTCGAATAAGACTCGTCTGCCAAACTGCGGAGGAAACTCGTCAACATGCCAGACTGAGTTGCGGTGGTTGGCAGCACTTCGTTGATAGACTCAGATGCGACCCCGAGACTTTCCGCGCAGCGCGTCCGATTACGCTGGTCAAATGACGCAAGACTTGACTGGAGGCTATCCACCTGGCTGTCTGGGTGTACACCATTCGTCTTGGCCCTTCCATTGACCTGGTGGCTGTGGATGAGGGAGACGAGCTCCTGTGATGTCTGTGACTGTAGTACATCGCTCACTGATAAACCATCAACGCCGTTGTCCTTTAGGGCTTGTAAGAGTCGCATGGCACCTAAACTATCCAAGCCCATCGAGTATAGTTCTGTTCCGGGATTTATCGTGGAAGCATCTTCGCCGGTCGTCTGCGCCATGAGACGGATCACTAATTGCCGTGTGGACAGCAATTCCTTGTCCTCGGTATCCTGCCAGCCCTCTGACTTGTCTGAACTATGCCCGTTGGTCATGGGCATATCGATCTTCTCATGTAGTGCAGCAGACAAGGCTTTGCGGTTCACCTTGCCAGAACTTGATCGCGGCAAAGATTCGAGGAACGTATAAGAAGACGGGCACATTGCCGAAATAAGATGCTGCGCCGTGCTCTTCTTTGCCTGTTCGATTATCCGTTCTCTCTCTGCTTGACTATCATCGTTTGCCACGAGAAAAGCGACAATCTGCTCGTTTCCTTGAGACTTCGTGTCTCGATTGACCACCACGACCACGACTTCCGTGATACCAGGCACAGTTGCAATTGCAGATTCGATTTCTCCAAGCTCCACACGACGTCCGTTTATCTTAACCTGGTCCGTGGAGATGCGACCTAGATACTCAATAACCTGGTTCCCGTTTTTATCCCAGACTATGCGTGCCTTGTCGCCGGTTCGATAAAGATCCCCATATATCTCACTAGGGACGAACGACTTGGCGGTTTCTTCAGGGCGGTTCAGGTAGCCTTTGCTCACCTGCGGTCCTCCGATTGCCAGTTCTCCAACGGTGCCAATGGGGACTGGGACGGGGTCATGACTATCAGGAGAAAGAACCAGCATTGCACAGGTGGGTAGCGGCTCTCCGATAATTGATCCTCGCATTTCGCGTTCGAACGGCGAGACGAATGTGCAGTTGATGGCTCCTTCAGTTGGACCGTACGCGTTCACCAAGGTTCTCGAAGGAAGCCCATTGCTGCTTGGGCTCTGTGAGAAGTTGTCAATCACGGTGCGATTAAGTTTCTCTCCCATAGACCACAGCGCTTCAAGCGTATTCAGGCGCTCGGGTCGGAGGAGTGATGCTAAACTCGGCGTGGCCATCATGATTGTCGCTCTGGCCTCGTTGATCGTAGCCTCCAGGTTGGCCAGAGTCAGGCGTCGATCAGCAGAGCAGAGGGTACCACCGCTACTCAGGGTGACGAATATTTCCATCAACGAAGGGTCGAAAGAAGGCGAGGCGAACTGGAACCAGCGGAAATCCCCGGCAGACTTTCCAGGGAGGGGAATGGCGGTAGCGTGGGAGGAAATAGAACATGCAGCTGCTAAATGGCTGACTTGAACGCCTTTCGGTTTCCCGGTAGACCCGCTGGTAAATAGCAAGTAGGCTGTGTCGGTCTGGCCGATAGGAGCAGGCTGCAGTGATGTTTCAGCGCCGGAGGCCAGAGTCGAGTCGCCTTGCAGCTGCTTCCATTTGGAAACTTCAGCGACATCTACCCAGGTTGGCGTAGACTCGTATGCAGTCCCAGCTTCTCGGCGGGAGTCCGTCGAGGGTTCTGGCGTATTGCCGAGAACGATAGGAGAATCAATGTCGTGAAGGATCTCTTGTATTCTTTGAGCAGGGGCGTCCTGGGGCACAGGACAGAATGCGTGGCCCGATTTCAGAATACCAAGATATGAGATGTATAGTTCAGGTGAGGTGGACATATTAACAGGGATAATGCGTCTATATTCAGAAGAGTCAGTGTCCAAAAGCGATCTAATATGAACTGCCAAGTTAGAAGCTGCCGTATCGAGGGCTGCATAGGTTAGAATGCTGTGCTTTGCTGCTGTCGTCTCAGATTCCAGTGAATCAACGAAATCCAAGGCGATGGCATGCGGGCTCCTATGGGCGCAGCTCTCAAAAGCAGCATGCAAAAGATGTGAGCCTGTCGCCGAGCTCTCCGCGGTAGGGGGTATCATGGATGGTGGGAAATTCAAAACTGATAATGCAGGCTCTGGCCCTGAAATAGTAAATAATGGAGAAGAATCGGCGATTTGTAGTGAGAGCGTGTGCAGCAGTTGCTCTACCGCTGCACTCGGAATCAAGCGTCGCGGGAATGCGAAGCTGATATGGAGGGCGTTCTCCTTTCTGTCCGGCTCGACGAACAGTGTAAAGGCCTGGGAGTGTCAGTCATGATGTAAAATATCGAGGAGTGGATGTCTCACGGTTCCCTGAGAGGGGAGTCTGTGTTCGCCATTTTCAGGCCCAACACCGAACCCCAGCTCAGCGTAGAATTGGATTTCATCGTCGTTGGCGTGTGTCGCATCGGCTTCGCGAGAGACAAGCTTGTTCTGGTCGCCACCATGCACAGGAGAGGCAGTAATAATCGACTGCACAGGCGAGGACACGAATGGCGAGTGACGAGTGAAGTAGAAGGCGACGTCCTCAAGGCCCGTCAAGGAAGAGACGAAACGCGCATAGCCGGCGACAACACCATCGATCACCTTCGCATTGCAGACATCGGAACTGCATGAGATCTTGATTCGCTGGCTTGCTCCGACAGAGTCCTCAACTGGCCTGTCGACGACATAGGCATCCACGGTGTCCAACGCCGGGACCTTGGTGACCGGGAGAACCTCAGTTGGGACGGAGCCAGTAGTCTGGGCAGTAGCCTGGACAGGAGTCCGGGCCGCGGGCGTTTCATTCGCTGCTGCAGCAGCAGGATTTTGGCGTTTCGGGGAGCTATGGAAAGCGCCAGTGATCCCCTGAGTGACGCGGCGGACATACTTGCGGACCGATCTAGCCATAGTGTGTTTTCCGGATTTATCCCGTCAAAAATGACCAGACTCACACCTCGCAGCAGAGGGGCTTCCTCCAGTGAAATACTGTCGCCGGGCGATCAAAGACACGCCTGGCGTGATGCAGGAACAGTCAAGTGCTCTCTAATCCACGCTCCGTCATTGGCGGGGAACTTGGAACAGTGATTGGTTGCAGCAGCAGCGTGCGAGGAGGGGAAGCTGTGGGAGCTGGGCTAAATGTTGCAGCAGCAGCGTGGTGAGAGGGAGCTGTCTGTGGCTTATTACGTGGGTTACAAGGTACCTTTGCAGGTTTTAGAACGTGGCGTGGAGGTTGGTCTCTTCGACCCGATGGTGCGCCCCCAAGCGCCCGCTCGTCAGGTGAAATCCAGGGCACGCCGATGGCCGGCCCATTTATCTGATTAGATCATCTGATTAGATCGGGTCATGCTGTGTACGGTATTTCGCCCTTACCGTACGGTATCCTGCCCGCTCTGTATTCGCCCGTATTGCCTCGACAGTGCCGATCCCGGACGACAGTCGGACATTCATGATTCAACCCAGTGGAGCGTTGTCGCAATTTGACTGTCGTTGCCTCCGAGGTTATGCATACCGTCCACCCCTGCTGAATGTGAAGCTGCATGACGTTCTAGAAGTCGGCCCCTGTTTCATAGGCTGTCAGAGGCTGTTTCCCACTGAAGCTTAGGCTGCGGCCCGCGCCAAAATATTTATCTGATCCGAAGTGGAGTGAATCCAACCATCCGAGGCACACAGCAGGATGATGTTGACCCATAATTCAAGTTCCATGGCCAGGTGTTGCTCAATAATATTTCAGAACTGACGGCTTCTTGCAGGCTCAGAACCTTCCACTCCTCCAAGTGTCTGAACTGGCAAGCGGAGGTGCCCACGTGGAAATGTAGTCGATAGCTGATACTGATCTGCTCTGACGGCTGGGGATTACACCTGTCATTGCCTACATATTTTTGGGAATCCGTCATATAGAACACGATATACTGTGATTGAAGGAATACTGCCGTCATCTCCAATTCCCAAAATTAATGGCTGCCACTTTTAGCCCCATACTCTCCAATTTCTCGTACCCTCCGACCAGTTCTCAGCCAATACTCCGACTGCCTAGCAAGCCCGCCGTCTCTTATCAGATCGAACCCCTGCATCGGTTCACCAATCAATGTCCCTACCAAGATCAAGCCCGCCAGTAGTAAACTAACCACGAGTCAGACACACCCAGGAACAGTCTAGTTGGTTCGCTAAGCAGCAGCACAAAGCCCAGACTGTCAGCCATCTCGATCTGATATGGCTATTGTGCGCCGTTAATGAGGGAGCCAGTCCACTCTATATCGTCATTCGTCTCCTCCATCTGTGCCGAGAAGTGGATACCTCATCAACACATGGGGCTGGACAGTGAAGAGTGAGACAAGGTCGAGTGGACGAGTGCCCACTAACCAGATATCTGACGCTAGATTTTGTCCCCATTTCTGGCCGCTGACTCGCTTAAGCTGAGCAAGAGAAGAACAGTTAGCTTGTCAGACTCCGAGGTAGCCTGATTCCATTCGGTCCGAGACACACTGGGTCTGTATTTAATCAGCCCTGCCCGCCTGTTCTGCCGGATCTGCATAGGGCTTTCCTGCCAACTGTCAGTGAACAAGCACAATGGCAACTGTACGCCGGCTCCAGCAGACTCTTTCCCACCTCCAGCCTGCACAAGCCGCCCAGCAGCTTTCAGTTGTTTACGGGCCGACAGAGCCGGAGTTACTGGACGTCACTCTGGGTGAGCTTTTGACGCTGCAGAGTCTGCAGTATGGCGACTACGAGTGTCTTGTTTTCCCCTGGACTGGAGCGCGGTGGACGTATGCAGACTTGAACGATGAAGCCGATCGAGTCGCCCGAGGAATGCTGGCGATGGGCATCAAGAAGGGAGACCGGGTTGGAATCATGGCCGGCAATTGCGAGCAGTACATTTCGATTTTCTTTGCAGCAGCCCGCGTCGGTGCCATTCTCGTCGTTCTGAATAATACCTATACCCCGTCGGAGCTCTACTATGCACTCGACCACACTGGTATGCGCACAAAACTGGAAATATCAATTGAAGATCCGGCCGATGCTAATAAGCTTAACTACTGGCACAGACGTCCGATTGCTTTTCCTGACCCCCCGCATCCAACGTCACTCCCTCGAAGAAGTCCTCGCAAAGCTCGGCTCCCACCCCAAACAGGCTGGCACCTCCAAGGCTCTCGAGGAGATCGTCGTGATCCGCGGCGAATACCAAGACTTCACCACTTACGCACAGGTTGTCGAGCGCGGCCTCCCCCTCTCCAGCAATGCCCTGCCTGCTCGCGAAGCCGAACTACAGCCAGAAGATGTATGCAATCTACAGTTCACCAGCGGTTCAACCGGAAACCCCAAAGCCGCCATGCTCACGCATCAGTACGGAATATCCCGACCCTCTTCTACAAGCCAATACTAACCAATTCCCCCACAGCAACCTCGTCAACAACTCCCGCTTCATCGGCGACCGTATGAGCCTTACCTCCTTCGACATCCTCTGCTGCCCTCCTCCCCTCTTCCACTGCTTCGGGCTCGTCCTCGGCATGCTCGCCGTCGTCACCCACGGCTCGAAGATCGTCTTCCCCGCCGAGACCTTCGACCCGCTCGCAACACTCCATGCCATCTCTGACGAGAAGTGTACTGCCCTGCACGGCGTCCCCACCATGTTCGAGGCGATCCTGAGCTTCGACAAGCCAGCGCAATTCGACTGCAGTAACCTGCGCACGGGGATCATTGCCGGCGCACCAGTACCCCGTCCTCTCATGAAGCGGCTCTTTGAAGAACTCAACATGAGGCAGTATACTAGCTCCTACGGTAATCCCATCCATACCTTATCCTTCGATACTATCCATGATTTAACAAACTAACCAACCCAAAGGCCTAACAGAAGCATCTCCCACCTGCTTCAACGCCGTCACAACAGACTCAATCGAGACACGCCTCCAAACAGTCGGAAAGGTCATGCCGCACGCAAAAGCCAAGATCGTCGACGCCAACGGCGCAATCGTCCCTGTCGGCCAACGCGGCGAGCTCTGCATGGCCGGATACCAATTGACAAAAGGGTACTGGAATAATCCCGCAAAGACGGCCGAGACCTTCGCCACGGATGAAGACGGCACAGTCTGGCTGAAGACCGGTGACGAGGCGGTTTTTACCCCCGAGGGTCGGTGTAGTATTACGGGGCGGTTTAAGGATATTATTATTCGTGGTGAGTTTCTTTTGTTTTTTTGGTTTTTTTTTTTTTTTACACAGGTTCGTTTAAATGCTAATCCGTTGTATTGTAACAGGCGGCGAAAACATCTACCCACTCGAAATCGAAGAGCGTCTGTCCAGCCACCCGTCCCTCTCCGTCGCGTCCGTAATCGGCATTCCAGACCAGAAATACGGTGAGGTCGTGGGGGCGTTCATCTCGCTGGCAGAGGGCGCGACGAGGCCGACGGACGACGAGCTACGGGGCTGGACGCGCGAGACTCTGGGCAGACACAAGGCGCCGCAGCACGTCTTCGTGTTTGGCGAGGAGGGAGTGGACCGCACGGTTCCTGTAACTGGAAGCGGCAAAGTGCGCAAGGTGGACTTGCGGAAAATTGCGGCGGGGGTTTTGGAGGGTCGGAAGATGAAGGCGAAGGCGAAGGCGCGGGCTGATGCTACGACGACTGCGTGATATGATTTTGGTATGAGATAGACTCTAGTTTTTGTACGTTTAGATAGTTAGCGAGTGGCTTATACCCGGTTTATTATGAAAGTTTACTACTATATACTGCATTCGTTCAGTGTGTTTGTCTGAGGGATAAAATTTTGACCAAAAACTCGGTTAAAGTTATCAATCAGATTAGATGATTATCTAATCTGATGTGGGTCTATTGAAATTACGCGCCTAATCTGATTCATCGATGAATGATTCTGGGTACAAATCAATTCCACCCACTCAATTCCCGAGTCCCACCAGAAGAAAAAACAAAAAAAAATATCTCGAGAAAAAGTATCCGGTGTCGGCATCGTCGACCAATAGTGAAATTACACTCGACAAATACGTGAGCTTCTGGCTGGGCTCCTGGTGGGGGTCATGCATCAGATAAAAAACAAAGGTTGCAGTGCATGACAGCCTGAGGTTTGTGCGTCGGTTCCACTAATAATGTACTGGCATAGGCGAGATTTCTCTTTCACATGCAAGCCTCCAGAAGTCTATTAACTACCCTCCTACAAAATTGACTAATCGCTAAGTGGAATGTGGAATGTGTATTAATGCTTGGGGTATCGTAGCTATAATATAACTAGAGCTTCAAAGCGCGATATGGGTCACGCTCAAGGTGGTCAGAACCGTCAAAGCGGAACGGCGAAATATGGAAATACTTCTCCCGGCTGCACTTTACCAGCGCAGATCGTTTGTATGGCAGGTCGATGAGCTTCTCGAGACTGAACCCGGTAGCGTGGTCGTACGCCAGCACGGTGAGGTTCGTGAAGTCCGGCTCGCCAACGATATATCGTGTCCGCGGCTCATCTAGGAACATATAGTGCATGATGCTGCACCACCATACCATGACCCGATGCTGACCACGGAACCTAACATCTCCGACTAGTGAATGGCGTCCTCGATCCCAGTCGTCGGCATCGTAGTGGCCTCCTATGCTGTTTTCCTGCGATGTCAATTAGAATAATACGTATTCATGCCAACTTAATGACGTACCTTGGCCCAGTATATCTGATGGTAGGAAAAGAAGGTGTTGTTGAATTTAGCCAGCACGGCAATCTGGTGTGGATCTTCTTCAACCTTGCGAAGATACTCCCTATGCTCGTCGAGTGTCCCTGTAACATGCCAACCTTTCGCCACGCGAGGATCATTCTGCCATGTGTGAAACAGCTGCAAGTGTTCGTCGTTCCGGTAATCAAATGCCCAGAGCGAAAAGAACTCATCTAGCTGCGGTATGTACCGGCTGTACATTCTCGACCCCGGCGTTGGCTTCCGCGGTCGAATGGGGTGAAGGGCGTTGACGCTGACGTTGGACAATTCTGGTGTCCAGGTATGCTGGACAGGGTGCATGGGGAATGAAGTCAACGGACGCCGAAGCGAGTTGTATATCTCAGCATCGCACACCCATACTGGCCTTGACCCGAAGGGAGACCCCGCGCCTTGCCAGAATGTGCTGCGATAGATGACGAGCTGATCAGGGACGTCTGAATTTGGCGGGATGGTGTGACCAGCGGGAGCTGAAGGGGCAGGATGTGCA